CATCCCTCCCATCCTCGAGTAATCAATATTCTATGTTTGGATAGAGTTTTTTTTTTTTAAAGATTTATTTATTTTTATTTGAAGGGCAGAACTACAGAGAGGCAGAGGCAGAGAGAGAGAAAGGTCTTCCATCCACTGGTTCACCCCCCAGATGGCCGCAATAGCCGTAGATGTGCTGATCCAAAGCCAGGACCCAGGAGCTTCTTCTGGGTCTCCCACGTGGGTGCAGGGGCCCAAGGACTTCTACTGCTCCCCCAGGCTGTAGCAGAGAGCTGGTGGCAAGTGGAGCAGCCAAGTCTCAAACCAGTGCCTATATGGGATGCCAGCACAGCAGGTGGCAGCTTACCTGCTATGCCACAGCACCGGTCCCATGGATAGAGTTTGGAGGTTTTTTTTTTTTTTTTAATTTTAGCTTCCATGTATAAGACAGAACATGTGGTATTTCTGTTTCTGGGTCTGGCATATTTCACTCAACATGATGTCCTCCAGTTCCATCCATTTTGCTGCAAATGATAGTATTTCATTCTTTTTTAAAATAACTAAATATTATTCCATTGTACCTAAATACCACATTTTCTTTATCCAAACATCCAATGATAGATACTTTGGTTGCTTCCATATGTTGACTATTGTAAACAGATAACTGATACAATGAGTTTTTGTCTTATATAAATGTACATGTATACATATATGTATATGTGTGTTTGTGTGTGTGTGTGTGTGTATGTATACACATACAGTAGTGGATTCCTGGATCATATGGCAGTACTATTTCTAGCTTTTAAAGAAATTGGACTGACTATATTAATATCAGATAAAATAGATTTCAAAGCAAAGAGTGTTACCAGTGACAAAGTGGGACACTCCACAACGAGAAAGGATCAATTCATTAGGAAGACATAACAAATATAAATATATATGCTCATAATAACAGCATCACAATCCATGAAGCAAAAATAGAATTAAAGTAAAATTAAATAATTCCACATTTGTATTAGGAATAGTCTGATACTAGTTACTTCATAGTGACCAAAATGGAAGTCTCAAGTATTAATATTTGCATATTGTTGAATGCACTAACCATGCCAAACCTTTAAAATTATAACAAATTTGGGGCTGGTGCTGTGGTGCAGTGGGTTAACACCCTGGCCTGAAGCGCCAGCATCCCATATGGACACCGGTTCAAGACCCAGCTGTTCCACTTCTGATCCAGCTCTCTGCTGTGGCCTGGGAAAGCAGTAGAAGATGGCCCAAGTCCTTGGGCTCCTGCACCCACTTGGGTGACCTGGAAGAGCTCCTGGCTCCTGGCTTCAGATCAGTGCAGTTCTGGAAGGTGTGGCCATTTGGGGAGTGAACCAGTGGATGGAAGACCTCTCTCTCTCTCTCTCTCTCTCTCTCTCTCTGCCTCTCCTCTCTCTGTGTAACTCTGAATTTTAAGTAAATAAATAAATCTTTTAAAAAATTATAACAAATTCTAGGTAGCTGTTAAAGATTTTCTGTGGACATAATCGTATCATTTATAAGCTTTCTCATTGTGTTCCCAATCTCATGGAGAGATTGGGGGTAAATAAGGAGTCATAGAAGAAAACTGTAGGGGCTAATGTCATGGTGTAGCAGTTTAAGCTGCCACCTGCAAGTGCCAATATCCCATGTGGGCACTAGAGTCCTGGCTGCTACTCTTCTGATCCAGCTCCTTGCTAATGGCTTGGGAAAGGCAGCATGCTTGGGCTCCTGCACCCATGTTGGAGGCCTGGGCTCCTGGCTCCTGGCTCCTGGCTTTCGCTTGGCTCAGAGCTGGTCCAGCCCTGGCCATTCTGGCCATTTGTGGAGTGAGCCAGCAGATGCAAGAGTTCTCTCTTTATGTCTTTCCCTCTCTCTCTCTTTCTCTGTAATTCTGCCTTTCAAATAAATAAAATAAATAATAAATAAAAAAAGAAGCAAACTATATTTGTAGGAGGCTTTGTGTCTCTGTGGTCACTGAAGAGAAGCCCCACAGCTTCCAGTTTCTACTGGCAAAAAGGAAGAAAAAGCTGAAGGAACTCACATATAAAATCCCAGGTCATAAAACAAACTCCAGCTCATTCTTTCTAAAGCTGCAGCTTTGATGTCCTATCTCTTTGGTCACCTCTCTTTGCTTCCTCCTGCACTTGTCCTTTCTTTTATATATATAATATAATATATATATTTTGTTTATTTGAAAGACAGTTACAGAGAGAGGTAGAGACAGAGAGAGGTCCTCCATCCGCTGGTTCACTCCCCAGATGGCTGCAACGGCCGGAGCTGTGCCGATCTGAAGCCAGGAGCCAGGAGCTTCTTCCAGGTCTCCCACATGGGTGCAGGGGCCCAAGGACTTGGGCCATCTTCTACTGATTTCCCAGGCCACAGCAGAGAGCTGGATTAGAAGTGAAGCAGCAAGGTCTCGAACCAGTGCCCGTATGGGATGCCGGCACTTCAGGCCAGGGCGTTAACCCGCTGTGCCACAGTGCCAGCCCTGCACTTGTCCTTTTTCAGTCTCCATTGTTTGGCTAGCCGGCCCTGCCTCCCATGTGGATTTGGAATTTTTATTGCTTCTAGTTCGACAAATTAATGGTTTGTGGTTTTGGGTATTCACGCTCAACAATGATTTTAGATTATTTACAAGAATGGAAGAAAAGGCAAGTGCTGATTTATAATTCATACCATAAGCTTCCTACCAGTCTGTTAGGGGATTATGTTTTTTAAATTTTTATTAATATAAAGATAACAGATTTCATGTCTCTCATAGGTACTATTTTAAGAAGATAACCATAATACCCCCTGCCTCTCCCTTTCCCTCTATCAATATTTTTTAAAGGTTTAAAATTTTTTGCAAATACATAATTTAAGTCCACTCTATAATCACGAGCTTAAAGTACTATTAACCATAATATTCAACAAGTAGAATGTATAAAGACCACAGTTCCACAGGAGTATAGCTATCAACATGTTGCCTAGGTCTCCTTCTTTGCCACCTGATCTAATTTGTTATTTCCTGCCACATGAGTTTTTTTCCAAATTCCACCTTTTCCATCATCTCCCAGTCTCAGAATATCCATTTTTAAAGAAAATTATTGGGGCCGGTGCTGTGGCATAGTGGGTAAAACTGCCGCCTGCAGTGCCGGCATCAGTTTGAGACCTGGCTACTCCACTTCCTTTCCAGCTCTCTGCTATGGCCTGGGAAAGCAGTAGAAGATGGCCCAGGTCCTTGGGCCCCTGCACTCACATGGGAAGACCTGGAGGAAGCTCCTGGCTCCCGGCTCCTGGCTTCGGATTGGAGCAACTCTGGCCGTTGCAGCCAACTGGGGAGTGAATTAGCAGATGGAAGACCTCTCTTTTTCTGCCTCTCCTTCTCTCTCTATGTAACTCTGACTTTCAAATAAATAAATCTTAAAAAAAAAAAAGAAAAGAAAATTATCTGTTCTCCTTCATCTGTATTCTCTTTTAATTCCTTTATCCTCATCTTAGTTAGCAGCCTTAACTCATTTTTTTGTCAGTTTTAACTCCTCTTCTGAGAGTGGGCCCACAGTTAAGAGCATTAAGCTTGTAACACCCTAATCTTCAGATGAGGAAATAGTCTTTGCTTGTCACAAGAACCTCAGCTATTATGTAAGGTTAGATATTCAGAGCCTTCCTTTGGGGAACCCGGCCTGTATGTTTGACCTATTTAGGTACTCACGATTACTTCCTTTCATTCAAATATATGAACCTGTCCGTTGTCCAGCTGATTGGCTTGACGTGGCTTTTCTCATTCATATCAGTCTTGGGCCTTGTCCCTAATCTTTTAGCCTCGTCTGAGATAGATCTACTAGTTTGCTCTCGGACTTTTGACACTTATTTCTTGTTCTTCTAAAACTTCTGAAAGTTCACACAGCCCTTTCTATTAACTGTTTTTATATTATATATTTTAACCATAGCTATGTATGAATCTGAGATCTGAATGTTGGCTTATACTTGGGACATTTCTACTCCCATCCTTATTCTCTTTGTCTCCTAACTTGTCCCAGAGTCAGTATTCTGGCATGTCACTTCAGAGAGAAATAATCATGCTCAGAGAAGGTTGTTCTTGAATAAGCATTATTTAATGTGATGTGTCGTCTATAAATGTTGATAAAACTGAATTGAATTGAAAAGATGATCATGATGTAGGCTAGGGTGTTTTAATTTTTACTTCAGGTTCTTGTCTGACACATAGATAAGCATTCTAAATGCAGGCATGTATTAGGTGCACAAAGTAGTAACAAAATTTATAGGTGAGAAAGTGAACCACATACACTTGTGAGTGTGGTTTGCCCACACTAAGAAGTACCTGTCATGAGTCGGTGGTAGGCTAAAGGATTGTCCAAAGGAAGGAGGGGAGGGAGAAAAGGGAGGGAGAGGTCCCACCTGTGCAGCACCTCCAGCTGTGGTCTGTGGTAAGAGACAGAGCCCCTCCTAGTTGGCCTCTTTTATGAGGTAGGGGTGGTGGCTCTACAGGCATAACGATACCTAGAAAGTATATGACACCTCCACAAATTCCAGGTGGAGCATTTAATGCCTATATTTTCATGGTGCCCCCCCCTCCCCCAGGTCCTAGATGAAGCAGATGCCTCCCAGGAAAGGGGATGTTTTGATTGACAAGTTGATTGACAAGTAGGAGGATAGTATTACATAGAACTGTCAGTTCAGCAGATCTAAACTACCTACTATCTATGATTCCCACATTAATAGCAACATACTAACCATTTTTTTAACCTTTTCAGTTTTTGTAAGTATGCATTGATAAGGAAATAGACTGAAAAGAAAATAAAAATGGAGATTAACTCACAGAACAGGCTCTCTGATTTTATGATTACAAAACTGATCAAATAAACTGATTCTTCTAGGAATATTTTAGTAATAAAACTCATTAAATTTAGAGCACAAATTGGAGATGTTAGCTACTTTAAAGTAAGAAAATATTTAACTTAAAATGTAGAATTTATTTTAAAAATTATTTTGAATAGCTGCTGCAAAAGAAGATGCCACAGAAGAAGCATTGACTGAAGGCGAAGAATCATATTTAGAGGAAAAAGACTCAGATGAGGAAGATTTAGAAGGAAGTTCAAGTTCAATTCAAGATGATTATTTAGAAAACATTAGACGTAAGTATTATTTGTTTTCTGCCAGTAGTTATCAGTGTTGAAAAGATAAATTACCTAGACAAATTAAACAGTTGTGAATCCATGAAAAGGAAAAACTGCAGGATATGGAGACAAAGGTACTTCATAAAGTTTGTGGAAAATGTAATTTTTTTAAAGGTTTAAAAGCAAGATTTATTAGAGTCAAAGACCTTCAGCCATAGTGGCATGGAGGTGGGGCTTCCAAGAGAGGAAAATACCCAAAGGACCCACTGGCACTGGGGTTTTTAAGTACAATTTTGAAGGAAAAAAAAAAATGGCAATCAGATTGACATTCAGTTACCAGGAGGGGACAAAACGGATCAAAAGACCTGATTTACAATTCTTTCTCTTATCTGGCTTGCTCAAGAGAAAACAAAAAAACATCCAGAAGGGTGGGATAGGTAACTGGTTTTCACAATAAACTGTGATCACCACTCCCTTGCTATTCCCATGATAAATTCGGAGATTCTGAAGGAAAGAGGACATTCTGTTCTTGCTAAAGATAACCTTTTGGTGGAAAGCAGCACTCTACACCCCAGATTCTACTGGGAACACCCTGCCTGCCTATTAACCCATCTGACTCCTTACATTTCCCCTCAACAAGAATGGACCCTAACATCTGTTAGGGGGACTGGGCGATGATTGCTCTGGCTGCTTCATCTTGAAAAAGGGCATTGTTGGGAAGGGCAGTCAAGACAGGGTGCCAGCAGGAGGTGACTTCTCAGCAGGTGGAGGCTTCACTGGGGGCGGGGGTGGGGGCGGGAGGGGGGCCAGCAGTGCCAGCTTGCAGAAACTGCTTCCATCTGAGGTTTCATGTGCATCGCCACCTAGATTTTTACTGTTCTAAGAAGTTTAAACTCACAGGATCAAAAAAAAGGACAGAGAGGACCTAAGAAAGGTGCAAGTTTTCCCATTGAGAGACAAATAGAAACTGACAAAAAGAGCTTGAAAATAATCAAGTGGGCTTTATGGTTTGCCAGTTATGAGGCCCAGGACTGTCTGTCTCCTCACATGGGGTACATCATAAAGGAGCTATGAACCTCCTTGGGGAAGGCACCCTGTTGACTTCCATTACCTAGCTGGCCTGGGAGGAGAGCTGGCCAGGTAAAGGCAGGTGGCATCTCTAACAGGAAAGTTACAGTTCTGCCTGCAGTGTTGCTGACCCTACTTGGCCATCCCCTGGACAGCAGTGGTTACTTTGGAAGCTGGGCCGAGTGAAGGGCTTTTCAGCTTAGAGCTAACAAGGCCTGTGGCTCTGGCCTGGAGCCCTTCAACTCCAGGGCAGTTCTGTTTCCAGCGACACAACTCTTGGCTGGCAGAGCTGCCAGAGCTCTTCATAAGCTGACTTCTCCTGAAGCCCTGGCTGTCCACATTGAAAACCAATGCAGAAGACTGGCCTGTTGAGTCTCCTTGATAGCACATCACTGTGTAAAGCAGCCATTAATTGGCCTGCCACCTATCTTTATGCTGCCTAGCTTCCTCTTCCTCCTGGTTTTGTTAAAACAGACCAGAGAAAACCCTTAAGAGGATGCAAGTCAAGGGGGTGCTCAAGTCCCATCTCTAATCTTTGATGGCCTAAACTAGCAGTCTATAATCACAGGCATGTTGATAGTGGTTTTTCTGTGAGGTAGGATAGACAATGCCTATGAGGAAGGCTATGTTCTCACTTTAAAACTTTCTCTCCTTTCATTTGGTCTGAAAGGGAGGTTTTGCCTGTTTACTATGTCCCTGACAAAGTAAATCTAGCTGTGAAATCATAACTTAAGCTCTCATTTTGGCTATGGTATTATTACAGAAAAGGGTTAGGCATCTATTTTAAAAGGTACATCTTGGAGAGTCTTTTAGAATAGAATTAGTTTCCTTGAAGAGAATAGAGAAAGTCAGGCTTCCCAGATCATTTACTGACAATAACAATATCAGATGAAAACTTAACAATTTTAATTGTTAAATAACAACTGAAAACATTTACAAAAAGGTTCAGTGCCTTCTATAAATTTCAAGAGAACATGTATTTTGAAACATTGCTTAAATTTCTTAAACACAAGTATAACTTGTTTGACCAGCAAACCTTGGGAAAATGTAATTAAAAGACAAGTTTATTTTGGTACAAATTGGAAATTCATGTATAATTTTTTTTCACAGTACTCATTTTCTATGACGTTTTGGACGACTCCTTATCTGTGTGTAGATGATGAAAGGAAAAGCATCGCACATATTCTAGAAGGATAGTTTAGCAGCCTTGTAGCTGTATATCTGCTCTCTGAGGCTCACAAAATTCTCATGCTTGATTGTCTGGGAATGAAGATAACCTAAGGAGTGCTGCACTCCAGATTAGTTAGTTCTCCAACTCTTCTTTGGGAATGACTGATGACTGCTCTTTGAGACTATGAAACCCTGACCAGAGCTCAGCATTCAACCATGATGCACACAGGCATGTTGGTTCTTTCTCCTATGCTCCCAGCATCCTATTTTCAAGCCAGTAATGGTGCTTACTCCTAGAGCATTTCAGGTTATGTTTGTTCTTCTTGTTTTGAGGAAATAGTTTTAGGATTCACCAGACACTCTCCTTAGTTTAAGTGTTTTAATTTTTTAGCATCTCAGGAAGCTCCTGCCCCAGCTTTGGAAGAGGCAGAGGATGCTGTTAAGAAGAAAATATCAGAGAGTTTCTTCTACGATTATTCAGAACTTGCTTCAATGCCTTTTGTGACTCCAGATTCGAACATACCCCTGGATCTTCTCACGCTCGTGTATCCACTTCAGTTATATATACATACTTTGGGGAATTAGTTTCTTAGATCAGGGATCGACAAACTATAGTCCAAGGACCAAGTCTGGCCTCCCATCTATTTTGAAGAATAAGGTTTTATTGCAGCACAGCCACTTTCTTTTTTTTTTTTAACTTTTATTTAATGAATATAAATTTCCAAAGTACAGCTTATGGATTACAATGGCTTCCCCCTCCATAACTTCCCTACCACCTGCAACCCTCCCCTTTCCTGCTCTCTCTCTCCTTCCATTCACATCAAGATTCATTTTCTATTCTCTTTATATACAGAAGATCAGTTTAGCATATAGTAAGTAAAGATTTCAACAGTTTGCACCCACACAGAAACACAAAGTGTAAAATACTGTTTGAGTACTAGTTATAACATTAAATCACAATGTACAGCACATTAAGGACAGAGATCCTACATGAGGAGTAAGTGCACAGTGACTCCCGTTCTTGACTTAACAAATTGACACTCTTGTTTATGGTATCAGTAATGACCCTAGGCTCTTGTCATGAGTTGCCAAGGCTATGGAAGCCTTTTGAGTTCACCGACTCTGATCATACTTAGACAAGGTCGTAGTCAAAGTGGAAGTTCTCTCCTCCCTTCAGAGAAAGGTACCTCCTTCTTGGATGACCTGTTCTTTCCACTGGGATCTCACTTTCAGAGATCTTTTATTTTGGCTTTTTTTTTCTTTTCTTTTCTTTTCTTTTTTTTTTTTTTTTTTTTTTTTGCCAGAGTGTCTTGGCTTTCCATGCCTGAAATACTCTCATGGGCTTTTTAGCTGGATCCGCATGCCTTAAGGGCTGATTATGAGGCCAGAGTGCTGTTTAGGACATCTGCCATTCTATGAGTCTGCTGTGTATCCCACTTCCCATGTTGGATCGTTCTCTCCCTTTTTTATTCTATCAGTTAGTATTTGCAGACACTATTCTTGTTTATGTGATCCCTTTGACTCTTAGTCCTATCATTATGATCAATTGTGAACAGAAATTGATCACTTGGACTAGTGAGATGGCATTGGTACATGCCACCTTGATGGATTTGAATTGGAATCCCCTGGTATGTTTCTAACTCTACTGTTTGGGGCAAGTCAGATTGAGCATGTCCCAAACTATACATCTCCTCCCTCTCTTATTCCCACTCTTATATTTAACAGGGATCACTTTTCAGTTAAATTTCAACACTTAAGAATAACTGTGTATTAATTACAGAGTTCAACCAATAGTATTAAGTAGAACAAACAAAAAAATACTAAAAGGGATAAAGTATTAAGTTGTTCATCAACAATCAGGGCAAGGGCTGATCAAGTCACCATTTCTCATAGTGTCCATTTCACTTTAACAGGTTTCCTTTTTGGTGATTGGTTAGTTGTCACAGATCAGGGAGAACATATGATATTTGTCCCTTTTGGACTGGCTTATTTCACTCAGCATGATGTGTTCAAGATTCCTCCATTTTGTTGCAAATGGCCGGATTTCATTTTTTTTACTGCTGTATAGTATTCTATAGAGAACATATCCCATAATTTCTTTGTCCAGTCTACTGTTGATGGGCATTTAGGTTGATTCCAGGTCTTAGCTATTATGAATTGAGCTGCAATAAACATTAAAGTGCAGAAAAATTTTTTTGTTTGCCAATTTAATTTCCTTTGGGTAAATTCCAAGGAGTTGGATGGCTGGGCTGTATGGTAGAGTTATATTCAGATTTCTGAGGAATCTCCAAACTGACTTCCATAGTGGTTTTACCAGTTTGTATTCCCACCAACAGTGGGTTAGTGTCCCTTTTTCCCCACATCCTCGCCAGCATCTGTTGTTGGTAGATTTCTGTATGTGAGCCATTCTAACTGGGGTGAGGTGAAACCTCGTTGTGGTTTTGATTTGCATTTCCCTGATTGCTCGTGATCTTGAACCTTTTTTTTTTTGACAGGAAGAGTAGACAGTGAGAGAGAGAGACAGAGAGAGAAAGGTCTTCCTTTGCCGTTGGTTCACCCTCCAGTGGCTGGCGTGGCCGACGCGCTGTGGCTGGTGCACTGCGCTGATCCGATGGCAGGAGCCAGGTACTTCTCCTGGTCTCCCATGGGGTGCAGGGCCCAAGTACTTGGGCCATCCTCCACTGCACTCCCTGGCCACAGCAGAGAGCTGGCCTGGAAGAGGGGCAACCAGGACAGAATCCGGCACCCCGACCGGGACTAGAACCCGTTGTGCCGGTGCCACAACGCGGAGGATTAGCCTATTGAGCTGCGGCGCCGGCCGATCTTGAACCTTTTTTCATGTGCCTGTTGGCCATTTGGATTTCCTCTTTTGAAAAATGTCCTTTGAGGTCCTTGGCTCATCTCTTGAGTGGGTTGTTTGTTTTGTTGTTGTGGAGTTTCTTGATCTCTTTGTAGATTCTGGTTATTAATCCTTTATCTGTTGTATAGTTTGCAAATATTTTTTCCCATTCTGTCAGTAGCCTCTTCACTTTCCTGACTGTTTCTTTTGCAGTACAGAAACTTCTCAATTTGATGTAATCCCAAAAGTTAATTTTGGCTTTGACTGCTTGTGCCTCCAGGGTCTTTTCCAAGAAGTCTTTGCCGGTGCCAATATCTTGCAGGGTTTCCCCGATGTTCTCTAATAATTTGATGGTGTTGGGTCATAGATTTAGGTCTTTAATCCATGTTGAGTGGATTTTTGTGTAAGGTGTAAGGTGGGGGTCTTGTTTCATGTTTCTGCATGTGGAAAACCAGTTTTCCCAGCACCATTTATTGAATAGACTGTCCTTGCTCTAGGAATTGGTTTTAGATCCTTGATCAAATATAAGTTGGCTGTAGATGTTTGGGTTGATTTCTGGTGTTTCAATTCTGTTCCGTTGGTCTATCCATCTGTTTCTGTACCAGTACCATGCTGTTTTGATTACAACTGCCCTGTAGTATGTCCTGAAATCTGGTATTGCGATGCCTCTGGCTTTGTTTTTGTTGTACAAAATTGCTTTAGCTATTTGAGGTCTCCTGCATCTCCATATGAATTTCAAAATCACTTTTTCCACATCTGAGAAGAATGTCTTTGGTATTTTGATTGGGATTGCATTGAATCTATAAATTGCTTTTGGGAGAATGGACATTTTGATGATGTTGATTCTTCTAATCCATGAGCATGGAAGATTTTTCCATTTTTTGGTATCCTCTTCCATTTCTTTCTTTAAGATTTTGTAATTCTCATCCTAGAGATCTTTACCGTCCTTGGTTAAGTTTATTCCAAGGTATTTGATTATTTTTGTGGCTATTGTGAATGGGATTGATCTTAGCAGTTCTTTCTCAGCTGTGGCATTGCCTGTGTATACAAAGGCTGTTGATTTTTGTGCATTGATTTTATATCCTGCTACTTTGCCAAACTCTCCTATGAGTTCCAATAGTCTCTTAGTAGAGTTCTTTGGATCCCCTAAATAAAGAATCATATCGTCTGCAAAGAGGGATAGTTTGACTTCTTCCTTCCCAATTTGTATCCCTTTAATTTCTTTTTCTTGCCTGATGGCTCTGGCTAAGACTTCCAGAACTATATTGAATAGCAGTGGTGAGAGTGGGCATCCCTGTCTGGTACCAGATCTCAGTGGAAATGCTTCCAACTTTTCCCCATTCAATAGGATGCTGGGTGTAGGTTTTTCATAAATTGCTTTGATTGTATTGAGGAATGTTCCTTCTATACCCAGTTTGCTTAGAGTTTTCATCATGAAAAGGTGTTGAATTTTATCGAATGCTTTCTCTGCATCTATTGAGATAATCATATGGTTTTTCTTCTGCAGTTTGTTAATGTGGTGTATCACATTGATTGATTTGCGCACATTGAACCATCCCTGCATACCAGGGATAAATTCCACTTGGTCTGGGTGGATGATCTTTCTGATGTGTTGTTGCATTCTATTGGCGAGAATTTTATTGAGGATTTTTGTGTCTATATTCATCAAGGATATTGGTTTGTAATTTTCTTTCAATGCTGCATCTTTCTCTGGCTTAGGAATTAAGGTGATGCTGGCTTCATAGAAAGAATTTGGGAGGATTCCCTCTTTTTTGAATGTTCTGAATAGTTTGAGAAGAAATGGAGTTAGTTCTTCTTTAAATGTCTGGTAGAATTCAGCAGTGAACCCATCTGGTCCTTGGCTTTTCTTTGTTGGGAGGGCCTTTATTACTGTTTCAATTTTTGTGTCAGTTATGGGTCTATTTAGGTTTTCTGTGTCTTCCTGGTTCAATTTAGGTAGATTGCATGTGTCCAGGAATCTATCCATTTCTGATAGATTTCCCTGTTTGTTGGCATAGAACTCTTTGTAGTAATTTCTGATGATTCTTTTTATTTCTGTGGTGTCTGTTGTTATGTTTCCTTTTTCATCTCTGATTTTATTGATTTGGGTCTTTTCTCTTCTTTTTTTAGTTAGTTGAGCCAATGGTGTGTCAATTTTATTCATTTTTTCAAAAAACCAGCTCTTCGCTTGGCTGATTTTTTTATAATGTTTTTTTTTTTTTGGATTCAATCCTGTTGATTTCTTCTCTGATTTTACTTATTTCTCTTCTCCTACTAGATTTGGGTCTAGTTTGCTGCAGTTTTTCTAGATCCTTGAGATGCATTGAAAGCTCATTTATTTGGTGCCTTTCTAAGTTCTTGATGTAGGTACCTATTGCTATAAACTTTCCTCTCAACACTGCTTTTGCCGTATCCCATAAGTTTTGGGATCCCATATGTTTTGATATGTTGTGTTGTTATCCTCAATTACTACGAGAAAGTTTTTGGTTTCTCTTTTGCTTTCTTCTATAACCCAGTGTTCATTCAGGAGCCTGTTGTTCAGTCTCCATGTGTTTGCATACTCTCTAGGGATTCCTGAGTTGCTAATTTCCACCTTCATTCCGCTGTGGTCTGAGAAGCTGCATGGTATGATTCTAATTCTTTTAAATTTGCTGAGACTTGCTTTATGGCCGAGTATGTGGTCAATCCTAGAGAAGGTTTCATGCACTGCTGAGAAGAATGTAAATTCTTTAAAGTAGGATTGAAAGTTCTGTAGATATCTGTTAGATCCATTTGGGCAATAGTGTCGATTAAGTCTGCTGTTTCCTTGTTGATCTTCTGTCTGGTTGATCTGTCTATTTCTGAGAGTGGAGTATTGAAGTCCCCCAATACTATTGTATTGGAATCTAGGTCTCCCTTTAAGTCCCTTAACATATCTTTTAAATAAACCGGTGCCCTGTAATTAGGTGCATATACATTTATAATAGTTACATCTTCCTGTTGACTTGAACCCTTAATCATTATATAGCGCCCCTCTTTGTCTCTCTTAACAGTTTTTGTGTTAAAGTTTATTTTGTCTGATATTAATATGGCTACAGCTGCTTTTTTTTGTTTCTGTTGGCATGGAATATCATTTTCCAACCTTTCACTTTCAGTCTGCATGCATCTTTGTTGGAAAGATGTGTTTCTTGTGGGCAGCAAATAGATGGGTTTTGTACCTTAACCCATTCAGCCAGTCTGTGCCTTTTAACTGGAGAGTTGAGTCCATTAATATTCAATGTGACTATTGATAAGTAGTAACTTTGCCCTGCCATTTTCCCAAAGATATTTTCTAGTATATGCTTTGAGCTTCTGTGATCTTTTACTGGGAGGTTTTCTTCCTTTATCTTCTTTCATAGTGATGGCTGTGTTTCTGTGTTTCGCACATCTTTAAGCATTTCTTGCAGTGAGGGGATGAGTGGCGACAAATTCTTTCTATTTCTATTTGCTATGAAAGGTCTTTATTTCACCTTCATTCACAAATGAGAGCTTTGCAGGATATAATGTTCTGGGCTGGCAGTTTTTCTCTCTTAGTACCTGGGCTATATCTCACCATTCCCTCCTAGCCTGTAGGGTTTCTGATGAGAAGTCAGCTGTGAGTCTAATTGGAGATCCTCTGAGAGTAATCTGACGTTTCTCTCTTGCACATTTTAGGATCTTTTCTTTATGTTTCACTGTGGTGAGTTTAATTACAACGTGTCATGGTGAGGATCTCTTTTGGTCATATTTACTTGGGGTTCTATGAGCTTCCTGTACTAGGATGTCTCTGTCCTTCTCCAAACCCGGGAAATTTTCTGCTAGTATCTCACTAAAAAGGCCTTCTAATCCTTTCTCCCTCTCCATGCCTTCAGGAACTCCTAGAACCTGAATGTTGAGTTTTTTAATAGTATCCTGTAGATTCCCAACAATATTTTTTAGATTTCTAATTTCCTCTTCTTTTCTTTGGTTTGACTGTATCCTTTCCTGTTCTCTGTCTTCTAAGTCCGATATTCTCTCTTCTGCTTCACTGACTCTATTTTTAAGGCTCTCTAATGTGTTTGTCATTTGATCTATTGAATTCTTCATTTCATTATGATTTCTCTTCACTAATACAGTTTCATGTTCTACTAGTTGCTTCATTTCATTTTGATTCCTCCTTAATATTTCATTTTCATGAGAGAGATTTTCTATCCTGTCCAGTAAGGATTTCTGTAGTTCAAGAATTTGTTTTTGAGAACTTCTTAATGTTCTTTTCAATTTTTTGAGATCTGTTTCTTGCATTTCTGCTATCTCATCATCTTCATAATCTTGGCTTGTGGTGTCTTGTTCATTTGAGGGCATCATAGTGTCTTCCTTGTTCTTGTTTCCTCGGTTTATGCGTTTGTTGTTTGGCATTGTGGAGATATTCTTTGGTTTCTTCGCTGTAGTGGTTTTTCTCGTTATACTGTTGTCGTAACTGAGTGAGTGCAAACAAAGGAGCTCCACACATTGATAAAATTTGATGGTCCTTTATTGCCAGCGGTGGAGAGTGGGCTTATGCCTTAAAGAACTCTCGACCCTGAATCCCAAAGCAACAGGGTTTATAAAGGCAAAAACCACAAAATTGGGAGGGGAATTCATGGTTGCTAGGAACAGGGGGGAATACATGGTTACTGGGGTCAAGCTGACCTAAAACCTATGTGAAACTAGTATCAATTATAATCTTGACAATACCAGTTACAATCTTAATGATTCCAATTATAATCTTGACATTAATCCAGGTATTGGTTTTAATCATATGTAGGACATAGACAAATTACATTTTTATCATTAACCCAGGTGCAGCCTATCCACTTTCAAGCTTGAGTGATCATGCTAGGGGGTTTCTATGCTCTGCCAAGTGTGATGTAGTGGACTGCTATTGTCCGACTGTTTTAGATCATAGTTTCAGACCAGAGTCTCAGGGTGTGTGGGGGGCACTTTCCCAGAAAGGAGTCTCAGGTTCTCCAAAATGGATTCCCTACTGTTAAGGTGTTACTTCATTATGACTCTAGATTACGTGGACTGTCTGCTTTTGATGGATCCTTAGAGGCTGTGATGGGTGTGGCCAGAGAGCTCTGTTTGGTTCTTCAGGGTTAAGGGTGTGCCAAAGGTGACTCACCCAGGTTGTTCTCTGTCTCTCTCTCTCTTTTAAACTCAGAAGGGAAGTAATTCCACACAGCTGAGTGGAATTGAGGGTAGTCGATGTATGAAATCTAGCCCCTGTGGGTATAATATTCGTCTGCTCTACCCCAAGGACCACACAAAGGATCTTTGCAGCCCTCAGTGTGGTCTAAAATTTCTCTGCAGTCTCCCACCGGGTTGCCAAGGTTACTGAGTTTGTGTACTCCATGAGTTCTCTTGCCCACCCTCAGATTTTCAGTCTCAGTTCATTAGCTCCACACCTTCACTAGGTCCTAACCTCCTCTTATTTCTCCCCACCAGAGTCAGGTTTTTCTGCTTGGCTGATGGCGGGTGCCGCTTTACGTATGTCCAAAATTGCGCCTGCTCTTTGTCTTGCTTGGCTTTGTAAGGTGAGTGGAGAGAGAGGCTGGTGTCCGTGCCAGTTCCCCTTATTTATTCATTTTTTTCTCTCCTCCAGTCAGCCTGGTGAGCTTTCCCCAGCGGGGCTTCGAGCCTCGTTCCCTCTAGGCTCTTTCTGCCTTTCCCCACCAATGTCTCGGGCTACTGAGGTTTTTGTCTCACCTCCCCTTCCAGCGCTGGTGCGCAGACTCTGCGGCTGGGCTTCTGAGCCATGGGCGTCCTTGCTCTTCCCGTTGGTCCTCTGTGTCACATCCACTAGATCTGGAAGTTTCCTCTGCAATTTTTTTCCTGAGCCTTTCCCAGAGACTACAGTAACTCCACTTTTTTTAAACTATCTTTTCCTGGACTATCAGTGCACGCCCTCACTATTCTGCCATTTTGGCTCCGCCCCCTCAGTATTGTCTTGAATGTCAGGAGCTGCATTCTCTATTTGAGAACCAAGCTCTTTGTCCTCGGTATATTACCAGGAATTACAAAAATGGTCATGTAAGCTAGAATCTTATAATATATACTTTAAATAGCTTATTCTTATATAAAATGCTCTTTGCATTGTTGTTTTTTTTGCTATCCATTTGCTCTTCCTGTACATTTGGCTTTATCAATGAAAAAAATAAAAAAGAACATGTGATTTTATCCAATTTGTATGCTATGGTTTGAAATGCTGGCACAAATAGTTCATCCAGGGCATATTCACTCTATCTTACTGTGTGTGGCTTAGAAATACTCTATCTTTCTCACCTTTATTGTGTTTGCCTTCCTTTGTGTTAAGTTTTCCTATGAAGACATTTTTAAAATTAGCATGTAGCCCACTCTGGAAACAGGAATGTGACCCTCAAATTTCATGTGTTGGGAACTTAATCCCTAATGCAGCAGTGTTAGGAGGTAGAACCTAGTAAGATATGATTAGATCAAGAGGCTCTGTCTTCATTAATGGATTAATGCTGTTATTGAGTGAGGGGTTAGTTATTATGAGTGAGAGTTGTTATAAAAAATGAGTTTGTCCACTTCTTTTTTTGCTGTCACCCTCTCTTGCTCTTCCACCTTCCACCATGGGCTGATGCAGCAAAAAGTCCCTTGCCAGACGTAGCCCCTTAGTTTTGGACTTACCAGCCTCTAGGACCATAAAGCTGATTAATTTTCTGTTCACTATAAATAACTCAGTCTCAGATATTTGGTTATAGCAGCAGAAAACAGACTAACATGCATACAATCCATGAGTTTTTCTCCTTTTTTTTTTTTAAATTATTTATTTGAAAGAGTTGCACCCATCCGAAGCCAGGAGCTTCCTCTTGGTCTCCCATGCGGGTGCAGGGGCCAAGCACTTGGGCCATCCTCCACTGCCTTCCAGGCCACAGCAGAGAGCTGGACTGGAAGAGGAGCAACTGGGACAGAATCCGGCGCCCCAACCGGGACTAGAACCCGGAGTGCCAGCACCGCAGGCGGAGGATTAGCCAAGTAAGCCATGGCGCCGGCCACAGCTGGGATTCTTAACTGGTGCTCATATGGGATGCTAGCATTGCAGGTGGCTGTTTAACCCACTGCACCACAATGCCAGGCCCATCATGAATTTTTCTATACAAAATTTAGTTTAACTTATATTATATGTGGGGAAAGTAATTTGCCTTAGTGGTTTAGCAAGTGCAATACCCAGACCAGCAGCAGCAGCATCACCTTTCAACTGATTAGAAATTAAGTGCAAATTGTTGAGTCTCTGCTCTGAGATACTGGACCAGAAACTCTGGGGATAAGCACACTGAAGATTGTGAATCACAGTATCCCAGCTCTTCTTGTGGCAATTTAAAAAGTTGCAGGAGTCGGCCCTGTGGTGTAGCAGGTAAAGCTGCCACCTGCAGTGCCAGCATCCCGTATAGGTGCCAATTTGAGTCCTGGCAGCTCTACTTCCAATCCAGCTCTCTGCTATGGCCTGGCAAAGCAGTAGAAGATGGCTGAGTCCTTGGGCCCCTGCACCTGTGTGGGAGACTCCAGCTCCTGGCTCCTGGCTTCAGGTCAGTCCAGCTCCAGCCATTGCAGACATTTGGGGAGTGAACCAGTGGATAGAAGACCTATCTCCCTCTCCCCCTCCCTTTCCCTCTTTCTGTCTCTCTCTCTGCCTCTCTGTAATTCTGCCTTTCAAATACATAAATCTTTAAAAAAAAAAATTGTAGCACTGGAAATGACTGCCTTAATTAAAGTGAAACTAAGTAGTCATTCTAGTTCTTAGTTTCAATCATATACATCATTAGTATTTGTCAAATGTCTATTTTTGAGTTTACTATTGGAGTACATTCTAATAAATAAATTACAAAATAATGAATCCAGGCACTGGCATGGTGGTATAGCAGGTTAAACTGCCACTTGCGATACTGGCATTCTGTATGTGTTGGTTTGAGTCCCACCTGCTTCACTTCGAATCCAGCTCCCTGCTCATGTGCCTGGGAAAGCACCGGAGAACGGCCCATGGTGCCATGGCTCTGGCACCCACATGGGAGATATGGAAGAAGCTCCTGGCTCCTGGCTTTGGCCTGCCCCAGCCCTAGCCATTTTGGCCATCTGAGGAGTGAGCCAGTGAATGGAAGAATTTTCCCTCTCTGTAACTCTGTATTTCAAATAAATAAAAATAAATCTTAAATAAGACGATATTTTTAAAAACAATGAATGCAGGTGCTGCATTAATGGTATTAATGTCAAAATCTTTTATTATTTTGGTGAAATTTTATTTTTTGTAGGTTCATCCATATAAAACTCACTTCACAGTAGCTGAAAAAGGAAGTTACCCAAAGATTATCATCTATGAATATCCTTCTCTGAAGCCTTACAGAATACTTCGGGGTAAGTCCAGTGGAATCTGTAAAATATTTCATGTTGAGGGTGAACCACATGCTGAAGAAGGTGTGACATTGACTCATTCAGAGAAACAGAACTAACAGATAGAAAAGAGGTTCATTTAATGGAATTGGCTGGCACAGTTGGCAGGGCTGGCAACTGTGAAATTTTTAGGGCCTTTGGCAGGCTGGAAGGGTTCCAGAAGGAGTTGATGCTGTAGTGTTCAGGCTGAATTTCTTCCTCAGTTTTTCTTGTAAGGTCTTGCACCTGACTGATGCACCAGCATGGAGACGCTCCTTTACTTGTAGTTAACTGACTGTATGTGTTAGCCGTGTCTGTAAAATACCTTCACAGCAGCATCCAGACTAATGTGAACAGAACAGGTGAATGCTATCATCCTGCCAAGTCAACACATAAAATTAACCACCACAATTATCTTCCCGTTCTGTTCTCTGTATAATTATTTTCAGCAGTCAGCTTTTATTATTTGGGGCTTTTCAGTGGCAAACTTCAAGTTACAGATTTTTCTCTCTAATATTCTTTTGTGTTTCTCCACCACTTCATAAAATGGGGATATGTTCTCAAGGTGTTGTTCTCATGCAGAATGTGGCTAAAACATCTTGCCCTTCCTCTTTCATATCATGTAACTCCTAAGGCCAACAGTGATGAATCATTTTACATTTGTTCCTTTAGGGGATCCTTGCATTCTTACATTAGTCCACATTAAGGGCTGTCTCTCTCCCCCTTTTTTATTATATATTTGAAAATTAAATAAATGTTGCCCTTATTTATGAGAGTCTCTTCATCCCTGCAGATGGGACTGAGAAGGGATATGCTTATGTGGACTTTAACTACAGGGGCACCTTGCTGGCCTCGGTGGGTAGCAACCCTGATTACACACTGACCATCTGGAACTGGAAAGAAGAGCAACCCATACTGAGGACAAAAGCTTTTGCTCAAGAAGTTTTTAAAGTCACTTTCAACCCTGAAGATGAAGAGCAGCTTACTACATCAGGGTCAGGCCACATCAAGTAGGTTGAGTAACCAATAGAAGTGCTAGCAAACGTTATAAGGAAAATTTCCATGAGGATCATAAGACCTGGAGACATGTTTGCTGTTGTTATTTTAAAAGCTAACTGGTAACACACTTTTCTAATTAGATATATGAGGTTTTATTTCCTTAGCATAGATTAAAAAAAAAAAAAAAAGGAGGCTTTTAAATATAGCCTGCTATCGGCCGGCGCCGTGGCTCACTAGGCTAATCGTCCGCCTGCGGTGCCAATACTCTGGGTTCTAGTCCCGGTTGGGGCACCAGTTCTATCCCGGTTGCTCCTCTTCTGATCCAGCTCTCTGCTGTGGCCCAGGAAGGCAGTGGAGGATGGCCCAGGTCCTTGGGCCCTGCACCCGCGTGGGAGACCAGGAAGAAGCACCTGGCTCCTGGCTTTGGATCGGTGCAGCGCGCTGACCGTAGCAGCCATTTGGGGAGTGAACCAATGGAAGGAAGACCTTTCTCTCTCTCTCTCACTGTCTAACTCTGCCTATCAAAAAAAAATATATAAATATATATATATATATATATACACACACACACACACATATATATATAGCCTGCTATTTCCTTGCAGGCCTCACTTTCTGAGAGAGTTTATGTAGTATATTAACTAACCATGGCATGGTGTTTTCAAAATTCATATTGAGCTTTCATATCCACTCTTAAATTTCTTGTTTATAACAACTGAGTCATTATCTGTAAAGCAAGAATTATCACAGTATCATTCCTGACAAGGAACCCTCAATACTAAATGGTGTTAGAGGCTACTTTTAATTTCAGGTCTCTAATTCCAAGTTCCTTGTTTATTTCACTGGATGAATGACCCATTTCCAAGATGGAATGATTTTATCACTGTCTTTGTTTCGCCCTGTCTCATGCATTTGTTTAACGACCTAATCAACCATTCCAGAACTGCTGGTACTTGATTCCCAGTGTCTCATTAACAAAGACATTTTTGTTGATTCCAAATTCCTCTTGTCCCAATGTAAATCTGGTCTTTTTATTTGCTGTGCAGTAGAAATAAAGAATAATTGAGATTTTGAAAGGTAGTCTTTGGGTGAATTCTCAATTAACTTTTTTTGTAACTTTAGGCTAAATTTTTCTAGTTTCTTACATTTTCCTATAGTTTAGTAAAGTGTGTATTTTCTGTGCACTTCATAGAAGCACATGATTAGGGTACTTAGCATAACTTTGAGAAGCATATTAGTCATGAAGGTTTTTGGCTTTATATTATCTGCTTCTTGGTACCATCTGTTATCTGTTTTATCTAATTAAATAGGTCTTTTTTTTTCACTGTCATTCTGACTGTTCATTTGCTTGGAATATTACTTAAATGTTAGCAATGATATTTATAGTTTTTATGTACTGGGAGTGGTTCTAAAATTATTCAACAATTTGATGAGGTAGGTAAGATGAAGGTACAGTGTGATCAAGAAAATCACTCAGACTGACACGGGTGGTAAGTTAGAATATTTTTTAACACTTTTCTAAAACAGTATTGTTCAATAGGATTTTCTGTGCTGTCCAATACACCAACTACTAGCCACATGTAGATAATCAGTATGTGAAACTGGCTAGACTACTGAAATGTTGAATTCTTAATTTCATTTAATGTTAATTATTTTAAATCTAAATTAAATTGTTACAGTTGATAGGTAGCTACTGAACTGGACAGCATAACTCAAAAATAAAAAATCAGCAAAAGCAGGGCATTTTTAAAAATTTTGCCCATTATTTAATGGATATTACCTAGAACTTTGACAGGGAATAGACATTTAATACTTATTAATTGGTTGAAGGAATGAACAAATGAAATAATATATGTTAACATAAAATATGTAAAGTTTTGGATCATGTTAAAACTATGTGAACAACACTTTTTTATTAGATTTGTTTGCATTCATTATTTAAACAGTGTAGTACATTCACTCTCTTTCCTGTTTGTAGGTTCTGGGAAATGGCCTTTACATTCACTGGTCTCAAACTTCAGGGATTGCTGGGTCGATTTGGCAAAACAGCCACAACTGACATAGAAGGCTACATGGAGCTCCCGGATGGGAAGGTACGCTTAGCTACTGTACTAAACAGTGTTTCCAGGATGGGCTGTGGGCACCTCAAGTGGCACGTTCACTTATAGTGCCACAACACCTGTCCCTCGAATATTTTTTAAAATTTGATAGCACCACACTTAATATGTAGACTCTCATCCATCAAAAACTTGAAACTCCTCTCTAAATTTTGTCCTGGTCATTCTACTCCTGAATTATGTCCTGAAGAGATGTACAAAAACAAAACAAAACAAAACAAAAAACAAACCTCTAAAGTATTATGTATACATATGAAGAACTACCAGCAACTTAGGTCTAAATCACAATGATGAAAAAAAGAAACAGTGACTTGATCAGCTCTTGTCCTGACGGTTGATGTACAATGTAATACTTTATCCATTTTAGTATTTTTTTTGTTCTAGTACCATTGGTTGAACTCTGTAATTAACACACAATTATTCTTAGGTGTTTAAATTTTAACTGAAAAGTGATCCCTGTTAGGAACTTGGAAAACATTATGCTGAGTGAAATAAGCCAATCCCAAAGGGACAAATACCACTTGTTCTCCCTGATAGGTGACAACTAACTGAGCACCAAAAAGGAAACCTGTTTAAGTGAAATGAACACTATGAGAAACGGTGACTTGATCAGCCCTCACCCTGACTGTTGATGAGCAACTTAATATGTTATCCCTCTTAGTATTTTTTCTTGTTTGTTCTACTTAATACTTTTGGTTGGATACTGTAATCAATACACAATTCTTCTTAAGTGCTGAAACTTAACTGAAAAGTGATCACTGTTAAATATGAGTGGGAATAAGAGAGGGAAGAGATGTGCAATTCGGGACATGCTCAAGCTGACTTACCTCAAACAGTAGAGTTAGAAACATACCAGGGGATTCCAATTCAAATCCATCAAGGTGGCATGTACCAATGCCATCTCACTAGTCCAAGTGATCAATTTCTGTTCACAATTGATCATAATGATAGGACTAAGAACCAAAGGGATCACATCAACAAGACTAGTGTCTGCAAATACTAGCTGATAGAATAAAAAAGGGAGAGAACGATCCAACATGGGAAGTGAGATACACAGCAGACCCATAGAATGGCAGATGTCCTAAACAACACTCTGGCCTCAGAATCAGCCCTTAAAGCATATGGATCCGGCTGAAAAGCCCATGAGAGTATTTCAGGCATGGAAAACCAAGATGCTCTGGCAAAAAAAAAAAAAAAAAAAAGCCAAAATGAAAGATCTCTGAGAGTGAGATCCCAGTGGAAAGAACGGGTCATCAAAGAAGGAGGTACCTTTCTCTGAAGGGAGGAGAGAACTTCCATTTTGACTACGACCTTATCTAAGTATGATCAGAGTCGGTGAACTCAAAAGGCTTCCATAGCCTTGGCAGCTCATGACAAGAGCCTAGGGTGATTACTGATGCCATAAACAAGAGTGTCAATTTGTTAAGTCAAGAACAGGAGTCACTGTGCACTTACTCCTCATGTAGGATCTCTGTCCTTAGTGTGCTGTACATTGAGATTTAATGCTATAACTAGTACTCAAACAGTATTTTTCACTTTATGTTTCTGTGTGGGAGCAAACTGTTGAAATCTTCACTTACTATATGCTAAACTGATCTTCTGTATATAAAGAGAATGGAAAATGAATCTTGATGTGAATGGAAGGGGAGGGAGTGGGAAAGGGGAGGGTTGCAGGTGGTAGGGAAGTTATGGAGGGGGAAGCCATTGTAATCCATAAGCTGTACTTTGGAAATTTATATTCATTAAATAAAAGTTAAAAAAAAAGAAAAAAAACATAGTTAATGGTAGGAGGAAATACATCAAAATGTGATTGGTGGCTTTGTCTGGGATAGTGAGTTTGTTGTATTTATTTTTCCTTATTCAAACTTCTTACTTTCATAAGTAAGAAGAATAATCTTCAAAAAAATATTTCTTGCTGACTGCACATTGCTTTCTTTCTGCACACCTACTAGGTACTGTCAGGGTCAGAATGGGGCAACATGCTGCTTTGGGACGGCGGTCTCATCAAGGTGGAACTGTGTCGAGCTGCACGGAAGTCTTGTCACCAGGGTCCTATTAACCAGATAATGCTGGACGAGGGTGAAGTGATCACTGTTGGGTCAGATGGCTGTATCAGGGTAAGTTGTCTTGTGACTTGAGCAGTAGTACCCCCTTCTGAGACTTGGAGATCACCCAAATGGTTTTGTCAGATTTTTATTTCTCATGGTTATCAGTTTATGAAGACATCCATGATCATTTATTCCCAAGACCAATTTATTTTAAATAATGCTTCTCAGGTGATAAATATTTACATTCTTTTTTTAAAAAATTATTTATGTGAAAGGTGGAGTTACAGAGGCAGAGAGAGAGAGGGGTGGGGAGAGGTCTTCTATCCACAGGTTCACTCCCCAAATGGCCACAGTGGCCAGAGCTGGGCTGATCTGAAACCAGGAGCCTGGAGCTTCTTCCAGGTCTCCCATGTAGGTGCAGGGGCCCAAGGACTCGGACCACCCTTCACTGATTTTCCCAGACCATAGCAGGGAGCTGGATCAGACATAGAGAGCCAGGACTCAAACTGATGCCCGTATAGGATGCTGACACTTCAGGTGGCCACCTTACCCACTATGCCACAGCACCAACCCAGTATTTGCATTCTTGTCAATTAATTGACTGCATTGTAGCATTGAGACCTTTTGTTATTTTGATTCCATTGAAATAGCTTCAGAAAATGAAAACTTGTGTTAGCACTATATCAACAGTGGACACATTTGTCCTCCCAAACTGCCTGGTATGAATGGGTCATTTTCTAGGAACAAAAGTTCCAAACATCTGTTGGTTATTCTTTTACAAAGACGATTAGTTAGAAATATACTCACAGTTGTCGGCGCCGCAGCTTACTAGGGTAATCCTCCGCCTGCGGCGCCAGCACCCCAGGTTCTAGTCCTGGTTGGGGCGCCGGTTCTGTCCCGGTTGCTCCTCTTCCAGTCCAGCTCTCTGCTGTGGCCTGGAAGGCAGTGGAGGATGGCCCAAGTGCTTGGGCCCTGCACCCGCATGGGAGACCAGGAAGAAGCACCTGGCTCCTGGCTTTGGATCGGCGCAGCGCGCTGGCCATAGCAGCCATTTGAGGGGTGAAGCACCGGAAGGAAGACCTTTCTCTCTGTCTCTCTCTCTCTCTCACTGTCTAACTCTGCCTGTCAAAAAAAAAAAAAAATATATATATATATATATATATACACACACTCACAGTTGAACTGACAAAGTTTGCCTATGGATACTACACCAGGAAACTCACCTGTTTTAATTTGTATACACTATCCTGCCTGAGGCCTGGGCTAAGCTGGAACATTGCTCCAGTATCTAAGTTCTGGATTCTGTTCTGTCACACTTCTCCCACTCCCATTCACCTGTGAATGTATATCCACCTATTGCTGGCTATCCTGTAGCCTTGTGATTTGCCTTGTGGTCCCCTTTGCACATAGATTTTGTAGGATCTTTCATAGGAAAATGGTAGTGTTGTCTTATCAGAAATAAGATTGCATTAAAAGTAACATTCTGGGGCTGGCGTTTTGGCACAGCAGGTTAAGCTGCTGCCTGCAATGCTGGTATCCTAAATGGGCACTGCTTCTAGTCCCAGCCACTCCACTTCTGATCCAGCTCCCAGCTAACGAAGCTGGGAAAGTAGTGGAGGATAGCCCAAGCGCTTGGGCCCCTGCCACCCATATGGGAAGCTTGGATGGTGTTCCAGGCTCCTGGCTTCAGCCTGGCCCACCCCCACCTGTTGTGGCCATTTTGGGAGTGAACCAGTGGACGGAAGATTGATCTCTCTCTCTCTCTCTCTCTGCCTTTCAAATAAATAAATCTCAAGAAAATCATTCTGGTCACTGTATGGACACCTATTGAGTTTAGTATGTCTAATGTATTGTTTACCTCATATCTGCACAGTGTGTCTTCTTATCATTGACTTTTTGAACCCAGGAATAGGTTTTACTATTTACAATGTTAAATTTAATCTTGTTAGATTTCACACATTGCTCTGAGGATTTTTTTTGTGTTCTTTCTTTTGTCATATGATATATTTACTCTTCTCCCAAAATATGTCACCTAAAATGTCCAAATTCCAAGTGGAAAAAATCTTAAGAGAAATGAAGTTAAATATTTCAGAGTATCTCTGATTTCCAATTTCTCATCTTTTAATTCCTTCATATTGTAAATCTCTGCCTCTTTAGGAAGTACCTACGCCAACACTCAGGCATTGTCTGATTCTAGAATCTGACCATCTCCCCCACAGACACACATATACAGCTGGTTAATCCAACAGATAGCAACCGTATCCTGGGAGTTACTTTCCTGAAGTCTGAGTTATTCAGTCTAGGATAATATGGCAGAACTGTCCAGGCAGGTTTTGGCACTTCATAGGGGAAGTCCAGAGTTACTCTGCGTTAGTCAGGTGGAACTGTGCCTTCTTAGTCTTCTGTAGTATTCTGGACTCCTCTTAGAACAACATTCCTGTCAAAAAAAAAAAAAAAAAAAAGAAAGAGAAAAGAAAGAACAACATTTCCTATCTGAGGTTAATGTAAATCGTTATTAGGGAAGAGAAACATTTTCTAATGGAAACATCACCTGCAGTCTATTTTTCTCTGCCTACAATGAAGATAGTATTTGAATCTTTAAGCAACAAGGTGTGTTTTCCTGTGCAGGGGCCTACTAATCAGTGTATAGAAACAAGACTTATTGTAATGTCTTCTCAAACAACTGAGATGTTTCCTCCTCACAGCTGCTTTATAGGAAGACCTAATAGAAACCTTGGAATAAGCTTATTTGGGCCAAATTAAAATTCTTATGCAGGGCTGTATCTTTCACTAAAAGAAACTACAATAATTTATTAGACCAAATTTCAGAGGAAAATCGAGAGTTTGGGTTTTGGTTAATGCTCCAGTTACACTTACTGTTAATTTTCATGAAACAAAAAGAAATGACATTTGAAAACAATTAGAACCTTTTCTGGCTTGAGAAATAAATTAAATCACTGATTGATTAAATTATTTTCTTATTAACTTTACAAGATATGGGATTTTGAGACAATAGATACTGCTGATTCTATCGATGAAACTGGATTGTTAGAGATTGAGCCTATTAATGAACTTCAAGTAGACAAGAATGTCAACCTCTTCTCTATGATAAAAATGAATGAAACTGGAAATAACTTTTGGCTGGCTCAGGTAGGTTGTATTCTTTTCTTTTAACTCTTAAATGAACTAAATGTAAAATTAAAATAGTATAATTTATTATCTACATTGGAAGTCTGACTGTAAGTATTGTGAGATTGCTTTATCGTGGGGTTGTATTCTAAAAATATATAAAAATTTCACTTATTTAATTTGTCACACTTTAAAGTATGTGTGAGCTTTTGATATTATTTGTCCTTAACCATAGGAAGAAAAACTTTAATTTTATGAAAGTTCAAAAATGTAAGAGAAAATACTATTAAATATTTAATTTTTTAGGATGCCAATGGAGCCATATGGAAGCTTGATCTCAGTTTTTCAAATATTGTAAGTTGTTTATTTTTCTTAATTTTCCCTTTCATAATAAACACCTTTGTTATTCTTTAAAAGGGACATCATCTTTCTTCCAATTATATAATGTTTCCATGAAAAACTTGCTAAAGGGGCTGGCAGTGTGGCACAACAGGTTAAGCCACTGCTTGTGACACTGGCTTCCCACAAAGGAGTGTTGGTTCCAGTCCTCGCTCCTCTGCTTCCATCCAGTCCAGCTCCCTGATAATGTGCCTGGGAAAGCAGCAGATGATGGCCCAAGTACTGGGACCCCTGGGATACCTGGAAGGAGTTCTGGCTCAGCCTCAGCCATAGCTGCCATTTAAGGGTGAGGGGAGTGAGCCAATAGATACAAGATACCTCTCTATATATCACTCTGCCTTTCAAATAAATAAAATAAAATAAAATAAAATAAAATAAAAACTTGTTCAACATACTATATTCCTGAGAATTCATTCTTCTCTCTCCCCATTTCTTTCTCATTATGACTTTGCATAAAAAATGATCTCAGCAAAATTTACCAGAAACATAGCAATGACATTGTGTGGTGCTTTGCACTTTTCGTAAATGTATGTAGTTTTTATTTATATTATCTCATGATCCTTACAACTACCCTGATTGTAGGTAGGCAGCTGCCATTTTCTCATATGATGATGAAGAAATGGAAACTAGCATTTGAAATAACTTGTGTGCAAAGTAATACAGCCATTATGTGCAAAACCAAGATTCTTTGTTTCTCCTAAATCCAAAGTCCAGTGCTTTTTCTAACCTATTATCATTTTAAAAAAATTCTGTTCAAATAAACTCAATTAAGATCACACAGGTATTAGAAGGTTCTATTTGCATTTCTCTTTGAGATCCAGTGAATTGTCTGTCTGTTCTCAGACCCAGGATCCAGAATGCCTCTTCTCCTTCCATTCTGGAGCTATTGAAGCGTTGGCCCTTTCTCCTCTCACTTATCTCATGGCCACAACTGCCCTGGATTGTAAGTAGGAACTCTTAAGGAAAATATCTGACCTTGGCTTGTTTTACTTTGAATAAAAATTTTATGTGTTTGAGTGAAAACATCTGGGAAGTTTCAAAAACAGGAAGCCTCCTGAGTGCAAGTGAGGTGAGCTGTTGCAAAGTGGAGAAGGCTCAGAATGCAAGAGCTATGTATTCGTGAAAATGCTATTCATTTTAATATGATCCAAATTTGTACATTTCCTACTCTTTCTATTTCGTTTCTTCCTTCTTAACTTAGGGTAAATCTGTGTGCGCTATGCAAGGTGACGTTGATTCATCAGTCAATTGTCAGTTGTCATCATTGTGATGTCTAATAATGAATTATTTATTTAAGGGTAGACATGGAAATTTTTGACTAAAGAAAGGGTATTGATGATCAGTTGACTTAGTTATGTATAAAATTTTTATTATAATACTCAACATGTAGAAAGTAAGCCAAGATTATCTTAAATGATATTATATATAAATAACTTGTTTCCTTTAAAACTGTATTTCTGTAGGCTCTGTTCGAATTTATGACTTTGCTAGCAAAACTCCTTTGGTTCATATGAAATTCAAGCAAGGAGGTACTACCCTTGCTTGGGTACCCCGAATGGTAAGTTTGTTGTTATAATGAACTTATATCAGAATTTATTGGTAAACATGGTATATCAGTGCTATTTCTTAGAAATATTGATATTTTATGATTTGGAATTTTAGAGAACACAAAATTTTAATTTGTTTCACTCACAATGTGATAGAAATTATATCATGACCTCACTATTCGTATGGTTTAGAGTCTGTTTTTAATGAAAATTTTGTTTTTATTCTACCTGCAGATTAGTAATAGTTCTGAATTACAAAATAGCTATACAATACGACTTTGTATATCTAGCCTCTATGCATCTAACTGTGATTTCATTCATCTCATTAATATTTCCAAAATGCCTACAATGTTGTGGCCTGTGTTCTAGATTCTGGGAATGTAGCAGTGAAGAAAAACACAAAAATATTTGCCTTTATGGACCTATAGTGGGACTGAGGCAGAGACAGACAGTAAAAAAAAATACATAATAAAATATATGTTAGGAGAAATAATAATCAGCTATAAAATATATTAGTTAGGGAGGCCAGTGTTGTGGAGTAGCCAGTTAATCTGTTGCTTATAATGCTGGCATCCCATATCTGACTGCTGGCTTGAGTGCTGGCTACTCCAATCCTGATTCAGCTTCCTACTGATGCACCTGGGAATGCAGCAGATGATTGCCCAAGTGCTTGGGCCCCTGCCACCCCTGTGGGAAACCTGAATGGAGTTCCTAGCTCCTGGCTTCTGCCTGGCCAAGCCCTGGCTGTTGCCTCCAAGGTGCGTTAGCAGGAAACTGAATTGGAAAAAGAAAAGGGACTCCATCTCAGACAGTCTGATATGAAGTGTGGGCATCCCAAGTACAGCTTAACCCACTGTGCCCCAGTCACACACTTCTTACTTGATGGCTCAAGGTGCCAAAGGCTATTGTTTCAACAAACAAGGCAGAAACTGATGGCCTTTTATGCCCCAATCTCGGAGGTTAAATGACCACTTCTGTCATACTCCACTGAGTGAAGCAACCAGTCACCAGCCCTACCCAAATTCAACAGGATGAGGCTTAATCTGTATTCCCACAGGAGACCATGTCAGTGAATTTGTAGCCATATTTAAAAAATGCTATGAGTATTCTGTAGAGTGTTTAGTACTTACTGTTTTTAGTTGAAATACAAGAGAAAAAAGTGTTTCAGGCTAAAAAAGATGTGCGTATGACTGAGACGGAGGGAAATTTCACAATGGAATCAAACCAGAAGGAGAACCCAGAGCAGGGAACATAGCCAGCACAATGAGGAAACTAGAATAAGTGGAAACAACAGAGCCTTGGGATTGGCAGACCTGGCTTACTCGGCTCCCTAATCTATTTACACTGCTACTTGAAGTTTGGAGTACCATCCGTGTAGTTAAATCATTTATTCAGGCGGGTATGTGATGTTCTCAGAATGTTTCTGTTGCGTCCAAGTAAGGAGCTCAGGCTCTGAGGCTAGTGTGTAATGGCCCTTTCTCCTTACCCCCTTTCTGGACATCACACAAGTTAAGTGTCATCTCCTCTGTATGGCCCTCAGTGAACCCACCTTCAAGTAGAGATAGGTCCTTCTGCCTCTGTGACTTTCCCCCCGAAAGCTGTGTACTCTATGTACGTCTTAGAACACTTAGCCACAGCATACTAAGAATATTGCTTAATTGTGTGATTTTTCCCACTAAGCTCTATGTACTGACAACCATTCTTCCTGGCACCTCCACTGGGTCTAGAGTTACTGGTACATTTAGGCACTTGGTAAATGTTTGTTGAATGAACAACACTCAGCTGGAGAAGAATGGAAGTACCCTTTTCTTATTCATGAGTTCCTCATAACATTCTGGCTTCATCCTGAATGCCTTCCAAGGTTTAGTACATTTCAGACATTGCTGGCTTTGTATCTTCAGCCCAGACTTCCCCTTCAGCCACAGACTATACTGCATTTTGACAACTCAGAGGGACTCAAGGTGCTGAGACTAAATTCATGATCTGCCCATTGCCTGCCATCCCTCTCTCCACTGCAATAGAAACAACAAATTACAGCCTCACCTAGCTCTCTTGCAGCATTTCCTGGCTCAGAAAGTGCTATTGTCATTCACTCTTTCTTTCTATTTTTTTTAAAGATTTTTATTTATTTATTTGAGAGGTAGAATTATAGACAGTGAGAGGGAGAGACAGAGAGAATGGTCTCCCATCCACTGGTTCACTCCCCAAATGGCCGCAACGGCCAGAGCTGTGCCGATCCAAAGCCAGGAGCCAGGAGCTTCTTCTGGGTCTCCCAAGCGGGTGCAGGGGCCCAAGGGCTTGGGCCATCTTCTACTGCTTTCCCAGGCCATAGCAGAGAGCTGGATGGGAAGAGGAGCAGCCTAGAACCGGCACCCATATGGGAAGCCAGCGCCTCAGACGGAGGATTAACCTACTGTGCCACAGTGCCAGCCCCTATCATTCACTCTTGACATTTCCCTTTGCCCCATTCCCCAAATTCAGGCATTACCAACCATGGCCATTATGCCTGTTTATTTCTTAAAGATTTATTTTATTTATTTGAAAGATAGAGTTACTGAGAGGGGGAGAGACAGAGGTCTTCCATTCACTGGTTCACTGCCCCAATGGTCACAATAGCTGGCGCTGTGCCAGACCAATGCCAGAAGCCAGGAGCTTCTTCTGGGTCTTCCACATGGGTGCAGGGGTCCAAGGACCTGGGCCATCCTCTGCTGCTTTCCCAGGCACGTTAGCAGGGAACAAGATTGGAAATGGAGCAACCAGTACTTGAACTGGTGCCCATATGGGATTCTGACATTGCAGGTGGCAGATTAACCAGCTTTGCCACAGTGTTGGTCTCCCATAAAACTGTATCTAAAATATGTCCACATCCCTCATGTCCACTATGCTATCTCAGACCATGTGGCTGTGTCAGTTCTCCTGAAGTGCAGCAGCCATCTTTTTTTTTTTTAACTTTTATTTAATGAATATAAATTTCCAAAGTACAGCTTATGGATTACAATGGCTTCCCCCCATAACGTCCCTCCCACCTGCAACCCTCCCCTTATCCACTCCCTCTCCCCTTCCATTCACATCAAGATTCATTTTCATTTCTCTTTATATACAAAAGATCAGTTTAGCATATAGTAAGTAAACATTTCAACAGTTTGCTCCCACACAGAAACATAAAGTGAAAAATACTGTTTGAGTACTAGTTATAGCATTAAATCTCAATGTACAGCACACTAAGGACAGAGATCCTACATGAGGAGTAAGTGCACAGTGACTCCTGTTCTTGACTTAACAAATTGACACTCTTGTTTATGGCATCAGTAATCACCCTAGGCTCTTGTCATGAGCTGCCAAGGCTATGGAAGCCTTTTGAGTTTACTGACTCTGATCATATTTAGACAAGGCCATGGTCAAAGTGGAAGTTCTCTCCTCCCTTCAGAGAAAGGTACCTCCTTCTTTGATGACCCGTTCTTTCCACTGGGATCTCACTCGCAGAGATCTTTCATTTAGTTTTTTTTTTTTTTCCCCCAGAGTGTCTTGGCTTTCCATGCCTGAAATACTCTCATGGGCTTTTCAGCTGGATCCATATGCTTTAAGGGCTGATTCTGAGGCCAGAGTGCTGTTTAGGACATCTGCCATTCTATGGGTCTGCTGTGTATCTCACTTCCCATGTTGGATCGTTCTCTCCCTTTTTTATTCTATCAGCTAGTGTTTGCAGACACTAGTCTTGTTTATGTGATCCCTTTGACTCTTAGTCCTATCATTATGATCAATTGTGAACAGAAATTGATCACTTGGACTAGTGAGATGGCATTGGTACATGCCACCTTGATGGGACTGAATTGGAATCCCCTGGTATGTTTCTAACTCTACCGTTTGAGGTAAGTCAGCTTGAGCATGTCCCGAGCAGCCATCTCTTAAAAGGTCTTTTATAAGGGTTCCCCGCATCCTATCTACACCATATCAGATCCGTGTTCTACACTGCAGAGACAATGAAATTTTTAAATCAGCGGATCTTGAGCATTTCATACCCTGTCCACGTAACCCCAAACTAAAAGCCTTTTGATGAGTTCCCATTGCTCTCAGGAGAAAGGCATCCTTAATGTGACATGAAGTCCATTTCATAATTTGGTCCCAGCTATCTCCCTCTCTAGCCTCTTGTAGTATGGCTCCCTCACTCTAGTGTGATTTAGTTAAACTAACTTTCCTGGGCTGTGTTCTTTCTTTCCACAGGATCTTTGCACAGGCTATATTCTCACCTGGGATAATTTCTCCTTCCTGTACCTAGTTAATTTCTGAGCATCCTTCTGATCTCAGGTTCGCTATCTCTTCCTTAGGGAATCTCTTAGTCTAAGTTAACTTTCTTTGTTATATGCTCTCCAAAAATACATTTCTTCCTTTTACACTTTTTTCGTTCATAATTTCACAGTTTTTTGTGTGATGGTTGATGTCTGTTCCCTGCACTAGACCATAAACTCTGTGAAACCAGAGACGGAGTCTGTGTACGTTCACCAGTAGGTTGCTGGTGTGTGGTTGGCAGACTTCTGCTGGTGTTTGCTCATTTAGGGTGTGAATTGCTATCATTTACCCTTCCTGTGGTCATTAGTGCTAAGGAACTGTCTTGGGATAGAAGGAGGTTACCAGAAACTGGCATGCAGAATTGGTATAGTGGCCCAAGTTAAATTACCTAAGACTAAATAAAATACAGAGTTATTTGTTATGCAACACAACTTTGTTAATTAATTTCAGGTCTCTGATATTTAATTCTTTTCCAAGGTAAGCTACACTGGAGCACAAATTATTGTGGGATTTGAAGATGGAGTTGTTCGAATCCTTGAACTTTATGATCCAAAAGGTCTCACAATTTTTGCAGGACGGAAGAAAGTTTTGGATGCAGATATTTCCTTGAAATATGTTTTTAAACCCCACACTGATCGTGTCACTGCTTTAGCTTATGAACGTGATGGAGAAATTCTAGCTACAGGAGTAAGCAGTAGATTTCCTTTTGTTTCCTATTGAAATGTCATGGTTAAATTTGCCTTTTACATCTGCCTGTTTGATTATAGCTTATTTAGTGAAATTTATTTTCTAAGAAAAAATACATAGTTTACGTTTTTTGCATTCATATTCTTTCATTGTATTCTGCATATGGCATTTTAAAAGTCTTATGAATTGAGTTCTAATGCTTATTTTAAATCAATAGAAATTTCATCTGGGAGTCACGCTAGATATATTATTTGTAATCAGTATTTCTATAAATGAAAAGAATAACTATGTAAATTCCTTATGCATTCATGGGTGAGCATATATATTTGGAATTATTTATAATTAAGTTATATAAATTATAAGTAAATAAGTATAGTGATCACATTTTCAAACCACACACTGGAGCACATGGGGAAAATGAACATGAATTGTCTCAGAATAATCTGTGTTATGTGACCTTTGTAGATATAAATGTATTTTAATAGCATTGTAAATATTATTAAGTGCTTTTTTTGTGCTCTGTGGACTTGATTTCCTAATAATATACATTTGGTGGGTGTGTCTCTTCTTTCTTAGAGTAAAGATCATACTGTCTTCTTCTTTGAAGTGGAAAAGGATTATAAGCCAATTGGTTATATTAACACTCCAGGACCTGTTATCCAGTTAATGTGGTCTACAATCTCTCATGTAAGTCATTATTCATCTTCATGCTTAGCTTTCAGTTAGTCATAGTAAAGTGATCTTTGTACATAGAGAAAAACAGGTAGAATTATGAGCCCTACTCTTTAGTCCTCCAGCAGGGGGACGGGAATGTGACAATGGAACGCCCAGGTGGCTACTGCTCCTCTAGGTCAGTGAAGCATCCCTCAGCTCTGCACTCCCCTCGACACCATTCTTCTCTGCCATGCTCTAATTAGTTGTCCCTGATTTCCTCTCAGAGCACAGTGTTATGTCAGGCTCTGCATCAACAATGGTGACCGTTGGCCAGATACACAACATGTTATAGTACTTTGGCTTGGATTAGTTAGTCTGTGTTTCCAAAAGTCAGAAGCTCAGTTCCAAGATCTGAATGTACTTTTTCTTTCTTTCTTTACTTCTGCTTCACCTTCAATCCACCTCTTATTTTCTTTTCTAGTCTTCCATTATTTCTTTTGTAACAATTAGTAATTCAGGATTGATTATGAACGCCATTCAGTATCTCAACTTGGCTAAGTGTGAGTGTAGAATAATGAAATCAGCTAAATATTGATTTAATGTCTAAATGAAGTGTTATACTAAGTAGGTGTCAGGATAATGATACTGATGAACTACATAAAAGTACTCTCGGGATTATTAAGCTAACAATGCTAATCTACTTTAAGCTCTTTTTTTTTTTTTTTTTAACACGCAGATTTAGACAGTGAGAGAGAGACAGAGAGAAAGGTCTTCCATTTCTGTTGGTTCATCCCCGAAATGGCCGCTACGGCCAGAGCACTGCAGCCAGCGTGCTGCGCCGATCTGAACCCATGAGCCAGGTGCTTCCTCCTGGTCTCCCATGCGGGGTGCAGGGCCCAAGCACCTGGACCATCCTCCACTGCACTCCCGGGCCACAGAAGAGAGCTGGCCTGGAAGAGGGGCAACCGGGACAGAATCCAGCGCCCCAACCGCAGGCCGAGGATTAGCCTAGTGAGCCGGGGCACCAGCCTACTTTAAGCTCTTCTAAAGAAAAGGGCAATAGAAATGTTGGTATTATTTAGAAAAAAATACCTTTTAAAATTAATCAGCAGATATTCATTGTTTCCATCTTTACTAGGCACTGTGGTAGATTGTGTGGTGCAAAACAATCTCTGTTCTCATGAAGAAAAAATACAGATGCTGAAAATTTTAAATAACTGAACAATGAAAGAGTTCATGAGGAATTGGTGACTAAAATATCAGTGGTGTCAACAATGCCTGTTGTGAATTTAGAGCAGGAACTGGTCATGAAATGGAGAAGTTAAAATGAGTAATTATTTTGTATTATTGTACCTTAATTTTGAGAAATCGCTAGAATGTAGGCAGGAAGTAGGTACGAGTGTTTCAGGCTCAGGGAATGATAGCTGCAAAGGAAGCTGTGAGTGAAAGCATGAATATTTGTATCACGACATAGAACAGTATGTACAGCCTTCAGTTATTTCCCTAGACACAGTGTTTGAAAACAAACCAATATTTGCCCTGGGGTCATGATCATGGGCAGGAAAGGAGTGAGTATAACTGTATAAGAGTAACTAGGGGTTGTTTTCTTCACCAGGAGATAGTTTTGTGTCTCAATTGCCATGATGAGTACATGAATCTTCACCTGTGGTAAAACGACCAGGAACAATACACACATTCTATGTCAATTTTTTGAATTTGGTATAGTTGCATAGATCTAACCAATCGTAGAAACTGGGGAAAATATACATGATGCCTCTGCAGCTGTATTTTCAAAATCATGTGAATCATAATTATTTCAAAATAAGAAGTTCAAAAAATGAAAGGCAGGCATACAAGACTAAAAAACTAGCATAATTCAAAAGTCATTTCTAATAAACAGTGGCCTTGGGCCCCTGCACCCACATGGGAGACCCAGAAGAAGCTCCTGGCTCCTGGCTTTGGATCAGCATCACTGTGGCCATTGCAACCAACTGGGGAGTGAACCAGTAGATGGAAGACCTCTCTCTCTCTTTCTCTCTCTCTGCCTTTCCTTTTCTCTCTCTGTAACTCTGACTTTCAAATAAATAAATATTTGAAATAAATATTTGAAAGTCAGAGTTACAGAGAGAGAGAAGGAAAGGCAGAGGGTGGGAAAGAGGGAGGAAAGGAGAGAGAGGAGTGGGGGAAAATATCTTCCATCTGCTGCCTCCTTACCCAAATGGTCACAATGGCCAGGGCTGGTCCAGGCCAAAGAGAAGAGCATGGAACTCCATCTGGATCTCCTGCTTCTTTCCCAGACACATTAGCAGGCAGCTGGATCAGAAGCAGAGAAGCCGGGACTTGAACCACTTCGTACGTAACCTTCTGTGCCACAACATCAGTCCCTACAGTTTCTCTTAAGAAATGATCTTTCTGTTGCCTTGTTGTAATTGCCAAAATTGGAAGCTCAAAAGTTATTCTAGTCTCTTCCATACCTCTAACCACCTTGACTTTCAATGGTTCAGATAGCCTTGTTGATTTTGCATCCTAAACATATATTGGATCTGTTTCCTCACTGTTACATGCATTATGCTTTTGAACTTCATTTCCTCTGCATAAAATGGCCTCCTTCCTCATCATCCCAGCACATACACTCATTAGTTTTAAACACACACACACATACACACACAAATTACAAGTATTTTATTAAGGATTTTTTGCATCTATTTTTGTAGGAAAGTGATAATTCCACCCTTTTGTATTGTGCTTGCTAGTTTTGAAATCTATAAGGAAATAATGAGTTGCACAACATCATAGACCAAATGGACGTTAACAGGCATTTTCAGAAAATTCCACCAACAGCAGACTGTTTCTTTAGTGGAGTATTAAAGATATGCATCTCAAAAGTGAGGGAGAGAAGGGGGAAAGGGAGCGGGAGAGAGATGGGGGACAGAGGGAAGGAGAAAAGTAATATCATTACATCACTTGTACCTATTAACTACATTGAACCTATTAAAAAACTAAAAATAAATAAGTAAAACTACATTCAATTCCATTTAAAAAGATGTATTTTATTTGTTTGAAAGGCAGATTTGCAGAGAGTGAGAGAGACACAGAAATCTTGCATTTACTGGTTCACTCTCCAAATGGCCACAAGGGCCAGGGCTGGGCCAGGTTGAAGCCAGAAGCCTGGAACTCCATCCTGGACTCCCACATGGGTGGCAGGGGCCCAAGATCTTGGTCCATCCTCTTCCACTGCTATCCCAGGCATACTAGTAGGAAGGTAGATGGGAAGTGGAGCAGTGGGGTTCATACAGGATGTCAACATTTTAGGTGGTGGCTTAACCCCCTGTGCCACAATGTTGTTCCCTACATTCTAACTTCTTTATTTTTTGGACAGGCAGAGTGGACAGTGAGAGAGAGAGAGACAGAGAGAAATGTCTTCCTTTCTACCGTTGGTTCACCCTCCAATGGCCGCCGTGGCCAGCACTGCTGCTGGTGCATTGCGCTGATCTGAAGCCAGGAGCCAGGTGCTTCTCCTGGTCTCCCATGTTGGTGCAGGACCCAAGGACTTGGGCCATCCTCCACTGCACTCCCGGGCCACAGCAGAGAGCTGGCCTGGAAGAGGGGCAACTGGGACAGAATCTGGCGCCCCAACTGGGACTAGAACCTGGTGTGCCGGTGCCGCAGGCGGAGGATTAGCCTATTGAGCCGCGGCTCCGGCCCATTGTAACTTCTTGATCTCATCATTTCCCATAATCTTTATAGCTCACCTGCACACTTTCACAGCCACCCAAAGGATACTATTATTACTGCACTTCAGTTTGCAAGGGCTGCCACAATGATATACCGCAGACTGAGGGGCTTAAACAACAGAAATTTATTTTTTCACAACTGTAGTGCCTGGGAGTTGTCAGGTTCGATTTCTTATGACATCTCTCTGCCTGACTTGGATTTGGCTGTTTTTTTGCTATGTCTTCTTAGGTCTGTGTTTTAATTTCCTCTTCTGATAAGAACAGTAGTCATTAAATTAAGGGCCCACATTTACTACCCTGTGTTAACTCAATCCCCTCTCTATGGTCTGTACTTACCAATGCAGTCATGTTCTGATGTACTAGGGGCTAGGACTTCAATATATGAAATTGAGGGGAAGGCACAATTTTGCCCATAACAATTATATGAAGTCAAGTTAAGAATCAACTGTTCAAATATGCCATTCTCTGATTTCAACCTTTCAGCTTACAGCCTATTCTTTTGGTTGCTCCTGTTCAGTGGTTCTCTGATAACATAGAACCTCTATTTAATTTATCATTCCATTTCTCTAATTCGTTAATTCTCCATCCACACATTCAGCTTAAATACCATTATTCTTTATTTCAATAATGCTCTGGACTCCATAATTATATGTTGAAGTCTAAATTCCAAATGTGACAGTGTTTGGAAGTGGTACCTTTGGGAGATTACTGAGTCACTGGGGTGGAGCCCTCTTGAAGGAACTAGTGTCTTTACAAAATCTCACTTTGCCATGCGAAAATACAGTTGAAAGACTGCCATCTGCAAAGCAGGAAGTGTGCCCCGATAGCAACTTGTCTGCCAGTGCTGTAATCGTGGACTTCTCAGCCTCTACTGTGAGAAATGAATTTCTGTTACGGTATTCTGTTTCAGCCACCTAATCTGACTAAGACAAGTAAAGATCAATGACACTCTTCCCATGCCTCGATCTCCTCTGTCTCTCTAGGTTTTCTTCCTACTCGTCTGGCAAAAAGCCATCCCTGAGTGACCCCCAACTAATTTATATTTGTCTATAGTGATCAGCTAAGGGTTTCTGGAGATGGTCACACATCAAGGAAGATTAGCTTCTCTGTAATTCAATGATTCAGATGGCCTCAACACAGTTCATGGGATGGCTAAGCAACCCTATGACTTTACTCTAACTCCCTTTTTCACACATGATGACTATTTTAAAACTTCTCTCCTTGGCTGGCGCTGTGGCTCAATAGGCTAATCCTCTGCCTGCGGCGCTGGCACCCCGGGGTGCAGGATTCTGTCCCCGTTGGGGCGCTGGATTCTGTCCTGGTTGCTCCTCTTCCAGGCCAGCTCTCTGCTGTGGCCTGGGAAGGCAGTGGAGGATGGCCCAAGTGCTTGGGCCCTGCACCCACATGGGAGACCAGGAGAAGCACCTGGCTCCTGGCTTCGGATCAGCACAGTGCGCTGGCCGCAGCGTGCAGGCTGCAGCAGCCATTGTGGGGTGAACCAACGGCAAAAAGGAAGACCTTTCTCTCTGTCTCTCTCTCTCACTGTCCACTCTGCCTGTCAAAAACAAAAACAAAAACAAAACAAACAAACAACAAAAAACAAAAACACAAGCTTCTCTCCTCAAAATGTCAAGCCTCGCACTCCCACTCTCACTCTAAACCTCACTTCATAGAAAAACCAGGAGTTCTCAGCCAGGAACCCTCACTTTCCCACTGCCATGCAGAAAATCCCACTTTCCTCTGTGTCCACCACCTCCTACTGTGTAACTATAGAGGAGCTGTCTCCCTTCCTCCTTACGGCCATTTCTGTCTCTGGTTCTTTGGATTCTATTCCTTTTTCCCACTTTTTCAATACTTAACATTCTCTTCTATGATGTACATTTTACTTCATCTGTTTACTAGGTGATTTTTATCAGTATTTAAATATATGCTAGTGTCTTCCACTTAAAAAAATACATTCCTTGATCTCACCTCCTCCAGCTACTGTGCCGTCTTCCTTAGCTCATTTTTCTCGAATGATTGACTGTTCTCATAGACTCCATTTCATACACCCCATTCCCTCCTTTGCAAGCTTTTACCTGGCTTCTAGTTCCATAATTCCATCTTGGCTCTTCTAAAGGCACCAGTCATATCCATTTAGTATTTAATTCCTAACTTTCTCCACCTCTTAGCATTGTTTGACCCTGTTAGCCTTTCCTTCCTCTTGAACATGTCTTCTCCCTTTGACTTTTGTAACAGTATGTTCTTCTGGTCCTCTCTCCCACATCTTCTCTCTTGCCTGGTCTCCTTCCCTCAGCCACTGAATATTAAGTTTCCCTAAGTTCCAGTCTCTCCTCATTCTATTTTCTTGTCCTACGTGATACCATCCAAACGCAGAATTTTCTAATATGCCCAAGGGTGCCACAGAACATTTACTTTTTTTCAGATAAAATATTATAGGTTTATTTAAAACTTAATTCTCACCTTGGGTATGCAAAATACAAACTCCACAAAATGTTCATTTTACTTTGTAGTTTACAAATATGCAAAATAGAAGTTTGCTTAAATTTATATTGCATATTTATTAAGGCAAAGAACTATATAGAAAAAAATTTGTTCTGATTAAGGCATCCTTGGGAATAAAACCATTGAACAAATTATTGCACATCTGAAACCACAGTGCCTAACAGACTGTCTGCATCAAAATGTTAAAGAAGTTAAACCAGGTATATTTACCTGATTTAGTTCATACAGGTGGATCGGAAGACAAAAATAGATTTTCCTTGTCAAAGTATGCAGCAGTTCAAGAACTTTGGCTTCCTCGTTTGGTACCTTTACAACCAACACTCACCAAGCACCATCGTTTAGGCTATGAACACACATTTTCTGTACCTGAATTTCTTCCCTCTTCTAACATGGTAATAATGGCTTTTAGAAGGCAAATAGAATACAAGGTGATCTTTATACTTACATTGCATCAAAACACAATTCAAGGGAATTCGGTCTTCCCCCCTAGCCTCCCCCCCCAACTCGTGGATCTAATCGATAACCTGATATCCACAACTTCCAGTCACCTGCTCTGGGCATTCCTTGTTAAGTCCAAGAAGCCACAGAACATTTATACGTGGTGCTTCCTTTACATAGCATACTCCCTCAAACCCCTCTCTAACCCTATTATGCAAAAATATTTTATTCATCCTTCACCTTGAGGCTCAGATAATTCCTCCTCAGAAAGTCTTATACACTCTGCTTTTTCTCATGGCACTCCTGCAGTACATTTACAATTATAATTTTCACTTACTGTGTGATTTGCTAAATGACAGGCTGTCTTGTTAGTGATAAGCTCTGTAATGGCAGAGACTATACTCATTTTTCTTATAATTTTATGCCTTACACCTAACATAATGCTGAGTTCATAATAGGTATATAACAGATAATTAAAGAATAAAATATTTGAATGAATAAACATTTCAAATTATCTGTCTGTGAAATATCAAGATGGGGATTTCCCATATGTGATTTTGGCACCAAATGAGAGATCTGGACCAGAGACATTAATTTGGAATCTAATTGCATGTGAGTAGTAATGAGAACTCTAAGATTTTCCAGGGAATACTTAGGGAGAGGAGACAAAACTTTGGGAACATGCATATTTAATGAAATCAGGAAGTTAGAAGATGAGCTGGCAAAGGCAGCTGAGATGGAGTATACCACCCACACACTACAGATTTCCTGTGCCAGTTCTAATTCTAATATTCTCCCCTTTGGGCTAAGAGATTTCACAATCACACATTTGGCTCAGAAATATGGTACAGCATCTATAAAAGAGCCAAATTGTAATCTAATTTCAACAATTAGTTTGCTAAGTAATAATTGTTTAATGATACTTGATACTAATAATTATGTAATAATTATTAATAAACTTGACTTATTACCAAAAGCTACAATGAGGAATGAACTATATTTTCAAAGTGGTCAATATGAATGGTGATTACATTTTTCCTGATTTATAACCTTTTAGAACTATACTTCTAGAAATATGCATAAATGTAAATTGTATGTTTAATCACTTTTAGCCTGAGAGTACTTTACTGATTATCTGTGAGAATGGTTATGTTCTTGAAGCTCCATGTCCAACCATAAAAGAAGAGGATGATCATGATGTTGTCTCCTATGAAATCAAAGACATGTGCTTGAAGTGTTTCCATTACTCAAGTGTCAAATCTAAGATTCTGGTATGAGATGTTCTTCAGTCTTCTTTCCTAATATTTTTTTCTTTCCTTATAATATAAAGTATCTTTGTTAAGTGTTGGGGGAGTACAAAGAAGAATAAAATATAGACCTTGACCTTAAATAGTTTATAATCTGATAGAAAAGGAGAAACTATATTAGCTAACTGTATTGAAATGATAAATAATTAAGATAATAAAAGCGCAAAGAAAGGGATGTTGGGTGTGTAGAGGAAAGAAGAGATGATTCTGATGGAGAGGTGGGAGAAGGCAATGGTAACCGCATGGCAATGACATTTCTTTTTTTTTTTTTTATTTTATTTTATTTTATTTTTTTTTTTGACAGGCAGAGTGGACAGTGAGAGAGAGAGACAGAGAGAAAGGTCTTCCTTTGCCGTTGGTTCACCCTCCAATGGCCGCCGCGGCCGGCGCGCTGCAGCCGGCGCACCGCGCTGATCCGATGGCAGGAGCCAGGAGCCAGGTGCTTATCCTGGTCTCCCATGGTGTGCAGGGCCCAAGCACCTGGGCCATCCTCCACTGCACTCCCGGGCCACAGCAGAGAGCTGGCCTGGAAGAGGGGCAACCGGGACAGAATCCGGCGCCCCAACCGGGACTAGAACCCGGTGTGCCGGCGCCGCTAGGCGGAGGATTAGCCTAGTGAGCCGCGGCGCCGGCCCGGCAATGACATTTCATACATAAACAATGGGGAAATGTTTGAGAGGTCCAGATGGAGAGGATGACAACAAACGCTGGGAGAACATCCTGAGAGATGGCAGTTGTGAATCTGTGCTGTGTTCAGGAAATGAAGGTTTAGTGGTGAAATGGAATGATCTGATTTGTGGAGGGATGTGGCAGCAGTCTTTGCATGGAGCTCATTGAATGCCTGGAAAGTCATTTCAGTTTAGACCACTGGGCTCCGTGCTGACTTTTTGAGAAGGGGATTGGTATGATGAAATCATATAAACTAGGGAGATCATTCTGAGGGGGTAAAGAGAATGAAGAGGTAGAAGATGGGAGGCAGAGATACGTTTTCCAGTGTTCAGCTGATAGATTATGAGGACCTAACTCACAGAATTACTAAAGCTGGAAGCAGCTCTTCATGGACCATTTCAGTCTACCTGCTTCCTGGGTTGACAGTCACAGGCTCCTAGAGCAGCTGTACTTAGCGCCCTTCTTAGGAAAGCAATGACCAAATGATTTCTATAAAACCAGGATTTATGGCAGTAAACAAAAATGACATACTCCAGTGATCTGGAAGCTTTAATGATATAAATAGATACACGAACTGATAATTATTTCAAATGTTATTATTTGTCGTATCAGTGCTGTTTTTCCTAGAATCCCATCTTCCTTCTAATTTCCTTGTCTTCTCTAATAGTATAAATGATTGTTAATTATTTTCTATGTACTTAATGTCTCTTTTAAAAGAGGTTAATAGAAATTGAGAAAAGAAAGAAGAAAAAGGAATTGAAGGAAAAGGAAAGGGAAGCACGGAGGAAGCTAAAAGAAGAAATGGGAGAAGATGGAGGGAAAGAACTCCTGGACGAGGGGGAGGAAGAGGAGGAAGAGGAGCCATTACCTGAACTCTTCATGCCGCCAACCCCGTCTCCCATCCTGTGTGGATTTTACTCTGGGCCAGAGAAATTCTGGCTTTCTTTTGTGAGTAAAATTGTAACAGTGTTTACCTTAGCCCTATTCTGTTATGCTTCATAGTCATTATTCATCACCAAGTTCTTAGTTTCTTACTTTTATGTTAATAATTCTTGAAGTTGTGAGTTTGAGGATTGAATATGTTACAGTTTTTTAAAAATCATCTTAGCATCTCTTTTATACATCTGTCTGTTATATCTGTCGTCAACCATGATAGTAATACCTGCTCCAGGCAGGTCAAAGGGTAGAAGGGAAAGGAGCTATGGGGTTGTCCAGCTAAGTCTGTCATTTTTCAGTTTTAAAATAGTAGCTCTCCTGGCAGCACTGTCCTGTAGACTTTTTGCTTACTTTCATTGTCTGCAACCGTGTGATCATTTGGAAGTCTAAGATGAGTGTTTTAAGATGTTCTCATTACCACCTTGAAAAAGATTGAGACTTAGCAAGTAAGGAAGAAGAGGAAAATGGATATTAGGAAGACCTGTACCAGGGACTGTCAGAATGTTATGGGAATACACTCTCTCATGGTATATTTCCTAATCTTATCATGAAATGTTTGATCAATCTGTTACAAAGCAAGATTTCCTTCATTAAAGATGTGGCAATTTTCAATTCCATCTACAAAAACATGACAAAAGTATGTATGAAAGATCATTACTAACTCATACCAAGTCCAGGTCTTTGGCCAGGCTGGGATTCTGACCAGCCAAGGACTGTGGCTGTAAGGAGTGATAGGAGTTGACTCCTCAACTGTTCCTGGAATTATACTTTTTGTTGCCACTTCAAAGAAAGCAAGCAGCAAAAAGGATGTAAAGTAGTCTTGGAAGCACCAAAGGACCCCGTTTTAGTGCAAAACCTTTATGTCTTTCTTCTGTGACTTATGAACTGATTGTTAATGACTATTATTATGTGGAGTTCAAGGAGTAAAGAGATAAATAAGGCACAGTTCTTGCCTTCAGGAAATCTCATATACCAGAAAAAGGCACAGGAAGAATTAACTGTAATACATTAGGTTTCTAGTGTCCTGGAAATATATGTAGAAAAATATTAATTACTAAACATACTTACTGCTTACTTTTAGGGTTGTCAAATAAATATTATATGGATATACACTAAAAATTGTTTTTTATTTATCTGAAATTTCAATTTAACTGGGCATCTTGTATTCTTACTTGCTAACTATGATAACCTACTTAATCTGTACCAGGGCCCATTTTAAGTGATTTACTTAATCCACCTGTTAAATACATGCCATTATTACTTATATTTTGCATATGAAGAAATGCATGGAGATGATAAGTAACTTATCTAAGATCATATAACAAATGAGGCCTGAACTAGGATGTGAACTCAGGTAGTCTGGGTCCAGAGTCCATGCCCTTAACCATTAATCTGTACTAACAAACAAGGTTACAGCACAGTTCACAGAAATAGTGACACTAACCCTATTGCATCCAACTATATGCCAACTCTGTGCCTTCAGCCAAGCAGGTGCTGTAGAAAAAACATTCTCATTTTGAAGGCATGACCATAGTTTTTGAAAGTCCTGTAAAGAGCTAACTGTGGTCATGGGCTTCACTTCTTCACTTCCAATTTGATCTTCTACCCATTCCAGTTAGGCTTTTATTTCCATAACTTCACTTTTAATTTTTTCTTTTCTTTTCTTTTTTTCTTTTTTTTTTTTTTTTTTGGCATTTCCTATGAGCACTGGTTCAAGTTACAGATGCTATACCTCTGCCCAACTCTCTGCTAATGTGCCTGGAATAGCAGCAAAAGATGGCCCAAATGCTTGGGCCCCTGCCACCCACGTAGGAGGCCTGAATGGAATTCCTGGCTCCTGGCTACCACTTGGCCCAGTCCTGGCCATGGCAGCCATTTGGGGAGTAAAACATCAGATGGAAGTGCCCGCTCCCTTGTTCTCTCTCTCTTGCTCTTGCTCTCTCCCTCTCTCCCTCTCTCTCCCTTTCTCTGTCACTCTGCCTTTCAAATAAGTAAATAAATCAATCTTTAAAATTTTATTGGCCATTTGTATATCATCTTTTGAGAAATGTCTGTTCAGGTCATTTTGCTCATTTTAAAATAGAATTGTTTGTTTTATTTGCTGCTGAATTATTTGAGGTCCTTGTCTCATGACTGATTTGCAAATATACTGGTTGTCTGTTTACTTTTTTGATTATTTCCTTTGCTGTAAAGAAACTTTTTAGTTGGATGTAATCCCATTTGCTTATTTTTGCTTTTGTTGTCTATGCTTTTGGGGTGAGAGGGAGCTGAACAGGGAGCTGGAGGGAGAGGAGAAGTAGGATTTTATTTGTTTTAGTAGTCTTCAATTCTTGTCCGGTCTAGCTAAAGACTTGACAATTTTGTTTATTTTATTTTTTTAAAGATCTATTTATTTATTTTTTAAAGATTTTTATTTATTTTTGTTTGAGAGGTAGAGTTACAGATAGTGAGAGGGAGACATAGAAAGGTCTTCTGTCTGTTGGTTCACTCCCCAGATGGCTGCCATGGCCAGAGCTGCGCTGATCTGAAGCCAGGAGCCAGGAGCTTCTTCCAGGTCTCCCACACGGGTACAGGGGCCCAAGGACTTGGGCCATCTTCTACTGCTTTCCCAGGTCACAGCAAAGAGCTGGATTGGAAGAGGAGCAGCCGGGACTAGAACCGGCGCCCGTATGGGATGCCTGCACTGCAGGTGGAGGATTAACCTACTGTGCCACAGCGCTGGTCCCTAAAGATTTATTTATTTACTTGAAAGAGTTACAGAGGGAGAGAGAAAGAGAGAGAGAGAGACAGAGACAGAGACAAATAGAGAGAGGACTTCCATCCAGTGGTTTACTCCCCAGTTGGCCGCAATAGTCGGAGCTGCGCCTATCTGAAGCCGGAAGCTAGGAGCTTCCTCCAGGTCTTCCACGGGGATGCAGGGACCAAAGGACTTGGGCCATCTTCTACTGCTTTCCCAGGCTACAACAGAGAGCTAGATCAGAAGTGGAGCAGCTGGGACTTGAACTGGTGCCCATAAGGGATGCCGACACTGCAGCCGGTGGCTTTACTCACTATGCCACAGCACTGGCCCCAATTTTGTTTATTTTAAAAAACCCAAATTGAAAATGAATCTTGATGAATAATGGGATGGGGGAGGGAGTAGGAGATGGGATGGTTGCTGGTGGGAGGGAAGTTATGGGGGGAAAAGCTGCTATAATCAGAAAGTTGTACTTTCAAAACTTATATTTATTAAATGAAAGTTAAAAAAAATAAAAATCAGGAAGAAAAGAAAAAAATGTTCTTTTCATGATCTCTTGTCTTTTTTTTTAAGTTTCTCATTTATTTCTTCTCTGATCTTTGTTATTCTTTCCTTTTGCTAATTTTGGGTTTGGTTTGTTCTTCCTTTTCTAGTTCTTTGTGTTGTATCATTAGGCTGTGTATTTGTACACTTTGTATTTTTTTCAAAGTAGGCACTTACTACTATAAAATTGTCTCCTCATAATTCTCTTTTATGTATGACATAGATTTGGTATATTGTGTTTTCATTTTCATTTGTTTTGAGAGACTTTGAGATTTCCCTCTTGACCCATTAGTCATTCAAGAGAATGTTGTTTAATATCCAGTATTCGTACAGTTTTTAAAGTTTCTCTCATATTTATTTCCAGTTTTATTCCATTGTGGTCAGAGAAGATACTTGTTATTATTTTTATTTTCTTATTTTTTTAAATTAAACTTTTCAATTATGAGAGAGAGAGAGCTTCTGTCATACACTGATTCACTCTCCAAATGCCTGTAACAATTGGGTGGGAAAGTAACCTGGTACAGCCACTGTGGAAGACAGTATGGAGATACCTCAGAAATCTGGTTATAGACCTACCATATGACCCAGTCATCCCACTGCTGGGAATTCACCCAAGGGAAATAAAATCAGCATATGAAACAGTTATCTGTACCCCCATGTTTGTTGCAACCCATTTCACAATAGCTAAGATATGGAATCAACCCAAATGCCCATCAAATGAAGACTGGATAAAGATATTATGGGATATGTACACCGTGGAATATTACACAGCAGTAAAAAAAAGTGAAATTCTGTCGTTTGCAACAAAGTAGATGATACTGGAAAACATCACGCTTAGTGAAATGTGCCAGTCCCAAAAGGACAAATACCATATGTTTTCCTTGATATTGATAACTAATAGAGCACCTGAAAGATAATCTATAGAAGTGAAATTGTCACTATGAGATGCAATGGCTTTGAACAGCCCTTGTTTTGATTGTTGAGGAACAGTTTTTTGTTTTTTTACTATTTGTTGAACTCTACTTTGTATAGAATTAACCGAATATAACCTTGTATAAAGTTAGTTGAAAATAGATCTCAGTGAAAAATAAAAATGGAAATAGGAGAGAGAGGAGGAAGAGGGGTAAGAATGTGCGTGGGATGGCAGGTATGGTGGGAGGAATCACTATAATCCTATAGTTGTACTTATGAAATGCATGAAGTTTGTTTTCCTTAAATAAAAGGCTTCTGGGGGAAAAATAAAGTGAATTTCTGTAGACAGCATATATTGTTTTTATTTTTTTCACACATTAGACCAGGCTATATTTTAAAATGGGAGATTTAATCTGTTTATGATTATTATTTTTTTAAGATTTATTTATTTATTTGAAAGTCAGAGTTACACAGAGAGAGGAGAGACAGAAAGAGAGAGAAAGGTCTTCCATCCACTGGTTCACTCCCCAATTGGCCACAATGGCCGGAGCTGCCCCGATCCAAAGCCAGGAGCCAGGAGCTTCTTCCAGGTCTCCCACACGGGTGCAGGGGCCCAAGGTCTTGGGCCATCTTCTACTGCTTTCCCAGGCCATAGCAGAGAGCTGGGTTGGAAGTGGAGCAGCCGGGTCTTGAACCAGCGCCCATATGGGATGCCAGCACCTCAGGCCAGGGCGTTAACCCGCTGCGCCACAGCCCTGGCCCCTATGGTTATTATTAATAAGTAAATACATACTTCTGTCACTTTGTTAATTGTTTTCTGCTCATCATCATTCTTACTTGTGGTTCGCTTTCTTTATGTCCTTGTTGTGTCTCCCATAATGAGTTTTGTGCTTTCACATGCTTTTGTGATGCTAGTTGTTATAATTCTACTTCTAATGTAGGATTCCCTTAGGCTTTGCTTGTAGGGCTGATCTCATGATAATGAATTCCCTTAGTTTTTGTTAGTCTTGCAAAGACTTTATTTCTCCTTAATTTCTGAAGTATGGTGTTCCTGGGTATAGTAGTTTTGATTGGCAAGTTTTTTTTCTTTCAGGCCTTTGAAAATTTCTCACTTTCTTCTGGTTTGCAAGGTTTCTGCTGAGAAGTTTCCTATTAGTCTAACAGGAATATCTTTAAATGTGACTTGACACTTTCTGCTTGTGCTTTTTAGAATTATTCTTTGTCTTTTACTTTTAACAGTTTGCTTATATATAAGCATATATATATATATATATATATATATATATATATATATATATAAGCAGTATTCCCAAAGAAGGTCCTTTTGTTGTTATTGAGTCAATTAGTAGTCCTTTGAGCTTCCTGGACCTGAATGTTCATAACTTCCCCATGACTTGGACAGTGTTTAGCAATTATTTTATTGAATAGGCTTTCTATGCCTTTCTTCTTCTCTTCATCTGGAACATCCATAATAATTTTTAAAAAAGATTTATTTATTTATTTGAAAGAGTTACACAGAAAGAGGAGAGGCAGAGAGAAAGATCTGCCATCCACTGGTTCACTCCCCAATCAGCCACAACGGCTGGAACTGGGCCAATCCAAAGCCAGGAGACAGGAGCTTCCTCCAGGTCTTCCACGGACATGCAGGGGCCCAAGCACTTGGCCCATCTTCTACTGCTTTCCCAGGGCATAACAGAGAGTTGGATCAGAAGTGGAGTAGCTGGGACTTGAACTGGTGCTCATATGGGATGCCGGCACTGCAGGTCGCGGCTTTACCTGCTATGCCACAGTGCCGGCCCCATCCATAATCTTAATATTTGCCACTTAATGGTGTCCTATAAATCTCATAGGCTTTCTTCATTCTTTTGACTTTTCTCTCTTTTTTTTTTGTCTAAGTTTTTGCAAAAGAATAGTCTTTAAGCTTAGAAATTCTCCTGTTTGATCCAATCTGCTCTTGTTGCTCTCAATTATATTTCTTAATTTCAATTATTCAATTCTCTAGCTCAGAGATTTCTATTTTATTCTTTTTTAAATGATTTCTGTATCTTTGCTAAATTTCTCATTCATATAATGAATTTATCTGCTTTTGTTGACTTTTCTTTCTGTTTTCTTTTATATCTCTTTTAAGTTTTCCTTAAAATCATTTTTTAATGCTTTGTCAGGTGATTCATCAGTTTTCCCTGTCTTCAGGATCTATTGCCAGAGAACTAGTGTGTTCCTTTGGAGGTACCATGTTGCCATGTTTTCTTAATGTTTCTTGTGGTCTTGCATTGATATTTGGGCATCTGACACACCAGTTGCCTCTACCAATTTTATGGGGTGGCTTTTATTGTCAAAGGTTTTGTTCTGGTGATGTGTCTTAGGATGTTGGTTGGATAGGCTATTACCATTGCTTCCTAGTATGTGCTTTGAGGTAGTAGTATTCATGTAGGTTTTCAGCATAATCAGTATGGGTAATGTCTCAGTGACCTAAGCTGTAGGGTTTGTGGGAAACATCTTAGGTGGAAGAGCTTTGTTGGCATGGGATACCTGGCTGTGGTTTTTGGCTCTTGTCACTTTCAAAGATCCCACGGGGGCAAGACTGCTCTGGCAGACACATGCATCTGAAGTGTAGCTGATATGGCAGAAATGTAGAATATGCGCATTTCTGTCTGGAGTGGGCCCACCACAGTGGACCCCAGTGGGTGTGGTCATTATGTCTGGTGGTGTACTGGGGCACCTGTCAGTGTTTGAGAGCTATATGGGAGCCATACTGTACCAGTGTGTCCTTACAGGGTAACTTCTAAGCACAAACCTTCATATGCACTTATAATTATATAGTTGCATATAAATGAATGATGGGGATACTTTATGAAAATAATGAAATATATCAAGAATCATAGAAGTCATATAAAGTATATGTTTTAAAGCATCTATTTTATGTTTTTAAAATTTGGAATAATAAAAAAATTGTCAAATGTGTTATGTCCACGTATCACATTCTTTGATATTTATCTATTTTGACAGGGTGGCTATGATTCTGGTTTTCTGTATCACTGTGCATTCCCCTCATATGATAAAGAGAGTGATTTCAAAGAACAGAAAGATGAACCTTTTGATTTCTGTTTTCTTGAGGATACAGAAGATAACCCCATCCAAGCTATCACTTTCAGGTGAACAGAATTTTTTAAAGTTTGTTAGAAAAAAAAAACTATATCCCATTAGCGTTGGTGTTTATGTTCATTAAAGGTATTGTAATTTTTAAAGGATCCATCCAGATGAAGGGATACTCAAACAACATTTGGATGAATGAATGAACAAATAAATAAATAAAAGCTAGTCCTGAAATTGCATTTAAACCCACCCATCACCTACTTTTTCAGAATTTGTGTTTATCACATTATTGAATTGTGTGGATGTACCTTCTGTTACTTAGGAGGACGCTCCGACTGCATGGTCAGAAAGTGAAGGATTAGGATGACATGATTCTAGAGAAAAAATTTTCATTATTTTCCATTGGATATAAAAGAACTGATCATATATGCCAGTAATTCATCTGAAGATGTAATACAGTGCATCCAAACTTCAAATTGACTTTTTTTTTTCCCTCAGTCCTTAGTTTGTTAAGGCTGCCAGAATAAAATATCACAGCCTATAGGCTTACACAATGGAAATTTATTTTCTCCGTTCTGGAGGCTGGAGTTTCAGGCTGAAACTGTCACCAGATTTGGATTTTCTTGAGGTCTCTCTCCTTGCCTTGCAGATATCTGCCTCCTCACTCTGTCCTGGCCTGGTATTTCCTATATGCATGGTATCCCTGGTGCCTCTCTGCCTGTGTCCTAATCTCCATTTCTTGTAAGGATGCCAGTCAGACTGGATTAGGACCACCTTAAGGTTCTCATTTTAACTTAATTACTCCTTTAAAGAGCCTGTCTCACGGTACAGCTACTTCTGAGGTATTAGGAGTTTGGACTTCAACACAGGAATTTTCAGTATATGCAGTTCAATCCATACGTTTTTGCTATTAAAAATGTATTCATTTGGCAATTAATTGGAAATTGAAAATTACCTTTAGATTAACAGGAACAATTATTTACTTTCTTTTTGTTTCATAGCATTAACCAAACTATGATGTTTTGTGGAATGAGAAATGGAGCAATTCGAGTCTATACCTTAAGTGAGAATGATACTTCATTAGCCAATTTGGTGGAATATTGGCACTTCAGTATGCATGACAATAATTATGGATGCATTAAAAGCATTTCTACTAGTTTTGATGACCGTTTTTTGGTGACTGCTGGAGCAGATAGTAATATCTTTATTTTTAACATTTTTTCTGAATTTGTATTAAAGAAAGAACTCAAAGCCAAAGTGCCATCTCCCAGGGTATGTAAGTAACTAAACAAACCAATTAACTAACTAATAGCCATAATGATAATTGCAAACTTTATTTTAGAATAGTGATGTTAAAATTATTAGTATTTTTAAAAACTTAAAACTGTTTAGACACATTCACCTTGTAGTCTGATCTTCCTACAAATATTATAATTTTATTTCCTAATGCTTCTTTATCTGACATTAATGGTATTGTGTTTCTTTTATTACTAAAGGTTGTTGTTCCCTAAACTAAGAAAGAATACATCAATTTTTCTGTGTCAATTTATTTTTTCATATTTTAAAAATTTATACAGACAACAAATTTCATGTGTCTCATATATACAGTTTTAAGAACATAATAATACTTCCCACCCTACTCTCCCCTCCTTCCTTGCTCCCACCCTCTGTCTTCTTTATTTATTTTTCTTTTATATTTTACAATGACATACTTCTAACTTACTTTATAATCGCAAGCTTTATTCTCCACTAAATAAAGAATTCAACTGGTAATAAGTAGAAAAACATTGTCAGTCAATCTCTTAATCAAGTTTTTTGAAAGATGCACATTTTTTTCAGATATATATTTTGGTTTTTATTCATTCATTATAGAAAAAAGTATAAGCCTTGGTATTAGAACATGATAATGTGAATCATGATCAAAGACTCAGTATGGATTGGGTGTTACGGTGGGATAAGCGTCTACTCAGGACACTTAAATCTGATACTGGAGTGCTGGTTCAGGTCCAGACTCCTCCATGCTTCCCACCCAGCTTCCTGCTAATGCATCTGGGAGGCAACAGATGATGCCATAAGTACTTGAATTCGTGACTCAAGAAAGTTACCTATTAAATGGGAACCCAACATGCTCATAGGAATGATCTTTCTAATATAACTATGTGGGAGACCCAGATGGAATTCCTGGTCTCTCTGTATCTCTGTCCCTCTGCCTTTCAAGTAAATAAGTCTTTTTTTCAGTATAAATTATTTTATTCTTTGGCTATATAGATTATTCTTGGCTTTTGAGGAAGATTGAGATTTTGGATCCCCAAATTATGTATTGTCATAGAACCTGCATTTTCTGTTATCAAGGTGGTTCCTTTGGATAAAACCACTACTTTTTTTTTTTTTTTTTTTGACAGGCAGAGTGGACAGTGAGAGAGAGAGACAGAGAGAAAGGTCTTCCTTTTGCCATTGGTTCACCCTCCAATGGCCGCCGCAGCTGGTGCGCTGCAGCTGGTGCACCGCGCATATCCGAAGCCAGGAGCCAGGTACTTATCCTGGTCTCCCATGGGGTGCAGGGCCCAAGGACTTGGGCCATCCTCCACTGCACTCCCGGGCCACAGCAGAGAGCTGGCCTGGAAGAGGGGCAACCGGGACAGAATCCTGCACCCCAACCAGGACTAGAAACCGGTGTGCCGGCGCCGCAAGGCAGAGGATTAGCCTAGTGAGCCACGGCGCCGGCCTGACTAATCCTCTTTAAATGTTGGATCAGACTCCAAATTTTGCTGCTATTAAAAGCAATGAAAATTTTCCTGCTCATAGCTTCCCTACATTGTGTGTTCTTTTGAAGAAAGTTACGAATTAAATGGGAACCCAACATGTTCATAGGAATTTTAACTAGAGTCCTTCTAATATAACTACTAAGACTTCAGGAGAAATTCTAATGGTTAATAAGTAGTGGTTTTGGCCAGCGCCACGGCTCACTAGGCTAATCCTCTGCCTTGCGGCGCCAGCACACCGGGTTCTAGTCCCGGTCGGGGCGCTGGATTCTGTCCCGGTTGCTCCTCTTCCAGGCCAGCTCTCTGCTGTGGCCCGGGAGTGCAGTGGAGGATGGCCCAAGTGCTTGGGCCCTGCACCCCATGGGAGACCAGGAAAAGCACCTGGCTCCTGGCTTCGGATCAGCGCGGTGCGCCGGCTGCAGCGCGCTGGCCGCAGTGTCCATTGGAGGATGAACCAATGGCAAAAGGAGACCTTTCTCTCTGTCTCTCTCTCTCTCACTGTCCACTCTGCCTGTCAAAAAATAAATAAAGAGGATTAGTCTTGGAGAGAGGAATCACAGAAGGAAATGTATATAAACAAAAACAAAATCTTCATATTTTTGTGTACAGTCAGCTTTCTCCTTAGAAGCCTATATGTCTACAAGCACTATTTTTCAAGACATTTATTTATTTATTTGAAAAGCAGAAAGGGGGAAGAGATATTCTATCTGCTGGTTCAGTCCCCAGATGCCCACAAGAGCCAGCACTGTGTCAGGCTAAAGCCAGGAGCCAGGAACTCCACCCAAGTATCCCAAATGGTATCAGGAATCCAAGTACTTGGACCACTGTCTGCTGTCATCCAGGTGCACTAGCAGGAAACTGGATTGGAAGTAGAGTAGCAGCCACTTGAACCTGCATTCCAATATGGGATGTGCTAAACCCACTACACTGCAACATCTGCCCCACCATTTTTTTTCTTTAACCACTAAGGCAGACTGTGCTTTTAAGAAGGTGAAGTCACAAAGAGTTGAAAAAGAAAATAAGACATCTAACTAAGTTCTGTATAGGTCTGAGGTTCTTATCCCACCGTACTTTAGAATTATCTAGGGAAACATTAAAAGTTCAGATGCCTGAGTACTACCAAGAATAATTAAATTAGAATCTCTGAAGTTTAGGTCAAGGCATCAATGTATTAAACAATATTCTGTACATAATTCTAATGTGTAGCCAGGAATTAGGTACAATGGCATACATTTTGGAACTGTAAGGAACATCTTTGTTTAACCCAACCTTATTTTAAACAATTATGTCCAGGACACTGTTGGCTGAATATCAGTATAAGCACTGGAAATCACATGATGCTAGAGACTTAGCTCTGGGCAATAGAAGAATAAAAGTAAATAAAATTTTACATGCTTAACGCCTGAAAAACAGTTAAGTACAATTTATTAGCCATCACTGTATCTTATATTAAGCATGTTTGACTTAACTTTTACTAAAGTCATAAACTTGACTTCCATAAAACTATGTACTCATTTCATATATATATAACACTGTGTTTATATTTCACATTTATAAAAAGTAATCCAACAACTTTATCGACAAATGACAGTAAAATAGACCTTGCATGAGAGATAATAGAGAATTAGACAAGTTCAGTTTTAATTCAGAACCAAGTAGTTGGATTCCTTGTACAGTTGGTTATAATTCGTCATCCTTAACATCACAAACTACAACATTCTACAACATAGCCCCTGAATAGACACATGCTTTTAGATGATTTACTTCAGATTCCCACTTAAACTGATTTACATTTCTGATTTTATCTTTTTCTCTCAAGAAGATTGTATTATTCTGTGAATTTTTCACGCTGTGGCTCACTGGGCTAATCCTCCACCTGCAGTGCCAGTACTCCAGGTTCTAGTCCCATTTGGGGCACCGGTTCTATCCCAGTTGCTCCTCTTCCAGTCCAGCTCTCTACTGTGGCCCGGGAAGGCAGTGGAGGATGGCCCAAGTGCTTGGGCCCTGTACCCGTGTGGGAGACCAGGAAGAAGCACCTGGCTCCTGGCTTCGGATAGGCGCAGTGCGCCAGCCGTGGCAGCCATTTGGGGGGTGAACCAACAGAAGGAAGACCTTTCTTTTTGTCTCTCTCTCTCTCTCACTGTCTAACTCTGCCTGTCAAAAAAAAAAAAAAAAGGTTATATAAAATGCTTACTTAAAATTAAAAATACATTTATGTATTTTAAAATCTCCCTAGGGTACCCATGAGATCCTTGGGAAATTATGCATATAATAAAGTGATATGCTCAAAAACATTTGAAATTAATAATTTAGAAATTTTGTGTGTACATATCCTGTTAATAGCACATTATTAGTAATTTACCATATAAGGAAAAATTGCGGTGTTATTTACAAACATAGACTAGGTTTCTAGACTTTTTCTACCTACTCCTTTAAATGAAGCAGAGACAAGTTTAATCAGGTGCAGGTTTTCTCTAGTTTTGTATGAAGCTATTTTTCAAACTACAGTTATCAGAAATTGGCAGGGCATGAGTGGGAGGGAGGGTAGGGTGGGAAGTATCACTGTGTTCCTGAATCTGTATATATGAAATAGATAGAATTTTTATACCTTGAACAGAATTTTTTTAAGTTGGCAGGGAAAAAACTTCATCTTATTCCTAAATATTTTAATAGAAATATGTGATTATATATATATATATATATTTATATATAAAAAATGTTTTCCTTTACTTCCTCTAGTATGGAATTGAATCAGAGCCAATTCCAGAAGATATTGAAGATCCCAAAGTATACAGGTATGGGAATTTTTGATAAATACTAACTAGGCCTTAGTTTTTGCAAAGCAAGCTAATAGTTGACCAACATAAATGAATTTCAGAATTATCAAATATAAGCTTTCTCATATGCTTTCCTGTCATCTTTTTAAATTTGTTTTCAGTATTGAGAATGCCAGGAGAAAAAGAGAGCATGACAAGTTAATGAAAGAAGTGGAAGAAATAAAGGCTGGGAAGAGAGAGCGAATCAAAGCTTTGAGGAATGAATTTTTGAAACTATTAGCAATGAATAAAGAATTACCAAAGCATATGCAGTTTAAACGGACAGTAAGTCTAAGTAAATTTGATTTTAAGTTTAGCATAAGTTGTTTCTGAATTGTGACCACTACTTTGTCAGTGAATGGGAACAATTAAAATCATCTTTAAGCTTCCCTTTGACCGGTCTGTGTGTTTGCAGCAACTTAACTTTTTTTTTTTTTCCCAAAGATTTTATTTATTTATTTGACAGAAAGAGTTACAGACAGTGAGAGAGAGACAGAAAGAAAGGTCTTCCTTCCGCTGGTTCACTCCCCAGATGGCCGTCAAGGCTGGCACTGCGCCGATCCAAAGCCAGGACCCAAGTGCTTCCTCCTGGTCTCCCATGTGGGTGTAGGGGCCCAAGCACTTGGGCCATCCTCCACTGCCCTCCCGTGCCACAGCTATGAGCTAGACTGGAAGAGGGGCAATCGGGACTAGAACCGGTGCCGATATGGGATGCCGGCACCGCAGGTGGAGGATTAACCTAGTGCGCCACAACAGCAGCCCTGCAACTTAACTTCTTAATGCAGATCCCACCACACAACTTAGTTTGGAAGCACGTAAGCCTCTACATAACACAAGTTTACTATTGGATTTAGTTACTTCTCATTTAATTTTTTTATGACAAGGTTAAGTATAAATATAGGATTGTATCTGGCTGTCAGCGCTTACAGTATATAGCCATAGTGTCTGTAGGGTAGGTATATGTATAATTTGATTTTCTGTGATTCCATTTCTATAATTCATCAAATCTAGTGAGAAGATAGTACCTGGTTGATCCACAAAGTTTCTAAAAGATGACTTAGTATTGTTGTAGCTTTGAAGACAATCACAAAATTGTCAGTTTTATATTAATTTTTTCCCTTTGTGAGTTTGCAAAGTCCCATGTACCTTCCTTGTGATTAGTATTCTTATTTTTTCATTTTTGTTCAAGAAACTCTTCATAAGTGGAATTGCTGTTAGGTCTAAACCTGATGGGGAGTACTTCACAGTCACTAGCCAAGGTCAGTAGGGTAGACAGTGACATCTTACCTGCTGAAAGGAGGGACTCCCTGAGTGATGGCTTAGTTCAGGTGAATCAACATATACACTTAGATGCCTCTAATGAGCCAGAAAATCAATGCTGCATTTCTCAAGTGAAGAAGGAGGGGCTGCTGGATTCCGCTGAGTCCCGGGCTCAACCTGAAAACCTGGCTCCCACTTGCTCCTCTGATGATGGCACTGGTGAAAGGAATGAACCAGTGATGAAGCCTCTGCAACCCCTACACAAAGACCAAAAGCCACAGGACCCGGAGAGTGATACATACAAGAATCTGGGCAGAATCCACACAGGTTTCCAGCCGCACAACTCAGGGTCTGAACCATCTCTGTCTCTACAGAGACGATGGAAGAAAAGAGAACAGACTGAACACACTGGGAAAGAGACAGATCCATGAGGCACCTCCTGGACTTTGCCTTCTCATCCCACTATTGCGAACGTGGTGTTAGATAACACAAAAAGATGCTAAAAACCAAAGTAGAGTGGCCACTGGGTGTGTGAGCGGTTCAAGGAGCTGTGAGCTGTCATCCACAGATCGACCATTATCAGCCCGAGAGAAGCCGACTGAAGCAGTCACGGGAAGAGATGCTCCCCTCGGGCCCTTCAGTGCAGCGGAGCCAGGGAGGCCACAGGAGGAAGGCCAGCCCACCCTGCCCAATGGTCCTCTTCCCCCTGCACGTCACTGAGAGGGGATTGATTCATGGACTGCCTGAGGATGAGCTAAGTCCTTACACAAGTTCGGCTGATGAGTCCGATGAGGCTTCCAGGGAAGGGAAAGGTCGTACAGGGGAATGAGCTGATGACTCAGACTCTGAAGCTGGATTCCGAAGAGAGCTGTGAAGATCTGCCGGTACCAAATCCAGTGTCAGAACTCGCACTCCATCGGAAGTATCGGGACATGTTGGTACTTCACAGGAAAGTTGCAGAGCAGGCCAAACAGCTGCATTTTAAAGGGCTACCTTCAGCCGTCATGCCAGGATCGGAAAAGATCAGAATATTGAAGTCTTGAGAGCGGATATAATCCAGGCCTAGGGGTTCCGCTTTTAGAGCAGGTGAATGATCTTGTGGAAGATGAGGATGAGTTGAAGAGAGAGGTATGTTTGCGGGAGCACAGGGACGAAAAATATATTACATACAGTGTGAAAGCTCTCCCGTTAAAATTTCTTGAAGAAAATGTGAACTTTTGAGAATGTTTTCTACTTGCTTCCAGAACTAAAGACCTATTTTCAGGGCTGGCGCTGTGGCGTAGCAAGTAAAGCCGCTGCCTGCAGTGCTGGCATCTCATATGGGCACCTGTTCAAATCCCGGCTGCTTCACTTCCAATCCAACTCTCTGCTGTGGTCTGAGAAAGCAATGAAAGGTGGCCCAAGTCCTTGGGGCCCTGCACCTGCGTGGGAGACCTGAAAGAAGCTCCTGGCTCCTGGCTTCGGATTAGCGCAGCTCTGGGTGTTTCAGCCAATTGGGGAGTGAACCAGCAGATGGAAGGCCTCTCTCTCTTTCTCTCTCTACCTCTCCTCTCTCTGTGTAACTCTGACTTTCAAATAAATAAATAAATCTTCCAAAAAAAAAAGATATATTTTCCAAGGTTTTTGGCTTAAAAAATGTAACAGTTCTTTGGAACCTATTCAGAATCCTTTTATTTCTTACTGGAAATAAATTGGACAGAACAAAATAATATGAAGCACACAAAGAAAAAAACAGAAACATTGGTTTTCATATTCCCTTTATGAGAAAAAGTTACATGTGGTTACTATTTACTGAGCCTTAAACCACCAACTTTATATCTAGAACTTTATTTTTCTAGGTACTAGTTAGATTAAAAAGGAGTTTTCTAGGTACTAGTTAGATTAAAAAGGAGGCCATAAAATATTGCATTGGAAGTTTTATATTGTACTAAATGATAAAAGCAGTAAGAGAAATTAATGACATGTCCAGCAAAATCATCTGCTATTGTTAATAACCCTTAGGGACTAGTGTTGAAAGTCAATTCACTATCCTGGGAATAGATTTAAAGAATATGAAATTCTTTGTAGTACTTGAGCAACTGAGTTCTTTATTACACATTGATGGACTTTTAATGTTTGATTTTCACTTAATGTTAACCTTATTTAGGGTTTACAAGAATTTAAGAGGTATTTGGTCTTTGTAAATCAGTATGTGTTTGCATCTTTGTTTTACTAGATTTTTCCATTACTTAAAATATTTCTTAAAAGTGAATTCCTTTTTCCATTTAAGCAATTTGTAAGTAAAGTCCAGGTCTTTTTAGTTACATTGGATATATTTAACATCTGTCTCCTGACGTTTGTTTTCTGCACCTCAAGAACTTGTTTGTCTTTCCATATTTTAAATGTACAGCACATATTAGTTTAATAAGAAGGAACGTCCACCCAGGAAATAATTTTTTATGAAATAAAGAATTGTATCTATAAATCGCATTGATTCTGTTCAAAACTAATTAAAAATTAACATGTAACAATTTTAAAAAGTTTAAAATTCTGTATCTGTACATGAAACAGAGGGTCAATACAGTGCATTGATAAGGTATTCATTTTGATAATTCTGTCTGCAGGATTTTGATCTTGATTCCAAAATCCGTGCTGATATTGACAGAAAAACGGCTCACAAAATCCAACAAGTGGAAAAAGAACTAGCTTGGGAAAAAGAGAAACATGAACTTTGCCTAATGAAGCTACAGAATAGGTAGGATCTGTATTTCCCACACTTTAAGATGTTTGAGAACACATATTTGAATAAAGCAGTTGCAGCAATAATGTCAACAAAGGGGCCAGATAACAGGCTTCTGAATACCCATAAGTTTAAACCTTATGGAATCCTCTGTCACTGCTCCTGCTAACTTCCTGAACTTACTGCTTACTCATCTCTAGTTCACATGTGGGAAGTGTATTTAACAATTAGATTTTTTAAAGTATATAGTCTATATATACTTTGTTTTTGACAAATTATTTTTCATCAAATTAGTACATGAACATGTGTATATTTTAAAAATGAAAAAACAAGTAAAATCAAACAATTTATAAGGAAAGATTGTAACCTTCTGTCTGAATTGGAAGTGGAGCAGCCAGGACTCCAACCAGTGTCCATATGGAATGCTGTGCTGCAGGCGGAGGCTTAACCTTCTACTCTGCAGCACCAGCCCCCCAAACTTACCTTTTTTTCTAAGATTTATTTATTTATTTGAAAGTCAGAGTTATACAGAGAGAGGAGAGGCATAGAGAGAAAGGAGAGAAAGAGAGAGAGAGAGGGAGAGAGAGGTGTCTTCCATGAGAGAAAGAAGTCTTCCATCCACTGGTTCACTCCCCAAAGGCCGGAGCTGCACCGATCCAAAAGCAGGATCCAGGATCTTCTTCTGAGTCTCCCACGTGGGTGCAGGGGCCCAAAGACGTGGGCCATCTTCTACTGCTTTCCCAGGCTATAGCAGAGAGCTGGATTGGAAGTGGAGCAGCCTGGTCTTGAACCGGCGCCCGTATGGGATGCTGGCGCTTCAGGCTTGCGCGTTAACCTACTTGTGCCACAGCGCCGGCCCCAGCTTACCTTTTAATTAGATTTTTCATGAGCTTTTTGAAGTCCCTTCATACCTTCTCTCTAAAGTTTAATCTTTATTGCTATAAATTAGTTTTGTCTATGAACTTCACATAAATCTTAGACATGAAGTTTCTTGAACAGAATCACTTTTGGTATTTTTTCTGATGATCATAAAAACAGATGTGAATAATATGTTTGTAACATTTATTGTTAGTCATTGTTAAAGTCGATTTCCTAGTATTATAGGTGAGGATTTTGCTGAACTTAACATTTTCATTCTTGTCTCTATCTTCCTAAACATATAAAATATAACTGCTTTAACATTCTTATCTGCTAATTATATGATTTGTGTCATTTCTGGGTCTGTTCCTGTTGACTGATATATTTCTCTTTTTTTTAAAAAAAGATTTATTTATTTACTTGAAAGTCAGAATTAATGCAGAGAGAGAAGGAGAGGCACACAGAGAGAAAGGTTTTCCATCCACTAGTTCACTCCCCAATCAGTCACAATTGCTGGAGCTCTGCTGATCCAAAGCCAGGAGCCAGGAGCTTCCTCCAGGTCTCCTTGCGGGTGCAGGGACCCAAGGACTTGGACCATCTTTTACTGCTTTCCCAGGGCATAGCAGAGAGCTGGATTGGAAGTGGAGCAGCCGGGACTCGAACTGTGCCCATATAAGATGCTAGCACTGCAGGCGGCAGCCTTACCTGCTACGCCACAGCACCTACCGCTGATTTATTTCTCTTAATTTTGGGTCATATTCTCCTGCTTTTTTCCCTGCCTGATAAATTTGGATTAGATGACTGACATTGTGAATTTTACATTATGGGTTCTGGATACTTTTACATAGTCTTATATATTCTTGCTCATCAGTACTTACGGGAATACTGGGAGGGAATCCTTTGCACATTGTCAGAAATTCCTCTGCCTGTGTAGCTATCTTCCCTCTGGTGCTCTGTCCTGTACACTCATTCCCTGAATTAAATCCCTGGATGTTTGAGTTTCTGATTAATATTTGAATTCCTGAATTATGGCTAGATTGCTACCTACTAGGTAATGAAAGTGGGTAAGAAATTCCTCTTAGGAAGAACCATCAACATAGCGACCTGTGTTTGGCTTTGATAATATTCATTTTATATTTACAAATGTGTATTTATGTGAGGGTACTTTAAAAGTTTGTGGAAATTGGAATTAACAGATAAGTTTATTTGGATGCAAAAAGTTTTGAAATCCATGCACACATTTTCCATGATCTTTTTTTTAATAAATTCTATTTTTTAAAAAAGATTTATTTTATTTATTTGAAAGACAGAATTACAGAGAGAGAGGTAGAGACAGAGAGAGAGGTCTTCCATCCACTGGTTCACTCCCCAGATGGTCGCAACAGCTGGAGCTGAGCCAGTCTGAAGCCAGGAGCCAGGAGCTTCTTCTGGGTCTCCCATGTGGGTGCAGAGCCCAAGGACCTGGGCCATCTTCCACTGCTTTCCCAGGCTATAGCAGAGAGCTGGATTGGAAGAGGAGCATCTGGGACTAGAACCGGTGACCATATGGGATGCCGACGCTTCAGGCCAGGGCATTAACCCTCTGTGCCACAGTGCTGGTGCCCCTATGATCTTTTTGAAAACCACACTTGTGTTTGTGTGTGTGTGTGTGACAAGTGTAAGCACAAGCCTACAAATTTATGCATGTAAGTAATATGACAGTTCATTATTTTACTTAAATAAACCTAAATTTGGCCCTGGACTACTATTCTACCAAGAAGACAGGAAAGTCAGTCTCAGTATTACTGAGGCCCATTATTCTACCCTTCCTGCTTCTTTCAGTTCTTTGATTCAGTGGGTCTGTGCTCTGCCGGAGCAAGCAATGTTTGAAGAAGCCAGGCACTCCTGGGGTTTAGATCTGAGCACACTTGGCCTTGCCACCTCTCCAGATGCTCTTGAAGCAGCGAGCAGGTGCTCACTGTTCTGCGACCCAACTCGCTCATCCTCCTGCTAGTCAAGTGGAGCCTCTTCCTTCCCACTCCCCTTGCTTTCAAATACTTTTTTTTCGAAAGTCTCTTGCTTCTCTCCCTGGTCCAGACACCCTTCATCCACCATAGCATCGTATCTTCCGTGAACAAAAGGAAAGAAATAATAAGTACCTAGCTATCTGAGTGGATTGTGGGGAGAAGATAAAATGCTATCAATACATTTCATCTTCATCATCCTAATAGTCCAAATATGGTAACCCTTGGAACAATTTGCATTTCTTATTCATGAGATTGGGTTTCTCTCTTCGTGTGTTTATAGTTTATTTGTATTCTTCTAAGAATTTCCTGTTTAGATTCCTTATTCATTTTTCTTTGAGTTCCTTTTTTCTGATTTTTTTGTTTTTGTCTCTAGGTGTGTATTGTAGGTATTTGCTGTTTATTATACACGTTTTAAATGCTTTCTCCTCCTCTGCCATTTGCCTTAAACTTTGTTCATATTTTTTAGCTCTGAAGCAGTTGATTTTTGATGTGACCAAAAACTGTCCATATTTTCCTTCATGTTGTCTGAATCTCATGGGAAGGCTAAATATAAAGAACTGCAGTGGGTGAAGGATGTAAAGAAAATAGGTCTTTAAGTAGTGAGAAATATAGTATGCTATGAAAGAAAAGTAAAAGTTTAACACAGAGTACATAATTTTTAGAAAGTTTTTCTTTTGTTTTTATTTTATTTGAAAGATAGAGAGACAGAGACAGAGATCTTGCATCTGGTGGTTCACTACCCAAATTCCTGCAACGGCCAGGGCTTGGTCAGTCTAACACCAGGAGCCTGGAACTCAGTCTGGATCTCCCATGTGGGTAACAGAAACCCAAATACTTGAGCCAGCATCTGCTGTTTCCTTAAAAGGACTGAGTCAGGAAAATAGCAAGAAATATGCTAGAAATAAGCAGCATGTATATAAATCAGTTAAATTCTAAACTGTGTGGGTGTGAGGGGAGGGCTAGTTATGAACTAGTGCTCAAAAATACCAACAACCTAATTGACAGAAAAAAACCTTAAATTTTTTTTCCTGAAGATTTATTTTATTTATTTTAAAGGCTGAGTGACATGGAGGGAAACACACAAAGAAAGAGAGGAAAGTGAGGGAGGGAGAGTGAGAGTGAGAGTGAGAGTGAGAGTGAGAGAGAGAGAGAGAGAGAGAGAGACTCCCGTTTTCTGATGCACTCCCCAAATGCTGGGAGCCAGAACTCTGTCAAGATCTCCCACATGGGTGACAAGATCCCAAGTACTTGGGCAATCATCCCACTATTTTTCTCAGGCCATAGCAGGGTACTGGATGGGAAGTGGAGAGCCGGAACACAAATCGGTACTTACATGGGATGCCAGCATGGCAGGCGGCAGCTTTACCTGCTGGGCTACGATGCTGGCCCTGGAATTGCTGGAATTCTAACCAGCACTCTAATATGAGATGTAGGTGTTCCAAGTGGTCACTTAACTTGCTATGCCACAGTGCCTTCCCCTAAATTTTTTTTAATTAACAGAATTTTTAAAAGATAAATTGCTGTGGACTGTGTGTGAAATGTGAACCAGTGAGTAGTATGAATTCCCATGCTTAATGATTTTTATATAGTCCAGTAGGGAAATTCTATAGTTTAGGGCTTCCATAAAATACCCTTAAAAATGGAGAGCTGAGAAGTAAAAAGTAGGAATGTTTTAGTTCTGTTTTAGTCCACTGCCCAAGGTCTGTTCCCTGTAGTTACCTTTTACCAATTAATTGAATTGATTACACACACATAAATACACACACCATGTAATTAAAAAAAAATAAAATATATTTTAAATGCCTTAAATGAGGTGAACATTCTTTAATCTCAGAAAAATAAATGTTAAAAATCATTTTCTTTCTTTCTTTTTTTTTTTTTTTTGACAGGCAGAGTGGACAGTGAGAGAGAGACAGAGAGAAAGGTCTTCCTTTTGCCATTGGTTCACCCTCCAATGACCGCCACGGCCAGCACACTGCGGCCAGCACACTGCGCTGATCCAAAGCCAGGAGCCAGGTGCTTCTCCTGGTCTCCCATGCGGGTGCAGGACCCAAGCACTTGGGCCATCCTCCACTGCATTCCCGGGCCATAGCAGAGAGCTGGCCTGGAAGAGGAGCCACCGGGACAGAACCTGTGCCCCACCGGGACTAGAACCCGGTGTGCCGGCGCCACAGGCGGAGGATTAGCCTAGTGAGCCATGGCGCCGCCCTTTCTACTTTTCAATTTAGGAAACGCTCACATATAAATGTCTATGTGCTTGTTTATAAAATTGATGGGTTTATCTATATAATCATACACAAGATAGATCTATTATGTATGATCTATTATATCTAATAGCTCAGGAGGTGAATTACATTTTCTTTTCTTTTCTCTCTTTTTTTTTTTTTTACATTTTATGACCTGTTTGCCACTGAACCACAAACTTAATTTTTTCACATATTATCAAAATAGTGATATTAGTATTTTTTAATTTTTTTAAGATTTTATTTCTTTTATTTGAGAGTTAGAGTTACAGACAGTGAGAGGGAGAGACAGAAAGGTCTTCCTTTCGCTGGTTCACTCCCTAGATGGCCACAACAGCCAGAGCTGCACCAATCTGAAGCCAGGAGCCAGGCGCTTTTTCCTGGTCTCCCACATGCGTGCAGGGGCCCAAGGACTTGGACCATCTTCCCCTGCTTTCTCAGGTCATAGCAGAGAGCTGGACTGGAAGAAGAGCAGCCAGGACTAGAACTGGCACCCATATGGGATGCCAGTGCCGCAGACAGAGGATTAACCCAGTACGCCACGGCACCAGTCCTGTGGTATTAGTATTTTTATTAGAAATAACCTCTATTTGACTTTTAATCAAAACCAATCCAACTGTCATTACATGTTGCTGGTGTATGCCTGGTTAAATTTTGAGCTTAGCACCATATTATGGTATTAATTAGAACAGAATAGTATAGTCTGCATTACTACAGAGTGATCAAAAAGGTGACTATTGAAAATACTTATTTTATTTTATTTTTTTCAGATTTCGTGATGCATTGGAAGGTGATGTTGTTGTCGTTCATGCCATCCAAAGTGACCACAAGATATCTTCCTATAGGCTGGTGAAGCCTTCCAAGTACTCCAAATTCAAGCGACCAAGTCAGGCAGAGAGAAGACAAAGCAAATTTGAGAGGTTTGAAAAAGAGGGACTTGGAAAAAAGGATAGCCGGAGAGATACAGGTAGTTTAAATGACAAGAAGGCTGCTAAATCCTTATTTATTAAGATTTTAAAGCTGAATTGTCTTTTTGTAGGAAGAACCTTTGACCTTTCTTTGGTGGCTAGAGTTCAACTTCTTCCCCTTCCTTCCATCATGATCTCCTTTGGAGTAAATACTCAGGAGAGATAGAGCTGTGTAGTGTGGCTGAGAGTAACAACTGCTCCATGCCATCTTCATTGATGTATGTTGCTAAAGAAAACCCACCCTGGTCATGTGACTGAGAATGGGTGAGGCTACTGGGTGCTGCTGTTGTCTTACTTCCTGCATCCGACTATACTCTAGAATTGCCCCGGATGCTTGTTTCCAGGCAGCGTTTCTTTCCAGATTGCTGAATGTGGGGGCTAGACCTGCATGTAACCCTTTTCTGAGAATATATGCTTTAAACAGAAGGATAAGCTGAGAAGACAGGTGTGAAAACGGTGTCTCAAATCCCTGAAACCTGTTGGTTGCAACTGCTCACAAGGTGTCTACAGATGAGGAGGAGGAGAACAGGAATTCTGAACTATTTTGGAGAGTCCAGTCAAGAAGAGATCAAGGCTGCTCTAGTCTGGCCAGATAAAGGCTGTTGCCCAGTACTGACGTTAATGCTGGTGCATCCTCTTCACTGAGAAATTTTTAATGTCTCCCATCTGCCTCTCGAATAAATTCTGAAACTACTATTTTGGTATTTTAACTTTTCCAGTTTTTATTCCTGTTCTGTTTCCAGTAGTGCCTTCTTACATTGTTCTACCTGTATGCTTAACCTATTGTTCATCTTTCTGCTTCCTAATTATTTCTGATACTTTTACATCCAGGCTCCTGCTGGAGTGGCCACTATACTCCTCTCTGACTTCTACCAGTTTTGGGGGTATCCATCTCAAATTACACTTTTGTTACAAGGCTTCCCCTTGCACACCTGAGCCACGTGGAACTCTTCCTTTTCCATATTGTATATTTGAACTATGAAATAGTGACCTACAACTACATAGCTATCTACTTATTAGTTGTTTGTATCATGTGTATTTCAAGTCTGTTGTTATATAACTTGAACATGGATAGAATAATTTCCCAGTGGATTTCCTTATTAACTGACAAAGCACATAATTTTTAAATCATAGATTTGATTGCTTCTGTCCTGTTTTTAAATTAGCTACAGACTACTTAAGTTGGTATAAGCCATCTCAAATTATGTGTCAAATAGGACTCACTTCTTCCCGGTCCCACCATTATATCACATGCTCCTTCTCAGTTTCCCATCATTACTTATCTTTTTCTCAAGTTGTTTAATATACATGTCTTATCTTGCCAACTTTTTAGTAAGGTCCTTAAAATCAAGCATTGTATCTTGGCTCTCTTTATTTTGGCATTCCACAGTACAGATGGTCCCCAATTTATGCTGGTTCTCCTATGATGTTTTGGCTTCACAATGTTGTGAAGGTGTACCATTCATACAACCATTATGTGTTTTACTTTCAGGACAGTATTTAATAAACTACATGAGACATTAAAAAATTTATTATGGCAGGTGCTGCGGCTCACTAGGCTAATCCTCAGCCTGCGGCACCAGCACACCGGGTTCTAGTCCCGGTTGGGGCACCGGTTCTGTCCTGGTTGCCCCTCTTCCAGGTCAGCTCTCTGCTATGGCCCGGGAGTACAGTGGAGGATGGCCCAAGTGCTTGGGTCCTGCACCCGCATGGGAGACCAGGAGAAGCACCTGGCTCCTGGCTTCGGATCAGCGCGTTGCGCCATCCGCAGCGCGCCGGCCGCAGTGGCCATTGGAGGGTGAACCAGTGGCAAAAGGAAGACCTTTCTCTCTGCCTCTCTCTCTCTCACTGTCCACTCTGCCTGTCAAAAAAAAAATTTATTACAAAATAGAATTTGTGTTAGATGACTTTGTCCAGCGGTAGCCTAATGTAAGTGTTCCCAACATATTCAAGGTAGACTTGGCTAAGATATGATGTTCTGTAAGTTAATTTATTAAATGCATTTTTAGGTAAAAATTTTCAACTGATAATAGATTTGTCAGGAAGTTACTCCATCATAAGTTGAATTGGTTGAACTACATAGTAATTTCTCAATAAATACTTTGATTTTAAAATTCTGTATATTCTCAGGATTTTTTTTAATGTGGCAGATTAAAAACACTATTTGAGAGTTTGTGTTTGTCTAAAAAAACTGAAAAATATATTGACTTTCTGTACAGATGAAAGTGTTAGCATAATAGAAGAAGCAATAATGGAAAAAGAGAAGAAATTTCGGCCTAGAACTCTAAGTGAGATTATGATAGAAAATCAAATAGAGAAAACAAGGAAACTTATATTAAAAGCTGAGAGGGCCCAACATAAGATACAGCAACGAAAAAAAGAATGGGAGGAACTGTGAGTTTTTTTTAACCTAAATCCATATCTTTTTAGAATATAAGCCTCAAATTTTATCTTTAAAACTATTGATATTTATTAACATTGTTATGTAGCGGCTACTGGGGGGGTGAACCAATGGAAAAAGGAAGACCTTTCTCTCTGTCTCTCTCACTGTCTGTCAAAAAAGAAACTGAAAGTGAAAGAAGTCGAAACAAAGCTGGAGATCTTAAAGACAAGTCAGCTGGTTCTTTTAAGATAGTGATACTTTTAGTTGGAACTTCTATGATCCTTAAGAATTTACCATGTTACTAATACAGTCAGAGTGATTTTTAAAGATTAAAGAATTCTTCTCGGGGCCAGTGTTGTGGTGGGTGTTGTGGTGCAGTGGATTAAGCCTCCTCTTGCAATGCCGGCACCCCATAGTAGAGTACTTGTTTGAGTCCTAGTTACTCTGCTTTCCATCCAGTTTCATATCAATGCACCTGGGAAGGTAATGAATGGCCCCTGCCAACCATGTGGGAGACCCAGATGGAGTTCCTGGCTCCCGGCTTCAGCTGGCCCAACTCAGCCCTGACTGTTGCAGCTGTTTGGGGAGTGAAGCAATAAATGGAATATTTTCTCTGTGTGTGTGTGTGATCCCCATCTCTGATGCTTTGCCTTTCAAATAAATAAATAAACCTAAAAATAAACTGTTATCTATTCCAACATCATAATCGTAGTCTTTGTATGTTCTAACATCTTGTAGATTTGGCTTTCACCTTTATTTCTAACCATCTCAAGTTAACTTTAAAAAAAAGTGAGATAAGGTAGTTTCATTTAACAAGGTATCTTTTAATTTGCTTATTTTTTTAAAACTTTTATTTAATGAATATAAATTTCCAAAGTACAGCTTATGGATTACAATGGCTTCCCCCCCATAACATCCCTCCCACCCACAACCCTCCCCTTATCCACTCCCTCTCCCCTTCCATTCACATCAAGATTCATTTTCGATTCTCTTTATATACAGAAGATCAGTTTAGCATATATTAAGTAAAGATTTCAACAGTTTGCACCCACACAGAAACATAAAGTGAAAAATACTGTTTGAGTACTAGTTATAGCATTAAATCTCAATGTACAGCACACTAAGGACAAAGATCCTACATGAGGAGTAAGTGCACAGTGACTCCTGTTGTTGACTTAACAAATTGACACTCTTGTTTATGGCATCAGTAATCACCCTAGGCTCTTGTCATGAGCTGCCAAGGCTATGGAAGCCCCCTGAGTTCAGTGACTCTGATCATATTTAGACAAGGCCATGGTCAAAGTGGAAGTTCTCTCCTCCCTTCAGAGAAAGGTACCTCCTTCTTTGATGACCCATTCTTTCCACTGGGATCTTACTTGCGGAGATCTTTCATTTAGTTTTTTTTTTTTTCCCCCGGAGTGTCTTGGCTTTCCATGCCTGAAATACTCTCATGGGCTTTTCAGCCAGATCCGCATGCCTTAAGGGCTGATTCTAAGGCCAGAGTGCTGTTTAGGACATCTGCCATTCTATGGGTCTGCTGTGTATCTCACTTCCCATGTTGGATCATTTTCTCCCTTTTTTATTCTATCAGCTAGTATTTGCAGACACTATTCTTGTTTATGTGATCCCTTTAGTTCTTGATCCTATCATTATGATCAATTGTGAACAGAAATTGATCACTTGGACTAGTGAGATGGCATTGGTACATGCCACCTTGATGGAATTGAATTGGAATCCCTTGGTATGTTTCTAACTCTACCGTTTGAGCTAAGTCAGCTTGAGCATGTGCCTAATTGCACATCTCTTCCCTCTCTTATTCCCACTCTTATATTTAACAGGGATCACTTTTCAGTTAAGTTTCAGCACTTAAGAAGAATTGTGTATTGATTACAGTATCCAACCAAAAGTATTAAGTAGAACAAACAATAAAAATACTAAGAGGGATAACATATCAAGTTGCTCATCAACAGTCAGGGTGAGGGCTGATCAAGTCACCATTTCTCATAGTGTTCATTTCACTTTAACAGGTTTCCTTTTTGGTGCTCAGTTAGTTGTCACCTATCAAGGAGAACAAGTGGTATTTGTCCCTTTGGGATTGGCTTATTTCACTCAGCATGTTTTTTTTTTGTTGTTGTTCTAGTACCATTGGTTGAACTCTGTAATTAACACACAATTATTCTTAAGTGTTTAAATTTTAACTGAAATGTGATCCCTGTTAGGAATTTGGAAAACATTATGCTGAGTGAATTAATTTGCTTATTAAATGCCACTTGTATATTTTAATGACATGTCTCTTCATGTCTTTTATTCCTGTTTAAATGGAATTGTTTCCTTTTTATTCTTGCAATTTGAGAGCTTTCTGTATATTCTGATACTGGTCTTGTATCAGATATGTAGTTTAAAAATAGTTTCTCCCAATCTAGCTTTTCTTTTCATTCCTTAACAAGAGTGTTCATAGAACAAAAGTTTTGAAATTTGTTGATGTCCACATAGTCATTTTTTTAAATTTTTTTTATTTTTGATAGGGAGAGTGGACAGTGAGAGAGAGAGACAGAGAGAGAAAGGTCTTCCTTTGCCGTTGGTTCACCCTCCAATGGCCGCCGCTGCAGCTGGCACACCGCGCTGATCCGATGGCAAGAGCCAGGAGCCAGGTGCTTTTCCTGGTCTCCCATGGGGTGCAGGGCCCAAGCACCTGGGCCATCCTCCACTGCACTCCCTGGCCACAGCAGAGAGCTGGCCTGGAAGAGGGGCAACCGGGACAGAATCCGGCGCCCCGACCGGGACTAGAACCCGGTGTGCCGGCGCCGCAAGGTGGAGGATTAGCCTATTGAGCCACGGCGCCGGCTCCACATAGTCATTTTTTTAAATGAATTTTCATTTTGTTATCAAATCTAAGAACTTTGCCTACCTAGAGTCTAAAGATTTCCTTATATTTTTAAAAAAGTTTTGGGACCAGCATTGTGGCATACTGACTATGCCACCAACATCCCATATAGGGGCCAGCTCCTGTCGTGGCTGCTCCTTTTCTGATCCAACTTTCTGCTAATGGCCTGGGAAAGCAGTGGAAGATGGCCCAAGTGCTTGGGCCCTGCGCATGCATGGAGACCTGGAAGGAACTCCTGGCTCCTGGCTTTGGATCAACAGCTCTGGTCGTTGCAGCCATCTGGGGGATGAATCAGCAAATGGAAGACCTCTCCCTGTGTCTCTCCCTCTTTCTGTCTGTAACTCTACCTCTCAAATAAAATCTTTTAAAAAGTTTTGTGTTTTTTACTTCATATTTAAGTCTGTGACTTTCAATAGCCCTCTCCTGTGGGTATTCTGGCATGTAGTTTTCTCTGTTCCGCTTTGTTCATTAGTATGATTTTGTCTTCTTTCTATCTTCCCAAAGTGTTTCAGTATTACTGGTTTTCTCATGAGTTCCTATCCCCTTCTCCGCTCTCTAGGTAATTTATTACTTCTTGTATTTGTACCTCTTTGTTGTCATCTACATGGAATTTGGGAAGGGGGGGAGGCAAATATATATGTTCATGCTATCATCTTGAGCTAGGTGGCTTTTTTGAAAGTTTTCTAAAAACTGCTATGTAACAAAAATAAGTCTAGTGGACTTTTTAGTGATTTTAAAAAAACATTCAATTTTAGGGTTTAATTTCTATTAAGAAAATTTTAATGTGAATTACTTAGAAGTGACTGAAAGCCTAACAGTGATTCAGGTGATCTCAATACAATCTGCTAATTGATTTTTATTTGTTTAATTATATATTATTTTAGTTGGGCAGCTTTAGAAATACTCATTAGCTTTTTAAAATGCTTGTGCCCCACAGACAAAAGTGGCGTCAGACACTCAGAGTTGTACTTTTGTTTCAGGACTGAATTTGAAACTGTACCTATCGAAACTAGATAAATTAAGGCATGTTGCTCTATTGGTATCCGGGTTGTCTATTTCTCTGGTAGATACAAGAGTAAGCCTGATGATGACTATGAGGATCCCAAGGATGTCCAAGCCATCAAAGAAGCCCAAGTGTTTATGGGAGATTTCAATCTAAAGACAGCCCCCGACTATAAGATACCAGAGCATATGAGAATAAACGCTGCCAAGAAGGAGGAGGAACTGGGACACCTGGACTCGCTGGTACTTCCCTACAGATTTCATGACGAGAAAGGGCCCTGGGGTGGGGGTTAAATTGTGTTTAAATTCCTGTAAATTTTAGTACTACTAACATTTCATACCACAGAAATTCAGTACTGAAACAAGACTTTGATGATGATCAAGAATGCCCTTTCTACAAGAGCGGAGACTGAGACCTAGGGAGACGAGAGATTTGCTTAAGATTTGTCACATTCTATGGCAAAACCAGCTTTCACACTAATTATATGGCTCCCTACCAGTTTCATGGGTGAAACTGGCATTTTGTGGATCTTTTACCTCTGAAAGTCTAACAAATTCTCATTGGATTTATTTTTTGACTGCCATGGGCCACCAAGGATTTCTAGGAAAAGGCCATTGTTTAGTGTTTCTTTGTGGATTTTCAACATTTTGTAGGCAACTTAATTTTAGCCTACTAGTAGATATTCCTTTCTCTGCATTCTTTCAAACTGTTTCCTGTCATCATGGTTTCCAGTTCTCATTTTCTTAAAGTTTCTTCCTCCGGTTATACTAATTCCTAATCGCCATTTAAACCTGACACCTGACTGTTCACATTTACAAGCTTCAAAGGCATTGGAGCTACTGTTTAGGAGGATCTGATACTTGACCACCTCATAGAGCTGTGCAGGTTGCACAGTTCAAGCCATCACACTGGAGAGGGTGCCAATCATATCACAGTATATTTGAATATTTTATGATTTTCTAACAAGTGGAAATAAAGTTTCCTGAGAAAGAAATATCTTTTTCTATATTACCAAAGATATTTTACATCCTGTGGTACAGGCTTTTAACTATACTTTCCTGATAAGAAATGGACATTTTAGACATTTTATTAGTGATCTTTGGCTTCTTTTGCTAGTTGTTCATCTAAAATAATTCTTTGTCCATCATGTTTCATTCTTCATCATAGAGAAGTGCCCTTAGGACTATAATTTTTTTATTGTGTTAAATCTATCTACCAAAGTTGCTAACTATTAAAGTTGCTGGCTATTGCTTACTATTTATATCTCAGATTCTAGGTTTCATGCGACCACAATTTATTAGTCATTCAACCTGAAGTTTCATAATCTTACCAAAGATGATGGATAGGCATGATGTCTTGAATGAATTCAGTTGAATTATGCTGAAATCTACTTTATTTAAATTGTAACATCAAATAACATAGAACACATTATTCTGAAGTTAGAAGAGCAGAGCTTTATTCCCATCTCTGCTGCTTAGTAGCCTTGTGACTTCTACTAAGTCTTGTGTGTCTCCCTGTGTCTCAGTTATCTCATCTGTAAAAAGGATATTACTATGAACTAATAATAAGTTATATCTAATCTGCCTCTTAAGGTTAATGTAATGGCAGAATCAATAAGTGACCATTATAGTCATGGTCAAGTTCAAAATCATTGAAAAGTATTAAACATTTAGAAAAAAACTGTATTGATATGTCCTCCTGCCCTCAATCAGTGTTAGGTTTGTGTGATATTTAGAGAACCAGAAAGAAAAAGTTGATATGTAAAGAGGGCTCTTCAAAAGAGGGCATTATAGCCCTTAAAATTCTGGCTTTTGAGTTTAAACTTTAATGCTTTAAAGGTTTATTTTCCAAGTATGTAAAATATCTTACTATCTTGCTACAGTGTTTTTGTTTCATAGATAGTAAACACATAGATAGCTGGATATGATTTCTTGAAGAAGTACCTTTTGATCTTGTATTTTTTTAAAAATTGTGTATTTATGCAAAGTAACTCCCTGTGGCCTTCAGACCCAACTACCAACTAGAAGGTAGGGTTGCATGTGCTCTTAGGCTCTGGTAAGGGCATTTGGGAAACAGGCCAGAGAGACAGCTGTTTATGTGGGAGCAATGGGTATGTATAGCCCCTTGCTGTGTCTAGAGGCAGTGGTGCACTTGGTTTAGGTTAATGGAAAATTAACCAAGAATGGATCCTGGAATCTCTTGGTGTGACCTGATACTGAAATTCAGGATCATGACCTTGCCTACACAAGGAGTAACAGTAATTGTGTGGCCAAAATGCAGAATGAACAGAGTCTACCATGGTGGGCAGCCTGGGGGAGTCTAAGCCAAAGGAATTAGAAGTTCTAGCAGGGGAAGACAATGGCTTCCGCCTCCCTGTGGTAGCGTATCCAGCTAAGCACAAAGCTTCAGGTTGACTTCCGTGCAGTGCTGAAGGAGGACAAGGCACTTTACCCCTATAAGCCAGCCGAAGAGAACTAATCATAGAAAACAAAGGGATACCAGAGATCACATTCTGGCCTCCCATCTTAGAGAGGCTACAATGGTGAAAAAGCCTGAAAGTTGGAGCAGAGGGTAACAGTGGTGAACAAGGCTAATCAGATAAATGTCTATCTTAAACTTCTGCTCAGCTTTCCAGCCAAGGGATGAGAACCAGTGACGTTTAAGACTATCCTTTGTGACAGCATTGTCATTTTGCTTCCTTGCTCTTAATTTTTTCAGGCCCACAGCAAGAAAATGCACATGAACAAGTGCATCCTCTCCATTCGAGACCTTAAAGTGGCAGTTATAGATGAAATACAGTGCCTGGTGCAGGAATTGAAGAACATTCAGTTGTCTCTTGACGTATCCAAGCACATCCCCATTCCCCAGGTGCCTCAGATCTACCCAGAAGAAGTTCCGGAAAGGAGATTTCACTATGATGAGGAAACTCTCCTAAGGTTTAAGCGGCAGCGTATGAAAAGTCGGGATCAAAATTCATCCCAAGTGGAACAGGTAGGGTCTGGAAGCTCAGGTGGAGGATTCCTCAAGCCCTCATCTGGAAAGAACGGGGATTTTACATCACGAGATTCTATATCCAGATCATCAAGAGCGTCTGCATACAATTTGGATATTCCAAAGTTAACAGAATTTGAAAAAGCAGAGCCAACTGATGTGGAGCTGGAGATTATGAAGAGGGATGAGATTAAACACCTGTACATGCAACAGTATTTGTCCAACAGGGTAAGGGGCAAATCTGTTCCCATACAAAGCTAAAAGAAAAGAGGGAAAGGGAAGAACGAGATTGAGTTTCTTGTTTATTATGTAAATTTCTCTATTTGACCTTTCCCAAATCCTGACCAGCTCACCACTCACAAACGGCTTGGCTTCCTCTCCGTCTTTGACCTTCTGAAAAAGCACTGTGCTCTTCCCAGGCCACTGGAGTTCTAAACTTTTATCTGGGGGCCAGCATTGTGGCAGAGTGGGTAAAGCCACCACCGGCATCCCATATGGGTGCTGGTGTGTTCTACCTCCAATCCAATTCCCTGCTAATGGCCTGGGAAAAGCAGCAGAAGATGGGCCCCTGCCACCCACGTGGGAGACCCAGATGGAGTTCCTGGCTCCTAGCTTTGGCCTGGCCCAGCTTTTCCTGTTGGAACCATTTGGGGAGTGAACCAGCAGATGAAAGATTCTCTCTCTCCCCCCACCCCCCACCGTCTTAGTAACTCTGACTTTCAAACTAAATAAATCTTTTTTTAAAAGTAAAACTTCTTTCTTTCTGGAAAGCTGGCTAAGAATGAAGGACAAATCCTTTCTTCAGTTACTTGGTGTCTTACTGAAGTCATGGTGAAAATACCTAATTGGGGAAGGCAAGATAGAGATAACTGTTGGACAATAGGGAGGAGACAGATACAAATATTACCCACATGAGGCCGACTCTGTGGCTTAAAGCCCTGGGGTTAAAGCCCTGGGCTGAAGCGCCAGCATCCCATAAAGGTGCCGGTTCTAGTCCCAGCTGCTCCTTTTCTGATCCAGCTCTCTGCTATGGCCTGGGAAAGCAGTAGAAGATAGCCCAAATCCTTGGGTCCCTGCACCCACATGAGAGACCTGGAGGAAGCTCCTGGCTCCTGGCTTTGGATTGGCGCAGCTCTGGTTGTTGTGGCCATCTGGGGAGTGAACCAGGCTCTACCTCTCTCTGTAACTGTCTTTCAAATAAATAAAATCTTTAAAAAATAAATAAAAACAAATATTACCTACAAAGAGATCATATCTGTAAAGTACAGCAAGGAGATCCTTCTTGGTTTAATCAGTGATAAAGAAATAGCCAGGAGATATGTAATTACAGAATTTCTACTTCTTAGTAAATATCCTTATGTACATTTAATGCTATTAATTATTTATGTGATATCACACACACATACACACACACTTCCCTATTGATAATAAGGGTGTATTGCAAAAAGATGTTTTGAAACAAATTAACATTGCAGGATGGTTGTAAAAATACTTTTACCTATTCTTCTAACATATTCTCTAATCATTTTTCCACCTCAGATCAAAGAGCTGATTATCACTTTTGATGCAGAACTTCGTCTTCTGAGACATCACAAGCTGAAACTGGACACCCAGATGAAATTATCTGACCTGCATCATCTCACATTATTTCAAGAGATGCTTCTCCTCAAGAATTTTGAAAAGCAGGAGAACATACTTCAAGAGCGTGTGAATTCACTAGACAAAGAGGAACAGGACATGCAAGTGAGAGCAGCAGCAGACGCCTAGCCAGCTGCTCCTTTCCTTATGAAAGGGACTGGATTTGTTTTTCTTTCCTTTTTCTTCCTAACTTCATTTCCCCAATTGCTCTTGTCTTCATCTCTTTCTTGTCTTCTCCTCTTCTTTTTTTCCCATTACATCTGCTTGCTCTCCAGTTTTAGCATCGTTGGTCACAGAGAAATGACTCTGATTTTTTTTAATTTGAGCCCATATTTTGTAAGAAAGGAAAATGAAACTTTTTTTAACTTTTATTTAATAAATATAAATTTCCAAAGTACAATTTTTGGATTATAGCAGTCCCCCCCCCCCATAACCTCCCTCCCACCCTCAACCATCCCATCTCCCACTCCCTCTCCTATCCCATTCTTCAAGATTCATTTTCAATTATCTTTATATACAGAAGATCTACTTAGTATTTATTAAGTAAAGATTTCAACAGTTTGTACCCACACAGACACACAAAGCATAAAGTATTGTTTGAGTACTAGTTATACCATTAATTCACATAGTACAACACATTAAGGACAGAGATCCTACATGGGGAGTAAGTGCATAGTGACTCCTGTTGTTGATTTAACAATTGACACTCTTATTTATGATGTCAGTAATCACCCGAGGCTCTTGTCATGAGCTGCCACGGTTTTGGAAGCCTCTTGAGTTCACCAACTCTGATCTTATTTAGACAAGGCCATAGTCAAAGTGGAAGTTCTCTCCTCCCTTCAGAGAAAGGTACCTCCTTCTTTGATGGCCTGTGAAAATGAAACTTTTCAAAAGTGAGCCTTTTATTTAGTGTATTTAGGGAATTCAAAAGTCTTAACAAATTGAGTTTTAATCATATTTTACCCTTATAAACATGACTGTAAAAGAAGTTAGTAGCTTTCTTAAGTACAATAGCTGATTTCAGTATAACATGTAACTTAATATCATAGAAAATGGAGTTTCTTTATTGTATCTAAATGTTAAATCTAAAGAAGTAAGTTATACTATCTTTTTTAAAAGAAGGATTCCATTAAACAGATATTATACAGTAAATAGTGGTAGTAGCTTTTAGGTATATCAGCTTCACTAGAGTTGATGCATCTTTTTTGTTTTAGTTAAAATATAGCAGTACAAAAATAACTTCAGCTAATGCACCCACACATGCCAAAATATTAACTGACATTCACATACCAGTAAAAATTCCAATTTGTTTTTTTAAAGAGTTATTTATTTATCCAAGAGGCAGAGTTATAGAGAGGGAAAGGGAAAGACAGAGAGAGAAAGAGAGGTCGTCAATCCACTGGTTCACTCCCCCAAATGGCCGGAGCTGGGTGGATCCGAAGCCAGGAGCCAGGAGCCTCCTCCAGGTCTCCCACATAGGTATAAAGGCTCAAGCACTTGGGCCATCTTCCACTGTTTTCTCAGATCATCAACAGGAAGCTTTATCAGAAGAGGAACATCTGGGACATGAACTGGTGCTCACATGGGCTGCTGGCACTGCAGGCGGGCTTAACATTCTATGCCACAGCACTGGCCACCCAATTTGTTTAACTTAGAGCTTTTTTGAGGAAGCTAAAGTTTAAAAAGCTGATATCAACCAAATTGATTTTTATAAAAGAATTATGAAAATTTAACCAAATGAATAGGTGATTCTGCAAATATCAGAAATGTAACTTCTCATAATATTTGGTGGGAGGGGATGGACATGTAGCAGTAGTTTATGTCATAACTTGGGAGACCAGCATCCAATTTCAGAGAGTGTGTTTTGAGTCCTGGCTACTCTGCCTCCTGCTAATGTACTCTCTGGGAGGCAGGGGTGATGGCTCAAATACATGGCTTCCTGACACATGAGGAAAGCCTGGAATGAGTTCCAGCCTCCTGGCTTTACCTGCCCAGCCCTGGCCATTGCAGGGAATTGGGGGAGTGAACAGGTGGATGGAAGATCCCCCTCCATCTGTCTGTCTGTCTGTCTCTCTCTCTCTCTCTTTCAAATAAGTGAGAATGAATGCAAAAAAATATTTTCTTAGGAATTTTTTTTTTTTTGACAGGCAGAGTGGACAGTGAGAGAGAGAGACAGAGAGAAAGGTCTTCCTTTTGCCGGTGGTTCACCCTCCAATGGCCGCCACGGCTGGCGCGCTGCGGCCGGCGCACCGCGCTGATCCGATGGCAGGAGCCAGGTACTTATCCTGGTCTCCCATGGGGTGCAGGGCCCAAGCACTTGGGCCATCCTCCACTGCACTCCCTGACCACAGCAGAGAGCTGGCCTGGAAGAGGGGCAACTGGGACAGAATCCGGCGCCCCGACCGGGACTAGAACCCGGTGTGCCAGCGCCGCAAGGCAGAGGATTAGCCTAGTGAGCCGCGGCGCCGGCCTAGGAATTTTTTTAAAAATGTTTATGGACTGTACCTTTGTGTTGTAAAATACATTGCCCTCAGAACCTGGTGTTTCAGATGTATTTTATCTGTCAATTGTTCTTGTTTTTGTTCATTTAGTGGAAAATAAGTGAAACTCTTAAGGAGATGGAAGAGAAAAAGATTGAAATCACCAAGCTCCAGGAACAAGAAAAGGCACTTTATGCTGGTTTCCAAGCAGCCGTTGGAGAAAACAATAAATTTGCTAACTTCCTCATGAAAGTCCTAAAGAAGAAGATTAAGAGGGTAAAGAAAAAGGAGGTTGAAGGAGATGCCGGTTTGTATATCTTTTTCACAGATGATCCCATTTTTCTCTCATTAATGTGAAATAGAGCAATAACTAAGGGACCTATTAGGTACTCCTCCCCTTTTTTTCTCACTACAACATGTATAGAGGCTCTGTGGGAGTTAGAGTTGAGAGGTTATAAACCCTTAGGTCTTTAAACATCTGGAGTTAATCTCTGTGTGTATGTGTATCTAGTATCGGTCAACATAAGGTGGTTTAGTATAACAAGCACATCATTTCATTTGTTTGCTATCTGTTTATCTTCTTTGGTAAAATGTCTATTCATGTCAGTTGTCCGTGTTCGAATAGGATTGTTTGCTTTTTCACTGTTGAGTATGAGAGTTTTTTGTGTATTCCAGATACTAGTCCTGTGTTTGATGTGCGGTTTGCAGATCGTTTTCCCGATCTCTAACTTTTTTTTTCATTTGACATAGCATCCTTTGTTGAAACAGTTATCTCTTCCACTGACTTGCCTTTGATCTTTGTCAAAATCACTTTGGCATGTTTGTGTGGATCCTTGTTTAGATTCCCTGTTCTGTTCCATTGATCTGTGTCTATCCCTCCACCAATGCTACAGTCTTGATCATTTTAGCTATATTTTGAGTCCTGAAATCAGAATAATTCCTCCTACTTTGTTCTTCCTTTTCAAAATTGTGTCACTTGTCTAGTCCCTTTTCTATTCCATATTTTAGTATAATCAAGTTTATATCTTTAGAAATTCTTGTTGGCATTTTATAGCATTTATGTTAAACTTATGAACTTGAGGAGAACTAGCATTTTTACTACGTTAAGTCTTCCAGTGCATGGACACAGTTTCTTTGCATTTATTTAGGTGCTTGATTTTTTGCATCAGCATTGTATACTTTTCAACATTTGTACAGTTCATGTTCATGTTTGTTAGATTTGCACATAAATATTTCATTTTTTGAGTGATCTTAAATAGTATTATATTCTTAATCTTGGTGTGTCATGTATATTGTTAATGTACAGAAATAGTTTGTTTTTATATGTTTACCTCATGTCCCATGACCTTACTTTCTAGGACTGGAAGTTTGGGGTAGATTCCTTGGGAATTTCTTTGTACAGAATAACTTCATATGCAGATATTGGCAGTTGTTTCCAATCTGAATGCAATTTCCCTTTCCTGCCTTACTGCACCACTAGATCATCTACCAATGTGCTGTACAGTGCTGAGAGCTGACATCCGTGCCTTATTCCTGATATTAAGAGGGAAAGATTCAGCATGAAGCATAGTGTTACTTGTCGATTTTTCATAGATGCTCTTTTTCAGGTTTAGGAAATTCCCTTTGTTCTTATTTTTCATAAAATTTTATCATTAATGGGTACTGACTTCTGTCAGATACTTTTCTGTATTGGTAATGATACGATTTTTATCTTTAGTTTATTAACTTGGTGGATTAAATAAACCTTCCTTGGCATAATGTAAAAATTTTTAAATATTGCTAAATTCTATTACTAATATTTTGCTTAGAGACTTTGTGTCTATATTCGTTGGTCTATAGTTTTCTTTCTTTTGCACTGTCTCTGTCTGGTTTTAGTAACAGGGTAATACTGGCTTTATAAAATGAATTAGGAAATCCTCTCCTCTTTCATGTTCTGAAAGATATTGTGTAAAATCGGTAATAATTCTTTTTTTAAAATGTTTATTTATTTGAAAGAGTTACACAGAAAGAGAGGCGGAGAAATAGAGTAGGGTGTCTTTCATCTGCTGGTTCACTCCCCAAATGGCTGCAATGGTCGGAGCTGCACCGATCCGAAGCCAGGAGCCAGGAGCTTCCAACAGGTCTCTCACGTGGGTGCAGAGGCCCAAGGACTTGGGCCATCTTCTACTGCTCTCCCAGGCCATAGTAGAGAGCTGGATCGGAAGTGGAGCAGCTGAGACTCAAACCGGCACCCATATGGGATGTCAGCACTGCAGGTGGCAGCTTTACCCGCTACCCCACAGCACTGGCCCCGGTAGTAATTCTTTAAATAAGAATTTCATTTAATTCTTCAGTGAAACTATTTGTATCTAAATAACCTTTAAGAAGATATTTTAAACTTAAGATATCCAATTTTCTTAGTGGTTATAGGGTTTTTCAAACATTGTGGTTCATACTGAGTGAGTCATGATAATTTTTTTTGAGAAATTGGTCTTTTTGTCTAAGTTGCCAAAATTATGTATAAAGTTGTTCATGCTATTTCTTTTTTCCCCTTTTACTGTCTACCTTTTAAATGTAGTAATATCCCCTGTTGCCTTCTTTATATTGGTAACATGTCTTTGCTTCTCATTTTTCTTTTCACTCTTTCTAGAAGTTTGCCAATTTGATTTTTTTTTCAAGAACAAACCAACTCTTTGGATAAATGTTTTTATTATAATTCTTGGAAGTTTATTGATCTCTGCTCTTATATTTACTGGTCTATTACTTCTGTTCAATTTTGCTTTATTTTGCACTTCTGTTTTTAGGTTTTGAGGTAAGGGAGCTTAGATTATTGATTTCAAATTTTTCTAATTTAGTACTGTAAATTCACATTAGCACTATGTTAGTTACATTATACACATTTTGGTAAGTTGGATTTTCATTTTCATTCATGTCAGTTTAGTTTGGTGTCTGCATTATCTGGTGTAACAGTTCCTTTTTCTTTATGGTGATCTCATTGGAAATGACTTTTTACTCAGCTGGCATGTAGGGTGTGAGTTGAGAAGTTGCTTTGGTTTCAGTTCTAAGTGAGCCCCAAAGCAAAAACTCTGATTTCTTCACCTATAATTACTATCAGCATTATTTATGAGTGTCACAGTTGTCTAATCTGCAGCAGTTTATGGCTTTGAAATGGACATGAGCTTCCAAAGGTGCGTGTCTTCAGACAGCCGAGTGATGATTTCAGTCATTGCCAGTGCGTATGATGGCAGTAGCCACATTCATGGTACATGGGGCCCAGAGGAGACTGTCCTTTTGTCCCTCCAGTCAAGGCTTAGGAATGCTGGGGCTTGTGGCACCAACAACTGTGGCCCTGGAATTTTGCGATGTGGGTGGGATCTTCCCCACATCTTGCCAGTGAATGTGGATGATACTGGGTCTCATAGCACCAAAAGTCCTAGTTCCAGCACTGGGGGGCTGGGAAGGGTGCATTGTCCAGGTCCCACAGGGTGGGTACAGGTCATGCTGAGGATTGTGTGCTGACAGATGTGGGCCTGGAGCAGCGGAATGCAGGTGTAGGCTTCCCTAGGACCCGGCAGGTTCCGAAGACTCTGAGGAATATAGTACTAAGTCTTGGAGCTGCGGGGCAGGTAGCATGCCTTGTCTAGATCCACAGAACAAGTTCAGGTGTTCCAAGACTTATATAGCTAGCAGTCACCATCCCAGATGCAGAGGAGACCTTACCCAGGTCTTATTTTTAACGCACAGGTTGTGCTGGGGGTTGTGCACTGGAGCAGTAGAGTGCAGAAAGTCGTTTCCAGGTCCCACAGGGAGAGCTCAGGTGACTGCAGAATATAACTCCATCAGTCCCATTCCCGGAGCTGCAGACTCTTTTGTGTCAATCCAGGTTGGTCGCAGGTTATGCTGGTGAATGTATACTAGCTGATACAGGCCTGGACTGGGGATGCAGTAAGGCCTTCTCTAATCTCCACGGATGAATATAGTTGTCCCTGGGACTTAGAAGAAAAGCAGTCACAGATCCGGAGCTGTAGGATGCAGCAGGGTCCTTGCCTAGATCCCCCGGGGTGAACTGGGGTGACTGTGGAATACAGTTCTAACAGTCCCACTCCCAGAGCTGCAGGGCTCTCAGGGTACCTCACCCAGGTCCCACCCATTGATTGCACATTTTGCCCGGTGTTGTGAACTAGCAGGTACAGGCTTCAAGCAGAAGAATGAAAAGAGAGCCTTTTGCCCCAGGCCCCAGTGCAGAGTGCAGGCATCCCTGGGACTTACAGAACAAATAGCCCTGGTCCTGTGCTGCAGTATGCAATGGAATCCTTACCCAGGTCTCACAGGTTAGTGCCAGTTATCCTGAACATTATGGACTGGCAACCACAAGCCTCAAGTAGAGGAATGCAGTTTGGGCCCTCTAGGTCCCACTGGTAAATACAAGTTACTGTAGGCACTGTAGCACCAACAGCCATAGTTCCAGAGCTACAGAACACAGAAGGGACTGCCACCAGTTCCCACAGGGCTGGCTGGGGCATGTGCCATAGTCCCCAGCACCCTGTGCTAAGAGATGCAGAAGGGACTTGCTCAGACCCTCCAGCTCATGTGTGTGCTAATACTGGCACCAAGCCCCAAGAAGCAGAGGGAACTTCCCCAGATCAGGCAGAGAGTGAGCAAATGTGGCTCTGGCATTTGTGCCCAATAATCCTGCAGCTACAGGATGCAGAGGGCCTGTTGTGTGCTCCATGATGTTTCCTGCCACTGGCTCTGGGGACTTCTGGTGGTGAAGGGACTGTTTGCTGATCCCTAAGACAGAATGGAGTTCAGCTGTGACTTTACTGCTGCAACTTGAGTCTGGTGCTTTGGGGACAGAGATAGGCAATGTGGCTTCCGTTTTTGGAGTAAAGTAGTTGGCTCCCATCCCAGTCAGCTTTCTAGACTGGATTTAAGGCCAGCGAGGACTGTGGAATTCTCCTGTAGTCAGGACTGCCCGTCTTTAGTGATGGCCAGGGGTTGCAGAGCTTTCTGCACACGCCCCCACATGCACATGTGCACACACGCGTGTCCACACACACACACACACAGCTGAGGATCCAGGGCAGGAGCTGCAGTGTGCTGTTTTCCTCTCTGCTGGCTTTCTGAGCCACTGCTGATTCTGGTTCCTGTCGCTGCTTTACCATAGCTTTCCCTCCGTCAATCTCCTGGAAAAACAGTCTTTCCCTTGTACTGGTTCTTCTCGGTGGTGGAGGCAAGTACAGGGCCTCTGTTTTCAGCCATCTTGGATCCTCTGGCTTCTATTATTTCTGATGAGAAACTGATATTCAAATTGTGTGCCCACTACTGGTAAGGTGTCACATTTCTTTTGATGACTTGCTTAGTCTTCTGTTTCCAGATATTTGATTATGATGTGTCTTGGTGTAGACTTCTTCAGATTTATCCTGTTTGAGTCTCATTCAACTTCTATAATTTTTTGTAAAGATTTTATTTATTTGAAAGGCAGAGTTACTGGGGGGGGGGGGGGGGAGTCTGGTTCACTGCCCAATTGACCGCAATGCCTGGAGCTGAGCTTATCTGAAGTCAGGAGCCAGGAGCTTCTTCCAGATCTCCCACATGAGTGCAGGGGCCCAAGGATTTGGGCCATCTTCTGCTTTCCCAGGCCATAGCAGAGAGCTGGATCAGAAGTGGAGCAGCTGGGTCTTGAACCATCACCTATATGGGATGCCGGCACCGCAGGCGGTGGCTTTTACCTGCTATGCCACAGTGCCAACCCGGACATTTTATATTACAGTACAATATTCCAGTACATATACACAGCATAAACCAACCAAACTAAGCAATTAGCCTGCCAATTCCTTGTCTCTTGTCTCTGTTTGGAACCTACCAGCTCCTCTCTTCCAGTTCTTTATATAGTAATAATACATTATAAACTATGTTATGTTGTATATACACTATATGCAGCTATAAACTATAGTTTCCCCCTCTGTGCTATGGAATACCAGAACATGTAACTTCTATCTATGTTTTAGTACCTGTTATTAAACCTCACTCTATCCCTCATTCTCACCTTCTCAACTTCTAGCAATCGCCATTCTAAAATTAGATTGAATTTTATTTTAACATCTATATATGAGAGAAAATGTATTTTTCTTTCTGTGTCTGATTTATTTCACTTAGACTATAATGAGTTATATCCATGTTGCTGTAAATTCAATATTTCTCTCATATTTTGGCTGAACAAAATTCCATTGTGTACATTTTTCTTATCTATTCATGGTAAAAGCCATCAACAAATTGGGTATAGAAGGAACGTGCCTCAAAATTAGTAAGGCAATATATACAAACCAACAGCCAATATCATACTGAATGAGGAAAAACTGAACACATTTCCTCTCAGATCTGGAAAAAGATAAAGATGGACATTTTTACCAGTGTTATTGAATATAGTATTAGAAGTATTAGCAAGAACAATTAGAAAAGAAAAGAAAAAGAATTAGATGGGAATCTGGATAGATTCCATAGCTTGACTTTTGTGAATAGTGTTGCAGTGAGCGGAATATGCAGATATCTCTTTTCGCGGGCTGATTTCATTTCTTTCAGAAATACACCCGGAATTGGATAACTGAATCATATAGTAGAGCTATTTTTAGTTTTTTTTTTTGAGGAATCACCATGGTTTTCTCCATAATGACTGTATTAATTTGCATTCCCACCACATTACCTATTCTCCACGTCCTTGACAGCATTTGTTATTGTCTGTCTTTTGGATAATAGCCATTCTGGCTAGAGTGACATGATACCTCTCTGTGGTTTTGATTTGTGTTTCCCTGATGACTAGTGATCTAGAGCATTTTTTTCATGTATTTGTTAGCCATTTGCATTTTGTCTTCCAAGAAATAGCTATTCAGATCCTTTGTGCATTTCTTGACTGGATTGTTTGCTTTTTCTCTTGAGTTTCTTGAGTTCTTTATTTATTTTGGATATTAATCCTTTCTCAGATGCATAATTTGCAAATATTTTCTTGCATTCTGTTCTCTCTTCAACTTGTTGATTATTTCCTTTGTTCTCTAGAAGCTTCTTAGTTTGCTACAATCCCATTTGTCCACTTTTGCTTTTGTAACTTGTGCTTTTGGGATCATATTCAAAATATTGTTGGGATGCCAATACATTTGAGTATTTTCCCTATGCTTTCTTCTAGTAGTTTTATAGCTTCAGATCTTACAATTACATCTTTGATCCATTTTGAGTTGATTTTTGTTTAGTGTGAGACGTGGAGTGGTGTGCCTAAATTTCAGTCTTCTACTTATGTATATCCAGTTTTACCAGCACCATTTATTAAAGATAAATGTTTGTCTTTGGCACCTTTGTCAAAGATCAACTGACTGTAGATGCATAAACTAATTTCTGTGATCTCTATTCTGTTCCATTTGTCCATGTGTCTGTATTTATGCTAGTACCATGCTGTTTTTAGTTGTAATAGCTCTGTATTATGTCTTGAAATCTGCTATCAAGATACCTCCAGCTTTGTTCTTTTTATTCAAGATTGCATTGACTGTTTAGGATCTTTTTTTTCTTTATAAATTTTAGGATTTTTTTTCCTAGTTCTGTGAAGCATGTCATTGGTGTTTTTGCTGGAGATTGGATTGAACCTGTAAGTCACTTTGGATAATATGGATGTTTTAATAATACTAATTCTTTCAATCTCTGAACATGGATGATCTTTCCATTTTTTGTGTGTTGTGTTCAATTTCTTTCAGCATTAATTTTCATTGTAGAGGTCTTTTACATCCTTGGTTAAATTTATTGCAAGGCAGCTTTTGTGAATAAGATTATTATATTTTTTCTGTGGCAATGTATATAAAAATACTACTGATTTTTGCGTATTGATTTTTTTATCATGCAACTTTACTGAACTTGTCAATTCTAATAGTCTTTTGTTGGAGTCTTTTTGTTTTCCTCTATATAGAATCATGTCATCTACAAACAGGGATAATTGAACTTCCCACTTCCCCTGATAGTTTCCCTTTTCTGTCTCCTGCCTAATGGCACTGGCTAAAACTTCCAGTACTACATTAAATAAAAGTCTTGAGAGGGGACATCCTTGTCCATTTCCAGATCTTAGAGGAAATGAGCTTTTCCTCATTCAATATGATTTTTGCTATTTGTCATAAAAAGCCTTTACTATGTTTTGACTAAAGTGGCAGTCCTTTGTTGCATCTTTATATTTACATCTGTTGGTATTTCTAGGTTGCCAACCTATTAGTCTTCAAATCTGAGATATATGAAACTAAAAGAAGCCCCAGGGAACCTTCTACAATGTAATTCCTCAGGTTCTGAGGTGCATAGTTGGCCTACTTTTTTCTTTCCACTTTCCAGAATCTTCTTATGTTTGTTTTGCATGTATATTTAGCTCTGTTTATGAGAAAAATAGAAAAAAAGATGTACTTTGTTTTAATAAAACAATTTTACATTTTTATATAAAAATGTTAAGATCAAATTAGAAGCTTTTTATTTTTTTATTTTTTTTGATTCATTCATATGGTGGTACAGATCTCTTTTTTTTTTTATTTGACAGATAGAGTTAGACAGTGAGAGAGACAAAAAGGTCTCCCTTCCATTGGTTCACCCCCTCAAATGGTCACTATGGCCAGAGCTACACCAATCCAAAGCCAGGAGCCAGGTGCTTCCTCCTGGTCTCCCAGGTGGGTGCAGGGGACCAAGCACTTGGGCCATCCTCCACTGCCTTCCCGGGCCACAGCAGAGAGCTGGACTGGACGAGGAGCAACTGGGAATAGAACCCGGCGCCCATATGGGATGCCAGTGCCGCTGGCGGATGATTAACCAAGTGAGCCATGGTGCCAGCCTCTTTAAGTTATTTTAAGAGCAATCTTAAATTTAAGAAATATTCTAAGGGCATTTGCTGTGGTGCAGTGGGTTGAGCTACTGCCTGCAGCACCAGCATCCCATATGGCAGCTCTGCTTCTGATCCAGCTCCCTGCTAATGTGCTAAAGCAGTGGAAAATGGCACAAGGCTTGGGTACCTGACACCCACTTGTGAGACCCAGATGAAGCTCCTGGCTCTTGGCTTCTGCCAGGCCCAGCCCTGATCATTGTGGCCATTTGGGGAGTGAACCAGTAGTTGGAAGATCTTTCTCTTTCTAACTCCTCTGTAACTCTGCCTTTGAAATAAATAAATATTTACCCAAAAAACCAGAAATATTCTAGAAAGTATGAGGTCCATCTCTTACCTCTGATATAAAATTCCATAAAATATAAATTGCAAATTGATGACCTGTGGTTCATGGATGGCCTCAAGGTGTTTAAAAGAAAATTAGACATGGTAGAGTGGAGAGGTCTACAACCCCTTATCCAAATTTTGGGAACAGTGTGTCTTAGTATTCAGGAATCTTTATATTTTATAAGAGATTGTATATGATGGTATAGAGAAACACATACTCATGACAATTGTTAAAGAGCAATAATAATGTAGGGTGTATTCAGGGGACTACTACAGTGAGGTTTTTGTTTTAGGGGAGAAAGAACAGGCTCAACCCTGAATACAACAAGGATAAGTAGAGATTTACAGGCAAGGGGCAGGGTGGGAATCAATGGAGAGAATGTTACTAAATGTCAGGGTTATTCTTTGTAAACTGTCCTGAAAGGATTTCATGTTAGGGCAATAAGGTATGGAGGATGAGGGATGAGATGGCAACGGTAGGAGGGAGTTTTTACTAAACTGACTCAGCAGAAATCTTACCACAGTGGGACTGAACAGGCTAAGGGCAGAGCTCAGTAACTAGGCAGAAAGAGGACTCAGAGAAGCTTTCGAGTTTTGTCAAAAGAAAGAGCGTTTGTTGACATAACTCCTCCAAGGGATCTAGTGCAGCATGTAGAAATCAAACACCTTCCCACTGTGGCAGTGGCAGCAAAGCGTACCAAATAGGTTAAATGCAGGCTATAAATCACATAGCTTCAGTTCAGATAACTTAGGAAAAGCGTTCTGTGATTTAGGAAGTTGGGGCCTATTTCACCAAGCATGTGTGTTAGGTAAGTTACAGCACAAGCAGTTTGGCAACTTGGTCTCAGCCCCCTCTGACTTGTAGCATTGATAAGAACTGCACAGCCTTTTGGAAGCATTTGAGTTTTTGATCTCCATGTCTGTTTAGACATTTTAAACTCTTCTAAAAATACTGAGTAATTTCCTACCTTACCTGTTCGTTATTTTCCTACTGACTGTCTCGTTGAAAAATACTTTACTTTAAGAAATGTGGTATTTAGTTAAGCACAGGAATTTCTCTCCCATCAATGTCCCCCTGTCTCGTTAGATGAAGATGAAGAAAGTGAGGAATCAAGTGAGGAAGAATCCAGCTTGGAGAGTGATGAAGATGAGTCTGGATCGGAAGATGAGGTGTTTGATGATTCCATCTGCCCAACGAGTGAGTTGTACAAAGCTGTGTGCTCTGTGCAGTGTGAATGGAACTGACAATACCGAGCGGTCCTTTTTCTATGTGTCTCAGTTCTCTGATAACAAAGTGTCAGGGAAAGGTGGTTTAAAGAGTAGAAAGTATGGCTGAATGAATACTTTTTGGGGCTTTATCAATAATTTATTATCTTTTCCCTCAGGCAACCATTTATGAATGACAAATAATCTGCAGACAATCACCAGTTGGTAATTCAGAGTTATAAATGACATGACATTACACTTGCCCTTTTTTTTGACAAACCCCTTCCATTTTTCATATTTCAAATCTGTTTTATAAGAGCAGTTTGTACCAGTTTTCTGGAAATGGTTGGCAGTTTATATTTATAGTTTTCACTGGTAAATCCAGTCTGAAGCAACTAAAATGTAATTCTTAGTCTGGATAGTAAATAGAAGAAACCCCAATATTTTGGACCTGTGATTTGTTTTTCTGGGTATTTCAAATAAAATTGTAATTGAATTTTAAGTTTGATCTCAAAGTTTATATCTTGAAAACAGGAATCTTCTTAAAGTCATAGAATTCATGAATGCAAGAGAGCACAAAAACCTTGTCATGCAACTACATCAGGATTAATTGACTTGAATGATATCTACCACTAGTGAAGTGGTAGAACTAGGGCTACAGCTGAGGCTCCTAAATACATTTTAGTACTCAACTTTTATATTCTTTATAAGTGTGGCTCTTAGTCTAATAGAGTGGAATAATGCGGATAGTGCACTTGAACACCAGTTATGCCAGCTTCCTGCTACTTAGCTGCATTACCTGTAAAGTAGGAAGCGTCATTTCTAGCTTGCAGAGTATGCGAGCCGTGAATAACATAATGGGCATAAAGGGCCCAGCACAAAGCCTGGCTCAGAGTACTGCCGGGAACATCAGTTCTATTACCAATACGATCATGATTGTTAATACAGTCAATAATATCTACCTGGAACACGGTAGCCGTAAGCATAGTGGCAGCTGGCCCCAAGGGATCCCCAGATGCACATTATTAAATCCAAAGCTCCAAAGTCCACCCTTAGCTACCAAGTTCCATTACCAATAGGGCTACTTTTAATTTTAACTCTCTTTTCAGGCTGTGACCCAGCTCTTTTTGAATTGGCCCTTCAACTCCGCGAGAAAAGGCTGGACATTGAGGAGGCCTTAGTTGAAGAAAAGAAAATTGTTGATAACCTCAAAAAAGAATATGATACCTTGTCTAAAAAAGTACGGTGACAATCTCCCACTAAAATATTGGCTTTTCATGACAACCACATTGTTAGCACTTCTCAGAGAAGAAACATTCCAAATGTTCTGTCTAGGTTTTTTGCTCCTTCTGCACAGCTGTTGTGGGGGACATCACTCTTTTCTTTAAAAAAAAAAAAACAACCAATATTTTAAAAAAGATTTTATTTGAAAGGCAAAGTGACAGAGAGAAAGGGAGACAGATCTTCCATCTGATACTTCATTCATCAAATGGCCATGACAGCTGGGTCTGGGCCAGTCCAATGGAGCCAGGAACCCCATCTGGGTCTCTCCCATAAGGGTAGCAGGGACCCAAGCACTTGGGCCAGTCTCTGCTGCCTTCTAGGCACATCAGCAGGGAGATGGATCAGAGGCAGAGAAGGTGGGATTTGAACTGGTGCTTATATGGGATGTGGCTGTCACACTGGCAGCTTACCCTGCTGAGCCACAACACCAGCCCCATTGCCCTTTCCATGATTGAACTTTCTTTGTCTCAATCATTTGTCTCCAAACTTTTTAAATTACATAGTTCTGGGGCTGGCGCTGTGGCATAATGGGTAAAGCCGCTGACTGCAGTGCCGGCATCCCATATGGGCACTGGTTTGAGACCCGGCTGCTACGCTTCTGATCCAGCTCTCTGCTATGGCCTGGGAAAGCAGTAGAAGATGGCCCAAGTCCTTGAGCCCCTGCACCCGTGTGGGAGACCTGGAAGAAGCTCCTGGCTCCTGGCTTCAGATCGGCGCAGCTCTGGCTGTTGTGGCCAATTGGGGACTTAACCAGAGGATGGAAGACTTTATCTCTCTCTCTCTGCCTCTCCTTCTCTCTCTGTGTAACTCTTTCAAGTAAACAAATAAATCCTTAAAAAAATAAATAAATAAATAAAAAATAAATAAATTACATAGTTCTATAGGTTAAAAAAAAGTGAAGTACCTACCCCTACAATAAATGTATATATAAGTATGGGAAAACATAGTATATATAAAAACATATATACACACATACATGTGTGTATGTGTGTGTGTTTATGTATGTTGTGGTATGTGATTCAGTACTGTCTGGGGTTTCAAGCATTTTCTGGGAATTTTGGAATGAGCTTCAGAACATAGGGGGTCTATTGTATTTATTTATGAAATGTATTAATGAACTATTGTACTACAGAGTAAGCCTCCATTTTATAAAATAAATATCAGATTTCAGAGCATTTTGGAATTTGAATTTTTTGGATAAGGGATGATCATCCTATGAAGTCTATATGACTATTCCAAAATCCCAAAAAAATTCCAAAATCTGAAACACTCTGGTCCTGAGCATTTCAGATAAGGGATATTCAACCTGTAGTATGCTTTGTACATTACGAGCCATTCACACAAAGTAAACTTAAAAGATCAGGATAAAAATAAATAGAAATAGAAACTGCCGCTTTCCTTCTGCACCCAGTAGGTCATTTTGTTGGCCTTCTGGGGTGAACACATCCCATGTTGGAGGTCGCTAAGCTAAGCTTCTGGAATAACACTGGTTTTACCATATATCTGCTCCCTTTCCGCCTAGCTGCAACATCACCTAATTTGATTCATATTCAGACATATTTTTGATAGATTGCTTTATCTCTCCCACAATAGGAAATGATTTGGAAAACTATCACTTTTTTTGGCAGTAAATAATGTGCTTTAGAAATATTGTAGTTAGTAGTTTCATTGCTTTCAATGACTCTTTTTTTATTTGATTGCAATTACTATAACCAAACAGGATTCCCAGCATTCTGACAAAGACATTCAGCAGCTGAAGGCTGCTTGTCACGTAGAAAATAAAAGGGAAGTAAAATTATACCTCTGGAGCTGTTATTCACAAAACCTCTACATAAGCTCTAGGGACGTAGGAACGATTCAAACAGTGGTGCAGATCATCACTTGGCGAGGAGAGAATAACATCCAGTCCGGGGCTGCAGCCTGGGCCCATGCGTGCGATCGCAGCCTCACATGCAGACCTGGCTCGCGCAGCGCCTCCCCGGGGCCTTCATTTACCACCTGACGTGTGTACTAATTGAATTTCTCCAGGTGAAAGTTGTGGCCACGAATCTGAACGCGGCAGAGGAGGCCCTGGAGGCCTATCAGCGAGAGAAGCAGCAGCGGCTGAATGAACTGCTGGTGGTCGTGCCGCTCAAGCTCCACCAGGTGCGGCGTGCTGGAGAGGGCGCCCGGCGCCGTCGGAGCAGAAGGGCTAACACATTCGGGGCTTCCCAGGCGAAGATTCAGGGGTCGCCAGTGGGGAACACTGTGGTCCTTTGCTGACGATTCTACTCGAAGACTGACGACACACCCCAACTGTTCTTGTCTGTCGTCAGATTGCCTCTTTCTTTGGAAGTTCCGTCGTTTTAGGTCTGGAGTAATCAGGCACTGATGACTGAAGAGGGGAATGAGTGTCCTAGCGGCTGAAATCTGAGGTCTTGCCCACACGACTCTTTCTACACCCTCTGTAAATAGACGTGGATGAGTGATGCAAGAATGAGCTCTACTTAATCTTTAGTCATTAATGAGTGAGCTCAAGACACCAGGAATATTTTCTCCTTTTTCCCCTCTTTGTTAATGTCCACTCTACTCAAATTATAGTAAATTGTAGAAATACATATAGTAAATATATATATAAATATAATTTATATATATAAAAATATATAAATTTGTATATATATGAGAAAAAAGGCTTATTGTATCCCGTTTTGTCAGGGTAAGAGAAGTAGTTATATTTCAGGGAAAAAAATACCCTTTGATTAGCCTTATATCTATTTTCTGTAAGCTGACTCAAGGTAGAGTAGTTCTATAGCCATATGCCTATCATTATGCAGTAGATATTAGGCATGATCTGTTTGGGAAGAATCTTGACTCCAGAGATAGAAGATTTGGCTTATTGTCTGGCAACAACTTTCTCTTTATCTCACACTGCCACTTGGTGATGAGAAAGAGAACCCCAAAAGCAAGGACCTAAGTAAGGGACAGAGAAGGAAGTACTCCCCTGTGTCCCCTGTGACATTGCGTTTAACTTGAATCTGTCTTTTTTTTTTTTTAATTTTGATTCATTTTGTCTTTGTAGATAGAGTATATGGTATTTGGAGAAATCCCTAGTGATCTTTCTGGTACTTTGGTCTTCTCTAACCACTCCTTGGGACGGCTGCAGGAAAGAATCGGTCAGCTCCAAGAAGAAAATTCAAAGCAGCAAAAGCTTAACAAAGAATGCCGAGAGAGGCGTAAACAGCTCATCCGGGAAAAGAGAGAGATGGCCAAAACTATACATAGTGAGTATCTAAGACCATGATTACCAGCAACACCCATTCGTAAGAGCGGCCTCTTGAGCAACTGTCTCCAACTTTGAAAACAGTTATCACAGGTTCACAACCACTGAGAGAAAATAAGAGTAAGTTCACATTTTCCACTTCCCAGCTCTTCTGACACCAAGATCATGCTCCTGTCTTAAAAGGGGACATCTTTTGTCGTATAATCAATTTTTCTTTGTATAATAAAATATAGGCTAATATAGTAAGAACCTGTGTGTCCGCTACTTGCCTTAAGCCAGCCCAATAGATGCCATATATATTCAATTAAGTTTTTAATTCACAATTCCATGATGGTTGGCAACTTTTTCACATACATTTGGCATTTACTCTTTTCTTTTTCTGTACCTTTCCTGTTGTATCCTTTGCCCATTTCTCATTTATGTTTTTTGTTTCTTACTGCTCTTAGGGATTTTTAAATATAGTGTATTCATTTTTGTCCATCAAAACTCTTCTAGTTTGTGACATGCCTTCATTGTCCAGTGTGTCTTTTGGGATACAGATATTTTAAGTCCCTAAATCATTACATATTATATTTTACCAATCTGTGTATGATTTGTACATTGTAAATGGTGATCTGTTTTATTTAAGAAATTCTTTTCTATTTTGAAGTAATTAGGATGTTTTTTGATTCAGCAATCCTACTACAGGGTATATATCTGAACAAAATTAAGTCAATACTCATATTTTGAAGAGATATCTGCACTCCCATTTTACATGCAGTATTATTTACAACAGCCAAGATATGGAATCAATCTAAGTATCCATAAAAGGTGAATGCACTAGAGAGTGATACAGACACACCCCCTCAAACCCCAGTATAATGGAATGCTATTCATTCTTTAAAATAGAAATACTGTCATTTGTGGCACTGTGGATTAACCTAGAAGACATTATGTTGAGTGAAATAAGCCAGGCACAGAAAGACAAGAACCATATGATCTTGCTTATATGAGAAGTATAAACAAGTTGAACTCAGAAACAGTAGAATTGTGGTTAGCAAGGACTGGGAGGAGGTGAGGGTGTTGGGAGATGTTGGTAAAATAATGATAAAATTCCCATTAAGAGAAATAAATTGGAGAGTGATATTGTACAACATAGTGTCTATAGTTAATAATAATGTTACACTCATGAAAATTGTGAGGAGAGTAGATTTTAAGTCTTCTCACCACAAAAGAATTATCTGTGAGATAATGCATATATTAATGAGTTAGCCATTTCACTATCCATCTATCTTCTTATATATCTTCCCATTTAGGTGAATAAATCTCAAAACCACAGGTTATATACAATACATTCATGCAATGTTTATCAAGTAGAAAAAAGGCAATTCTCTGTAGTTTCATCTGTTAGTGTTCTTCACATGTGCAGTTTTTTCCTCCATAAATCTTTCATTTAAAGAATACAAACGTCATACATTTCATAATTACAACTTTAGGAACATGATGATTCTTTCCTCCAACCCACTCTCCCACCCCTCCACTGCCTCCCTGTCCTATTCCCATTCATATTTTTTTTTACTAAGATCTATTTTCAATTAACTTTATACACATATGATTAATTCTATGTTAAGAGTTCAACAAATAATATGGGGGAAAAAACTGCTCTTCAACAGTCAAGACAAGTGCTGTTCAAAGTCATTGCTTCTCAAAGTTTCAATTTCACATCCACCTTTTAGGTGCTCTGTTAGTTATCACAGGTCAGGGAGACTATATGGCATTTGTCCTTTGGGGACTGGCTTATTTCACTAAGTATGATATTTTCCAGTTTGATCCATTTTGTTGCAAATGATAAGATTGCATTTTTTAGCTGCTTTGTAGTATTCCATGGTGTACATATCCCATAATTTCTTTATCAAGTCTTCAGTTGATGGTCATTTGGGTTGATTCCATATCTTAGTTATTGTGAATTGAGCTGCAATAAACATGAGGGTACAGATAATTCTTTCATATGTTGATTTCATTTCCCTTGGGTAAATTCCCAAGAGAGGGGTGGCTGGGTAATATGGTAGGTCTATATTCAGATTTCTGAGGTATCTCCATATTGTCTTCCATAGTGCCTTTACCAGTTTAAATTCCAAAATACAGTAGATTAGAGTACCCTTTTTAACAACGTCCTTCACAGCGTTTGTTGTTTGTTGATTTCCGTATGAAAGTCATTCTAATGGGGTGGGGTGGGGGGTGAGGTAAAACTTCATGTGGTTTTGATTATTTGCATTTCCCTGATTGCTAGTGATCCTGAGCATTTTTTCATGTCTGTTGGCCATTTGGGATTCCAGTTTTGAAAAATGCCTATTTTTAGTCCTTTGCCCATTTCTTAACTGAGTTGTTTATTTTGTTGTTGTGGAGTTTCTTGATCTCTTTATATATTCTGGTTATTAATCCTTTATCAGCTGCTTAGTTTGCAAATGATTTTTCCTATTCTGTCAGTTGCCTCTTCACTTTGCTGAGTGTTAATTTTGCAGTACAGAAGCTTCTCAATTTGATGTAATCCAATTTGTCAATTTTGGCTTTGATTGCCTGTGCCTCTAGGGTTTTTTCAAAGAACTCTTTGCCTATGCAAATGTCTTACAGGGTTTCCTCAATGTTCTCTAATACTCTGATGGTATCTGGTTGTAGACTCAGGTCTTTAATAAATTCTGAGTGGGTTTTTGTGTAAGGTAGAGGTCTTGCTTCATACTTCTGCATGTGGAGATCCAGTTTTCCCAGCACCATTTGTTGAAGAGACTGTCTTTTCTCCAAGGATTGGTTTTAGCTCCTTTGTCAAAGATAAGTTGGTTGTAGATGCATGGATTGATTTCTGGCATTGCTATTTTGTTCCATTGGCCTATCCATCTGTTTTTGTATCAGTAACATGCTGTTTTGTTTATAACTGCACTGTAGTATGTCTTGAAATCTAGAAATGGGATGCCTCCAGCTTTGTTTTTGTTGTATAAGACTGCTTCAGCTATTCGTGGTCTCCTGTGTTTCCATATGAATTTCTGCATTATTTTTTCTATATCTGAAAAGAATGTCCTTGGTATTTTGATTGGTATCACATTGAATCTGTAAATTGCTTTGGTAGTGTGGATATTTTGGTGATATTGATTCTAACAATCCATGGACATTGAAGATCTTTCCATTTTTTTGTATCTTCTTCTATTTCTTTATTTAATGTTTTGTAATTCTCATGATAGAGATCTTTGACATCCTTGGTTAAATTTATTCCAAGGTATTTGATTTCTTTTGTAGCTATTGTGAATGGGATTGATCTTCAAAGTTCTTTCTCAACTGTGGCATTGTCTGTGTATATATAGGCTGTTAATTTTTATGTATTGACTTTATATCCTGCTACTTTACCAAACTCTTCTATGAGTTCCAATAGCCTATTAGGGGGGTCTTTTGGATCCCCTATATATGGAATCATGTCATCTGCAAATAGAGAGAGTTTGACTTCCTCCTTCCCAATTTGTATCCCTTTGATTTCTTTTTCTTACCTAATGGCTCTGGCTAAAACATTCAAGACTATATATTGAATAGCAGTGGCGAGAGTGGGAATCCTTGTCTGGTTCTAGATCTCAGTGAGAATGCTTCCAGCTTTTCCCCATTCAATAAGATGCTGTCATGGGTGTGTCATAAATTGCCGTGATTGTGTTGAGGAATGTTCCTTTTATAACCAATTTGCTTAGAGTTTTCATCTTGTTGTATCTTATCAAATGCTTTCTCTGCATCTATTGAGATAATCATATGGTTTTTGTTCTTTAATTTGTTAATGTGATGTATCACATTGATTGATTTGTGAATGTTGAATCATCCCTGCAAACCTGGGATAAATCCCACTTGGTCTGTGTGAATGATCTTTCTGATGTATTGAATTCGATTGGCTAGTATTTTGTTAACGATTTTTATGTCTCTTTTTCATCGGGGAAATTGGTGTGTAGTTCTCTTTTGCTTATGTATCTTCTCAGGTTTAAGAATTAAGTTGATGCTGGCTTCATGGAAAGAATTTGGGAGGATTCCCTCCTTTTCAATTGTGTTGAATAGCTTGAGAAGAATTGGAGTTAGTTCTTTAAATTTCTGGTAGAATTCAGCAGTAAAGCCATCTGCTCCTGGGCTTTTCATTGTTAGAAGAGTCTGTATTACTGATTCCATTTCTCTCTTGGTTATTGTTCTGTTTAGGTTTTCTGTGTCTTCATGGCTGAGTTTGGGTAGGTTTTATGTGTCCAGGAATCTGTCCAATTCCTCTAGTTTTCCCCATTTGTTGGCATACAGCTCTTTATAGTAATTTATGATGCTTCTTTTGACTTCTGTGGTGTTTGTTGTTACATTTCCTTTTTTGTCTCTAATTTTATTGATTTGGGTCTTCTCTTCTTTTTTTGGTTGGGTTTGCTGTTGTTTTTCTAGGTCTTTGAGATGCATTGATAGCTCATTTATTTGGTGCCTTTCCAATTTCTTGATGTAGGCACCAATTGCTATAAACTTTCCTCTTAACCCTGTTTTTGCTGTATCCCATAAGTTTTGATATGTTATATTGTCATCTTCATTTGTTTCCATAAATTGTTTGATTTCCCTTTTGATTTCTTCAGTGACCCACTGTTCATTCAGGAGCATTTTGTTCAGTTTCCATGTGTTTGCATATGTTATAGAGATTCCTGAATTGCTGGTTTCCAGCTTCATTCCATTGTGGCCAGAGAGGATGCATGTTATGATTTCATTTTTTTTTTAATTTGCTGAGACTTGCTTTATGGCTTAGTATGTGGTCAATCCTAGACAAAGTTCCATGCACTGCTGAGAAGAATGTATACTCTATGACTGTTGGATGGAAAGTTCTGTGGATATCTGTTAGGTCCATTTGGTCTATAGTGTCCATTAACTGTTTCCTTGCTGATTTTCTGTCTGGTTGATCTGTCCATTGCTGGAAGTGGGATATTGAAGTCATCCATTACTATTGTATTGGAGTCTACATCTCCCTTTAGATCCTTTAACATTTCTTTTAAATATCCAGGTGCCGGTAATTAGGTGCATATACGTTTATAGTAGTTGCATCTTCCTGTTGAATTGATCCCTTAATCATTATATAGTGTCCTTCTTTGGCTCTTTTAACAGTTTGTGTTAAAGTCTTTTGATGGCTATCCCAGCTCTTTTTTTTTTTTTTTGGCTAGCATGGAATATTTTTTTCCATCCTTTCACTTTCAGTCTGTGGGTGTCTTTTTTGGTGAGATGGATTCTTGTAGGCAGCAAATAGATGGCTTTTGTTTTTTATTCTATTCCAGCAATCTGTGTCTTAACTGGAAAGTTGAGGCCATTTACATTCAAGGTGACTATTGATAAGTAATGATTTGGCTCTGCCATTTTTCCATAAATATTCCTATTGTTTACTTTGAATTTCCTTTGTACTTTTACAGGGAGATTTTCTGCCTTCACCTTTTTTCATAGTGATGGCCCTGTTTCTGTGTTTCTGTGTGTAGCACATCTTTAAGCATCTTTTGTAAGCTGGATGAGTGGTGACAAATTCTTTCAATTTCTATTTATTATGGAAGGCCTTTAATTCAGCTTCATTCATAAATAAGAGCTTTGCAGGGTACAGTATTCTGGGTTGACAGTTTTTTTCTCTTAAGACTTGGAATATATCTCACCATTCTCTTCTAGCTTGTAGGTTTTTTGATGAGAAGTCAGCTTTGAATCTAATTGGAGATCCTCTGAAAGTAATCTAGTATTTCTCTTGTGCATATTTTAGAATCTTTTCTTTATGCTTTACTGTGGAGAGTTTGACTATAATGTGTCGTGGTGAAGATCTCTTCTGGTCATGTTTATTAGGAGTTCTATGTGCTTCCTGAACTTGGATGTCCCTTTCTTTCTCCAAATTAGGGAAGTTTTCTGTGATTATTTCACTAAAAAGGCCTTCTAATCCATTCTCTCTTTCCATGCCTTCAGGAACTCCTAAGACTGGTATTTTGGGTTGTTTGATAGTATCCTGTAGATCTCCAACAGTGTTTTTTAGTTTTCTAATTTCTTCTTGTTTTTGATCTGACTGTAAAATTTCCAGAGATTTGTCTTCTGACTCAGTCTTTCTTCTGCTTCACTGAGTCTGTCGTTAAAGCTTTCCTCTGCATTCTTTATTTGTTCTGCTGAATTATTCATTTCCAAGATTTCATTTTGATTTCCCTTTAAGATCTCAGTTTCATGGGAGAAATTTTCTTTCATGTTATGGATGGATTTTATTAGTTCATAGATTTGCTTCTGATGCTTTCAAAGTAATCGTTTGATCAATTTTTTGAATTCCATTTCTAGCATTTCTTCAGTCTCTTCATCTTCACATTCTAGTATTGAAGTATTGTGTTCCTTTGGGGGCATCATGTTGTCTTCCTTAATATTGCTTCTTGATTTGCTGCATTTATTATTCAGCATTTGTAGAGATACTTGTTTGTTTCTTTTTTATTTTGTTTTGGTTTTTCCCTGTGATGGTTTTTATCTTTTGCTATGCCTCTGTGGCTTAGTGGAATGTCTGCTTTTTCAGTGAGTCCCTAGAGGCATGTGGTGGGTGTGGCCAGGGAGCTCTGTTCAGTGTTCCAGGGTGAAGGGAATGTCCAAGGTGACACCCAGGTTGGGCATGGTTAATCTCCTCTCTCTCTCTCTCTCTCTTTCTCTCTCTCTCTCCCCTCTCTTCTCTCTTTCTCTCTTTTTTAATATGAGGGGAGGTTTGTTTTGCTCTGTTGGTATAGTCTCAATGCTCACCTCCTTCCTTCAAAAGAGACCAGAGCCTGGTTGCTAGCCCCAGTGAGTACAATATTTGTCCATGCTGCACCAGGAACCACACAAAGCATCTGTGCAGTCCTTGGTATGAGCACGGATCCCACAGCAATGACCCTCAAGAGGGAATCAGTGAGCCCCAAGCATGTGGAGCCACCCACAGTGACTGCCCAAAGTCTCAGCCACACCCTGTGCCCTCCCATGCAGCCATAGTGTTTTCACAGTCCAGCACACAACTCTCCCACATTCACAAGCACCCGGCCCCCTATCAGTTCTCCCAGCCATACTCGGGCATCTCTACTCGGCTGGTTCCTGGGTGTGCAGACACAAGCTGGTGCAGCTGTTACATATTTTCAAAATGGTGCCTGCCTTCTCTTGGCTTGTTAGAGGACTCCTGTGCAGGATGGTTGGGGAAAGAAAAATGTGCCTGCTTTTTTTCTCCTCTATTTGGCAGGTACACTGTACCACACAGGGCTCCAAGCCGGGCCCATGCTACGTTCTTCCCACAGCTTTATTGCCAGTGGCCTGTGCTGCTGCAGTCTGGTCTCACCTCTCTCTAAAGCTGTTGCTGGGGCTCTTGGCTGCTGGGGTCCTGAGTTGTGCACATCCACACCCTCCATGGAGGTACAGTGCCCCTCTGGTTTGCATGGAGTTTCCTCTGCTGTCTTCTCCCTAACTCTTCCCTGAGACTACACTCCACTTTTTAAAAACTATCTTTCCTTAGACTAGAGCAGTAAGTTCCCTCCCTATTCCGCCATCTTGGATCCACCCACGAGCACATGTGCGTTTTTTTTTTTTAAAGATTTATTTTATTTATTTGAAAGAGTTACACAGAGAGAGGAGAGGCAGAGAGAGAGAGAGAGAGAGAGAGAGAGAGAGGTCTTCTATGCATTGTTTCACTCCCAAGATGGCCGCAACAGCTAGAACTGTGCCGATCCAAAGCCAGGAGCCAGGAGCTTCTTCCAGGTCTCCCACGAGGGTGCAGAGGCCCAAGAACTTGGGCCACCTTCCACTGCTATCCTAGGCCATAGCAGAGAGCTGGATTGGAAGAGGAACAGCCAGGACTAGAACCAGCGCCCATATGAAATGCCGGTGCTTCAGGCCAGAGCTTCAACCCACTGCGCCACAGTGCCAGCACCACACATGTGCATTTTTAAGCCATCTGGAATTGAGGTAACTCCAGGACAAGATAATTAACTTTTGAAATACTTTTTGTAATTTTTGGTATTTGAACATACATTATCAAGTGTTAGAACAAAAGGAATTCCATGGATTTACCATGCAGCACCACTGCCAACACTACTTTGTCTCTCTGTGTGTACTGTACCCCATTCTCTGTCTTGTCTCCCAACACCTAGAGGTAGCCACTCTCCCATTCTGGGTTTAGCATTCCCATTCTTTTAAAATAGATTTTAACACACTTATGTGTTTTTCCAAATAATGTATTGCTTTAGAACTTTATAACAATATTGTGCCCTGTGTCATCCTGTGAAACACACTGAAGCATGGAGTAGAGTCAATGTAGGGGAAAGGTGGGAAAGAAGGTGGGGGACATAGCAGAGCAGGGTAGGGCAGACCACAGAGGGCCTTGTTAGCTATGCTAGGACTTGAATTTTAACTTGGAGTACAATGGGAGCTTCTATTGTAAATGCTTGCTCTGTTCTTAACACTAGATGCTGTAGAGATCAATAAAAACAAGAAACCTTGCAAAGTTTATAATTAGCTGGAACCTGTTAACAGTCTGTGGAGGGGCAGGTCAGCTTGTGTAAGCCAGCTGGGAAAAAAAGAGTCACTTTTACACAGTATTTTGAAGATGAAAAGACACCAGAGGTAGGAACGGGCACTGTGTGAGTGAGAAAAGCAGCAGGTGAGAAGCCACAGAAGAAAGCCAGCTGATAGCATGCAGTCTTCTGTCATCTTGCAAAAGCTCTTCCTTGTGGTTTTACGGCCAGTGGTGATACTCGATTAGTAATGGAAGCCATTGGTCACTCTGAGACAGTGGTTGCCTTCTTCTAGAAATGGAAGAAACAGTCCGCCAACTGATGGTCAGCAAGTTTGGCCGTGTGATAGACCTGGAAGCCCTTCAGACCCTTTCTGTGAACACAACTCTTGAGGAACTAAAGATCAGAAAACTTCGAAAGGAGCTATCGAATGCGAAGGAAATGAAGATGTGGGAGGTGAGGAGAGGGCCAGTGATCTTCTGTGATCAACTCTGGGCAGAGGCAGGATATCCTGGTGAGCTCTAGGTGGCTCCATCTCAGCTGGAGCTGGGTCTAAGGGCCCAAGTTGGCTCTCCCAGGTCTCTGCTGTTCACTTAGTGGGAAGAACTTCCCTATCTTGGAGTGAGAGCATCAGCACCAGCAGGTTTTCTGGTCTGAGGTACATATACATATGATGCAAAAAATGGTGCAAAAGATTATAGAGATACCACTTTGAAGTCTGAATTCATGTATACATACGCTGAGTGTTAGAGATGGAACTACTATCCTTTAAAAAAATCTAATTGTGTTATTGGATAGTTTTGCATGCTCTTCCAGCTTGGAAATTAGAAACTATATCTGAGTAATAAGCTTTGTAACAAGACAGTTTGCTTGCTAGGGTCTTGAAAAATGTTAATGCTCACATATTGTTCCTAGCACATGACACAATGCCCTGTTCCAGCCTGATTCAGAGTCTGGAGCTGCTGTAGAACCCACAGATCATCAGGACTCTCCCAGTCAGCACATAGGGTGGGAGGGAACATTCCTATTGCTTTCTTGTCCAGTGGCCCTGTCTTATCTTTACTAACCCAAGATGGACCACTGTGCTATAAAGAAGAAAATTACTTAGACTTCTGTGTCAGTGGAATTGGTATCTATCAGACTAATGCTGGAGGTAATATGTGAAATCTAAAATATAGGTTGGGTACCCCACTCAGAAAATTAGATACCTGAAATGTTTTAAAATCCAAAACTTTTGAGTGCCAACATAATACCACAAGTAAAAAACTCCATACCAGACCCCATATGACAAGTCACAGTCAAAACACAGGTGCACTAGAAATATTGTATCAAACTGTCCTGAGGCATGAGTATTAAGTGTATGTGAATATGAATGGATTTTGTGTTTATTTGAGTCCCTTCCTCCAAGATACCTCATTTTGTATATGTAAATATTTCAAAATCCAAAATCTGAAATGCTTCAGGTTCCACGCATTTCAGATAAGAGAGCCACTACCTGTAATTTGTTGGAGCTACAAGAGAACAAAAGAAAGTCACGGATATATGGCCAGTCCAGCCAGCTACCCTGAGGATCCTGGATCACTGCGGGAGAAAGCAATATATGAAAGTTTGTTGTTTAGATGATCATCATTCCTTTATAGTAATGAGTACCAGAAATCAGTAATGCATATTAACTTCATTCTTCAACAATATCTACCTTATTTATACCAACTTTTTTCCTTGAACAGTCTTAAATTCCTCTCATCTTTTTTATTTAAAGATTTATTTTATTTATTTAGGGGCCAGCAGCACCAGCATCCCATATGGGTGGCGGTTCATGTCCTGGCTGCTCTACTTCCAATCCAGCTACCTGCTAATAGCCTGGAAAAGCAGTATAAGATGACCCAAGTACTTGGGCTTCTGCATCCACGTGGGAGACCTGGAAGAAGCTCTTGGCTCCTGGCTTTGGATTGGCTCAGCTCTGGACATTGTGGCCATTGGAGAATGAGCTAGCAGATGGAAGCCCTCTCTTTCTCTTTCTCCCTCTCCCTCTCCCTCTCCCTCTCCCTCTCCCTCTCCCTCCCTCTCTCTCTCTCTCCTTCTATCTCTGTAACTCTACCTCTCAGATAAAAGATTTTTATTTATTTTAAAAATATTTTTTTTAAAAAAGATCTTTATTTATTTGAAACGCAGAGCTACAGAGAAAGAGGGAGAGACAGAAAGATATCTTCCATTTACTGGTTTGCTTCCTAAATGGTTGCAAACAGCTGGGTCTGGGCCAGGCCGAAATCATGAGCCAGGAGCTTCTTCCGGGTCCCCCACATGGGTGCAGATATCCAGGAACTTGGGTGATCTTCCACTGCTTTCTCAGGTGCATTGGCAGGGAGCTGGATTTTTTTTTTTTAAAGATTTATTTATTTATTTGAAAGACAGAGTTACACAGAGAGGTGGAGACAGAGAGAGGTCTTCCAACCGCTGGTTCATTCCCCAAATGGCCTCAATGACTGGAGCTGCGCCGATCTGAAGCCAGGAGTCAGGAGCTTCCTCCGGGTCTCCCACGTGGGTGCAGGGGCCCAGGGACTTGGGCCATCTTCTACTGCTTTCCCAGGCCACAGCAGAGAGCTGGATCGGAAGAAGAGCAGCCTGGACTAGAACCGGCACCATATGGGATGCCAGGCTTCAGACCAGGGCTTTAACCCTCTGCACCACAGTGCCAGCCCCCAGGGAGCTGGATTGTAAGTGGAGCAGCCTGGACTTGAACTGGTGCCCATATAGGATGCTGGCACTGCAGGCTGCATCTCAACCCACTGTGCCACAGCACCGGCCCCTCTTCTCATCTTTAATCAGGCCAGACATGGTGCAATTGCTTCTGTTTGCATTCTCATACGGACTTCTGACTTGTGGCTCCATTTATCTGATGGTTTTGATCAACTCTAGATGATTATTTTTCTCTGTTTCCCATCTTATTTGCTTAATCCATTTTGCTTCTATCTATCCTGGTAGGAAAAGATTGCTCAAATGCGATGGGAACTAATGATGAAGACAAAAGAACACACCAAAAAGCTTCATCAGATGAATGATCTATGTATTGAAAAGAAGAAACTTGATTCTCGATTGAATACACTACAGAACCAGCAGGTATGTTCCTTATCTTCCTTTGTCAGAGTTCAGGAAGCTCTTAACAGTGGCTGTTCACAGGAATGTGTCCTAGCATTCAAACAGACCTTAATTTTGGACCACTTCCCGGCCATCTGGTTCCCTGAGGACTTTGGGTCAGTGTTAGCCACATGCACTCTGCTTTACTGAATGCCTTTTGGGTCTCTTAGAAAAGTATCAGCTTCTCCTGGGAAATTGTTTAAAATGTGACTTCTTGCCCCCCCCCCCCCCAATCTAATGAACCAGAAGCTTTGGGGAAAGGACCCCAGCAATCAGTGCATTAACAAGCCTTGCAGGTGACTGTGCTGTGCACTGGAGTTTAAGAATCACTGGTCTATAATATCCCAAAGAAAGAAAGAGAATATGGTATATTCCATGGAGAATCAATAAGCAGATTTGGGAGGCCTACAATTGCAGATTAGATCTGAAAGGAAAACTGCAAATTGATTCTCAAGGGCTCTACTCCACAGAAGATTTTTTGTGTGAGGTGTCAAGGCAGCATTTGAGAATGTTAACACCTAAACAAAGTCTTTAAAGACCAGGCAGTCAATGTTTGTTGACTTGATGTGCTTTGCTAAGCCCAGATACATTGGAGAGAAAGAACTTGGAGGCAGGAGATCAGTTGAATGGGAAAGGAACTTACTAGTATATGTCTCCTTTCATAGTGTATCTTTCTAGTTATCTCTACTGTATATCTTTACATAAATAGTCTCCTTACATATGCTGTCTCATTTAATCCTTGAAACACTACTTCCCAAAGTTCAGAGGCTAAGTAACTTGTTCAAACTCTCACAGTTAATGCAGGGTGAAGGCAGCTTTTACATCCACGTCTGTCTGCCTCCAGAGCTGACTCTATTGCCTTTTTTTAAAAAGATTTATTCATTTATTTATAAGTCGGAAGTACAGAGAGAGGTCTTCCATCTGCTGATTCACTCTTCAAATGGCTGCAACAGCAGGGGCTAGGCCAGGACAAAGCCAAGAGCCAGAAGCTTCTTCCAGGTCTCCCTCTTAGGAGCAGGGGTCCATGCATGTGGGACGTCTTCCACTGCTTTCCCAGGTGCATTAGCAGGGAGCTGATCAGAAGTGAAGCAGCTGGGACTTGAACCAGTGCCTATGTGAGATGCCAGCACTGCAGACAGCAGCTCAACCCGCTGCACCACAGTGCCGGCCCCTCCATTGCCTCTTACAATGACGCAGAGATGAATTAGGATGTTGTTGTTAAAAATGAAAATGCAAGTGTGAAAGATTTCTCCAAGTAAGCATAGCCAAAACTCAGTTGGCTATGATGAGGAGTGTGAGGAGGACGTTAGGATGACTTCGGTGTCCAGCTGGAATGGCTGGGGACATATTTTGAACTGGCAGGTATGCTTTTGGCTGTAAGTAACCAAAAGCCCCACTTAGTGCAGCTTGGACAAATAGCCATTTTTCTGATCTCACATGAGGTCTAGAGGGAGATGACGGTGGGTGTCGTTGTAGCAGCTCCTTCAGGTCAGGGGCCAGTGTTTCGGCGATCCTCTTGGCATTTCCTTCAAAGTCACAAGACGGCTTCTTCAGCTCTGTTTCACAGCCACGTGTCCACCTTCTCTGTTCCTTGTTTTAAGGAAGCAAAATTGGCCTGGGCATCACGGCATCACGGTGCAGCAGGTTGCACTGCAGCTTGGAATGCTCACATTCCGTACTGGGATGCTTGTTCTTGTCCGGGCTCCTCTGTTCCAATCCAGCTTCCTGCAAATGCACAAGGACCCAAGTGCTTGGATCCCTGCCGCCCACGTGGGAGACCTGGATGGAGTGCTGGGCTCCTGGCTGCAGCCTGGCCCAGCCTTTCTGTTGCAGGCATTTGGGGGGTGAACCAGCAGATGGAACATCTGTCTCTCTCTCTCACTCTCTCTGTCATTCTGCCTTTCAAATAAGTAAATAAACTTTAAAAAAGAGAAGTTTTCTGTTAGCATCCAATTAGCCAATGCTAGCTGGAAGGGAAACTGGGTAAGGTTAGAGGTTAACTCTCACAGCCTCTGAAATAGAGCAGGGAAGAGGCAGATGGAGTTGGAAAACCCTTGCTTCCTACAAAGGTGTGCCATCGGAAATAGGGTCATGGATGGCTGCAGGCAACCTGTTTCTAACCCTTCAGCCCTTAGCAGTACAGTGACTGAGGCCAGTGAGTGGAGCTCTGAGTCTGTTTCCATATCCATAAAACTGAAATAACAATGCATAGTTCACAGTGCTGTGAGGGTTAAACGAGAGAGCATATGTAAAGCACTGTGGCCCAGAGTGGGCAGGAGGTAAATGTTAGATCCTTCCTATAACAGGCGTGTTCATGCATGCAGACCTGAGCACCCACCTGCATAACCAGCACAAGGGCAGGGTCTGGGTGCAATGCTAGGACCTAGCCATAACGGGCCCTGTCTCTAAGAGGCCCCAAGCCTCTTACAGAGGCAAGGAAACCAGGCATTAAACAACATTTAGGTTGAGCCACTTGAACTTGGCATTATTTTGGGTTCAAAAGAAAAGAGGTGACGTAATTTTCCTCTGGCTCAGTCTGATTATTACAATGGTGGATACATAGGATGGATGTTTTCCCAGACCAGAGAGCAGGAAGTCCTAACCCAGTCTGTGGACCAAAGGTGTCGAACCTCCACGTGCGGTCTGGCGCATGAGCAGGAGCCAGCCGTACCAGATGAGGAGAGAGGGGTTTCTTTAAGGGAACCAAAATCTGGGCCAATTAGAAGACACGCCTATCTTTTATAATTCAGTGATGACCGCTGAGGTGATGCCTGACTGGCGGCTGGCTTACTGTGCTACTACTCCTCCAGTGGGGATTTGCATTTTAAGAGTTGTTCCTTAGTTCGAATGCATGTTCTTTATTTAAAAAAAAAAAAAAGATTTATTTTATTTATTTGAAATACAGAGTTACAGAGAGAGAGGTTTTCCTCTGGTTCACTCCCCAAACAGCCACAATGGCCAGAGCTAAGCCGATCCAAAGCCAGGAGCCAGGAGCTTCTTCTGGGTCTCCCATGTGGGTGCAGGGGCTCAAGGACTTGGGCCATCCTCCGCTGCCTTCCCAGGCACATTAGCAGGGAGCTGGATCAGAAGTGGAGTGGCTGGGACTTGAACCGGTGCCTATATGGGATGCCAGTGCTGAAGGCTGGGGCTTTAACCCACTGGGCCACCGTGTCGGCCCTGAGCATTATTTCTGATGGTGGAAGTTCGGCAGAGGAATTGAAGGCTCCTTAAATGAAGCCGCAGAGGCTGTTTAACCTGACTGTAAGGTGCCCTCCTAACAGATATGTAAGGGCAGGCCATTTCTCACATCCAGACCACGCTCACAGTTAAGGGTTGTTCTCTTTCAACAGGGCAATGCCTTCCAGAGGCCCCGGAAAGCAGATATTGTGGCAAAAGAGAGGATCACAGAACTGATCCGAACCCAGTCCGAAAGGATTTTGGCCCTAAAGCAAGAGATTGCTCTACTGCGCAAGAAAGGGGGCCTTATCCTCCCACCCATTCAGTCTGTACAAGAGACTGACATGAAGCCCACGGAGCTATGAATCACAGTGCTGCTTTCTGAAGTCCAGCCAGGATCTCCGACATAATCATCCGGCAGTTCTGTTTATCACCTGCAGCACCACCATTAAAGTTTCCGAACCTAAAACCAGATCTAGTCATTTAGTTCAAGAATTCTTCTCCAGCGCGGTTCTTTCAGAGCTGGCTGCAGCGTAGTAAATCCAGCTATTTCTGAACTGAACCATCTTAGATGTTTGGAACCTACTACACTGTATCGCCTCATGGCAAGAAAGCATCTGTTCTATATTTTGTCTTAGGAATATTTGTTTTTCTCGTGTTCTGAATTTTTAGCCATTGGCAATAAAAACTATTATTCAGCAATCCACAAGAAAACTTCCTTTTCTCAACCCTTGGATCTTTAGAAAATAAACTTTGTTTTTGTTAAATGTTCTCTGGGAGAACACAAGAGAAAAAGACAAACTATTTTGCCAACAATAGCATAGAATAAGAAATGCAAATTAGAATTTTGGCGTTGTTGACTTCACAAAGCAGTTATTTGAGGGTTCAGGATTCAGGAAGCACAGGCAGACATAGCAAAGCAGTTTGCTTTCGTTTGCTTTGCGTTGGCAGAAAGCAGGAAAATAACCAGCTTCCTGAGTCACCCACGGCTTTTCAAAGCCCTCAGTTCTGAGTGCAACAGCAGGTTGTGTTTTGTCCAATAAGGACACGTTTCTCTGGAGGTCCGTGCAGTTTCACCAGTGCTCTTAGGCGTTCCCCAGCTTCTCACATCCTGTGCCACCTTCCTCAGGCTTTACTTGACTCATTTGCTAGTTTCGACACCTAACAGGCAATGAAATGGATTTACGTCACTCTGAGAGAGCATCTCTAACAATCATTTTTGACTATGCAAAACATTTTTAAACTAATTCAAGAGAATCCTTTGGTTTGGAGGTAAGTACACTTTGAAATTAACGGCTGCAACCATGGAAAAAAGATCACACGGACCTGGCGGGTTGTTAGCCTTAGAGTGTAGCACTTTAGATTCAGAGCTCTCTGGGTCTGTCCAAATGAGATGCTTGACTTCCGGGCTGTTCCAGCATGGAAGTTAGCAACCAAGAAGCACAGACAGTTACTGGTATTGCATAAATGTAGGGGGCAGCTCAGCAGTGCCAACTCCTCCGAACCTGTGGTTAGCCTGCTAATCTGCTCCCCAAAATCATAGACAGGACTTGCTTTCTTTGTGTTAGAATATTCTCAGACGTGGCCACTTGGCCTATTATCTCTGTAAGAGTCTTTCCTAGGTAAGAGGTGAGAAGAGTTTATTGTTTCTGCCTGTCACCAAAAATTTCTGCTGTGACAGCTTCTCTACCTTTTATCACCTTCTTGTATTTTTAAAATGTGCTAGTCACAGTTCATTTATTGCTATCTGAAAAACTGCTCCCTAAAACTTAGCCCAAAACAACTAGCCCAGGGCTGAGTGGGTTTCTGAGAGCCAGGAATCTGAGAGCAGATAGGCTGAGTGTCTCTGGCACAGGGTCTGTCGTGGAGTTGAAGTCACACCGAATTGGGGCTGCCATCGTCTGCAGCATGGCTGGAGCCAGGGCAGCTAGCTGCAGAACTCACTGGCTTGGCTGCCTGCAGGAGCCCGCAGGTCCTCGCTGAACAGACCTCTCCATGGGGCTGCTCACATGACTCTCCCTGGAGCCAGTGACCCAAGAGCAAGAGAGAGCATGAGAGGATAACCTGGATGGAAGCTGGAGTGCCTTACAATTTGGTCATGGAAATGACCTATCCTTATTGCTATGTGGGTCACATAGGTCAGTCTTGGTGTGATGCGGGAAGGGACCCAACATGGTGTGAGTTAGATTAGGGTCCTTAGGGACCACCATGGGAGCTGGCCACCACCATGGATAAAGTGGTTGGACTCGAGAAAGATCTTGTGATATTATCACCTTGCTAGTTTTGAGAGCCAGAAGTTGCATGCTCTTCTGGGCCTCATTTATGATATGACAAAGGAGGAATTTGGCTAAGTTCTTAGGATCCTTCCCACTCTGCAATTCTGTGGTTCTGCATGCAGCAAGAATGAATTTAGTCTGTAGGAGAGCCATGCCAGTGATCCCATGTGTTTTTCAACTTAGAGTAAAACTAATTGGGATTATTTCCTTTCCCAAATTGAAGTAGACTAAATCACCAGCTAAGTCTGTAATATTCAGGGCTTCATCCAGCATGTTCAGGATTTGTATAGTTAACAACTCTTTTATTTTGAATTGGACAAGTTACTTTCAGAGCTTTTGGTTCACGTCTACTCAATCTCAGCTGCAGCCTTGAAGCTGTAATTAAGTGTGAGCATCTGAGTCCTTAGCAAGTTAAGCTTCAAAGGATGCCCGGGATGCAGGCCGGAGAGGAGGCCGCTGGAACAGGACCTGCTCCCCAGATCACCCTGCTGTCCGGCCCCTGCTGTGTGCTCACGTCTGCGGGTGAGGCCCAACATCAGCCTCGCCTCAACTACTTGTTCATCAATAGTGAATGCTGAGTCGGCTATTTGAGCTCTCATTCACAGTACCACTGAATCTTGGTATTGGAAGAAAAATGGAGCTGAGCCTTGTCTCCCGTCACTGAAGGCCCCGTCCTCAGGGAGGTCTGTGAGCCATCAGGGGACCTCCGCGCTCCACCGGCTCCCGCCCAGCCGGTCTCGCTCTTCCCTTCATAGTTTACACAGCCTTCGCTGACTGGATCAAAACATTACGAAGGCACTAGAATAGTAACTAACCTGCATCCAGACACCAAACACGATGGCACTGCACCCCTGAGCTGTTCTGTCTCCTGGGCTGAAATTTAAACTAATGTCCTGACTTTCCTTTCTTCTCCGCAAGGGAAATACACACATTTATCCCACTTCACAAGCCTCGGAAGGGCTTTTTCTTTCCCATGACTTTTTAGCTGAAACCAAGCAGCACTGTTGCGATTCCAGCACTCTGCAGAAAGCAGATGCTTCACATTCCACTGAGTTAAGTTCACGCAAAACCATTCTGACAACCAGACCATCAAGGAGAAAAACAGGGGGATCTGTAAAAGGCCGCGTGCTAGAAGGCGAGCTGTAGCTCTGAGCAGAGGGCCCCTGGAATAGCGAAGCGGGGACGGAGGACCTAAGCCTTGCCCAATGGGGACGTGACCTGTCGGCCTTCACTGCTGGGTTGTGCCTGAAGTCACAATATCCCACTTCTCTTCCCTGCTCTGCTTCTCCTTACCTAGCATGTTCATGTCCCTTAAAGCCATCCAGTGTTTAAAACACTACTTTCCTGAAAATGCTGCAGGATTTCTGTGAGAATTGTTTTTCCAGGTTTCGCTGTTTGACAGGGAAAGGGTACAGGAGTCTTGCGCAGCAGCTGCCCTTCTTCTTCTGGCCAGCAGAGGGCACACTTGTCCTAAACAGAGTCTGACCCAATTCCTGGAGCAGCCCTAGGATCCCTTTGTCAAATTCATTCTGGTTAGAAGCCAGGGCCTGGCATGCCTCAATGAGATTGTCTCAAGTGGCATTTCATCTCTAACTCAACCTCACTGAAATCTAGAAAACTGACCCTGCCCTGAAAACTCAGTTAAAGTATACGAAAACTGTCGCGGCAAGCCCCCGGCGCCATCAAGTCCAGTTCCACATTTAAAGGTTTTTAGTTTTCAGCCTATAAAAGAAAGCTCTGGTTGATCCTTTAGCTGGCCAGCAGTGAGTGTTGATTTTAAACCAGTGAGTCAACCGCCCCGGCGATGCCGGCCTATCTCTGGAAACAAGGGGCGTGAGCTGCCTGGGCACCACCTGTTCACGTGCAGCCCGGCCCTTAGGCAAACAGCAGCTCGGAGGAAAGATGTGGATTGAATACACACACCTATATATAAAGGATTGGTTTCATTCCTTCAATCTGATCAGAGCTCCCCCACAAGAGAACCAGGAATCTGCTGTTCCTTGCCCATTCTACAGAACGCGTTAATCAAAACACAACAGACAACGTCTGAAAAGACAAAACAAAAAAATGCAAAACGTTTTCGCTGACTTCTCCAGATGTCATCACTGAATGGATGGGTATTCTCTTCAATCCTCAAAGACTGAATTCCATCGTCTCAAGAAAATGCTGACTCATAGATGACTAAGCTGAAGGTTACAGGGAAGACTAAATATTTATTTAGAAGTTACAGTGTTTGTTTTTACAGAGATATGTTGTCACAGATTACTGATGCTGGAAGGTCTGTTAATGCTTATGGTGCTGTACACATCGCAGTCTGGTCTCCTGGCGTCTCAGGAAAGCGTTTCCTGTAGCACAGATGCAGCCATCTTCGGGGGTCTGTCTCCAGACTGTGGTTCTTGCTCTTCCCTCGTGGCGGTCAAGTGCAGTGTGCCTAGGAGTCTTCCTTTCGTCCGCTGGGCTGTGGGCCTCCTGCCGCCTCCCAGGCAGCCGGCAAAAGTCCTCAGCAAGGAGTCCGTGCTCTGGCCATCGCCATTACTCTGTCCTGGGTGACTCCTGTCCTGCTGAGGTTCGTTTCCCTCTCGTGCTTCAATGGGAAGGATGCCTTATGTCTCTCCAGAATTATAAAAACACATATACAGTTATTTACAAGTGCATAAATATATAAATATGACTATAATAGAAAAATAAATACCAATTTTTCTCTGTCTCTTTAAAAAAAAAAAAAACATAGTCTTTCTGGGATATCAGCTTCTGCCTAAACTGTAGGAGGCGGCGTTTCAAAAGACACATGCACCGTTGGGCTGGCGGAGCGCCGCATCCCAGGTTCCTGTCCTAGGTAGGACCCCGTGGGGTGCTGGGGACACCAGTCTCCTCCACCCACTTGGCAGATGTCAGGACTGTCCACCTCTTCCACGGGTACCAGGCCCAAACAGCACGGGGTCCCTGTGGGGGAGAGAAGGTGGGAGCGTTATTAAAACCCAGACTGACCAGGAAACCAACTCATGGTGGCAATGGGCCAGTCTGTCTGGTGGCAGCTGGTTATACTGGCCCAAAGGGAGGGAGAGAACCTACAACCAAGTGCAGGCATTCATGGAGAGGGCCACTGGCTACACTCGTCCCACCCACCTGGGACCGTGGAGGCTCCCAAGCACTCAGCCTGCCCCCGAGGGTTCAGGCTGCTAGTCATAACCATCACACCCACAATTCACTCCCTGCAGACTGACGTGCGGCTGGGGCTGGCTCTAGGAGTCTTTCAGAATCTAACTTCCCAGAGATCGGGCCTAGGATCTGCACGGGAATGGACGTGCACACCACACAGACTGAGAAACATCAGCAATCCTCTGAACCAGCCTCGGTCCTAACTGGGCACCCACGGATTTCCAAGGGGACCAGAGGACCAGAGGTTGGTGCTGGGGGGAGGGACAGGAAAGGCCCTGAGCCCCTCGGAGAAGTTCTGTGCGTGCACAGAGCTCTGATGATGCTGTTTGTGAGAACTTGGCTCCTTAACGACTGATGCAATCTTATTCCTTAATTAAGAGACAAGACCCAACAGAGCAAGTGATTAGAGAATGCTTCTTGGTGACGGGAGGCGAAAGGAATTTGTGAATGGCCTTGAAATGCAGACACAAAACAGGCTCCTATCCCTGGCACGGGGAAGTGGCCCTTTCCTTGGCCTCTGAGGGCCACGGATTACAGCGCTGCAGGATCCACCTGGTGTGCCCACAGACCTTCCGCAGCCAGGGGAGTGGCGAGCCTCCCCCACCCCCGCTCCCCTCCACACTGGAGCAGTGGATTGCCCCTCAGCACGCCCCACTTTAGAGACTGCTCGCTCCTCGCCTCTACTGCTGGGCCATGAATGCCGACCTCAGGTCATCCCCAACCTGTTCACTTTTGCTGCCCGGTCCCTGGCCCTGACCTGAGTGAAATGCAGGGTCCCACGGCGCCTCCAGCCCAGGACCGTCGGGTGCACTCCTCACGTGTGACCGGCCCGTGGCAAGAGGCTGTTCCTGGAGGTGGGGCTGCAGCAGCTGGTGAGCTGAGTCATCAGGCAGTGTGTATAAGAATGCGCCCTCGTCTGGGTGAGGCGTGGGGCCCCTGCGTTGCAAAAGACCAGACGGCGCGGTGAGGCGGGGACAAAGTGGGCCAGCGCCCTGCGGCATCCCCACGCCTGCCCTGGCCGCGGGGCGTCACACCATCAGTTCCACCGACCCTGCTGGCGCACTGCCATTTCATTCTGCAGGGGGAGCTGTGGAGGCGGGTGTCCAGGGGCCCCAAGTTGGTTGTATGTGGGCATCTCCGGCCCACCCAGCGAGGGAAGGATTCGGAGGCCAGGTCTCAGGTGGCAAGGGGATCCTAACCACAAGCACAACACTTAGTGCTGAGGGGCACAGCCTGGCGGGAGGATGGCGGTCAGCCTCGGGGGCCACCAAGACAAGCAACAGCACTCGGTGCTTGGCGAGGGGCTACAGAGAGGTGGGACTCCGAGGCTAGCAGGTGAGAGGCAGGGAGGGGCGGGGCCCGCTTACCTGGCCAGCTGGTGGCTTTGGGAGTCGTACACAGTGCCAAGAAGGGTCTGGCTCAGCAGGCTGTTGGTGTCATCTTGCTGCTCAAAGGCAAGAGTAACCCAGGGGTCACGGCGGGGCGTCCCATCACCATCCGCAGCTGCCTGGCGCCCCAAGCGGCAGCCCAAGAGACCCCTCGGGCCCCGCAGCTGCCAGCCACTCCCTGAACCCTGGGAGCCCGTTACCTGCTGAAGCTCCCCTGGGCAGTGCTGCTGAGGCTTCGTGCCGGGGTAGGCCGCGGGCCCGGCGGGGCAGCCCCTGCTCACGTGGACCCTGCCGCCACGGGCCTGTCCACTGAGGCCACTGCCATAGGGCTGAGCGTCGGCTCGGTGGCCCGGGAGTCCTCCGAGCGGCACCATGGTGTACTGGCAGGAGGAGGCCAGCAGGGCACTTCGAGGGAAAGCCAGGTCTGTGGTATGTTCTGTCAGGACAAGAGGACAGAGGCCGGCTTGGACCAAGGAAGCCGTGCACACGAAGCCAGGGAACCACTGGCCGCACGGGGTCGCGGGCTGTTGGCTGGGAGCCGGCCTTGCCTGAGGGAAGGATCTTTCTGTCCCTGTTTCTTCCTAACACCTAACATCTCGCCGTTCTTTGGCACTGAGGAGAAGGGTGGGAGACCGGGGCAGCAGTGTGGGGGGAAAGGTGCTGAGTGAGGAGGAGGAGCAGATGAGGCCAGTCAGGGTTGCCATCTGAAGCAGAGGTTAGGGGATAAAAGAAAGATTCACTCCGAGTCAGGGAAAAGCTGGAGGCAGCCCCAGACCCAGGGAGGAGGCAGAGGCTACCTGAAGTCTGAACATGAGGTCAGAGAAGCACCTTTGGGAATCAAAAGACAACGGAGCAGGGCTGGCGCTGTGGCGTAGTAGGTTAAGCCTCCCTCTGCAGTACCAGAATCCCATGTACGCACCGGTGCAAGTCCTGGATGCTCCACCTCCTATCCTGCTCCCTGCTAATGTGTCTAGGAAAGCTAATGTGTCTAGGAGGACGGACCAAGTACTTGGGACCCGCACCTATGTGGGAGACCTGGAAGAAGCTCTCGGCTCTTTGGTTCAGCCTGGCCTAGCTCCAGCCATTGCAGCCATTTGGGGAGTAAGCCATCAGATGGAAAATCTCTCTCTCTCTCTCTCTCTCTCCCTCCCTCCCTCTCTCTTTCCCCACTGTATCTCTGCCTTTCAAATAAATCTTTAGAAAAACGAAGGTCATATTAAAAAAAAAAAAAGACAATGGGGTGAGACAAGGAGTGGCTGCAGGGATGCATGGGCCACCGTCTCCTTGCTCACACATGTCCTCAGCCGAGCTCTGAGCTGGGACGGAGGTCACGACCTTGGTCATTCTCAGTCCCTCAGGTGTCAGGAGACCCCACAGCTTGAGCTCACGGTGACTGTCCTGCCGGGCACCCCCCGGCCTCCAAGCCCCTCGCCCCCATGCTGAGAAGCGTCACTCACTCTGCTTAGACCAGGCCCTCCACAAGCAGAAGGGGATGAAGGTGACGATGATGAGGACGATGGAGCCCAGGACGACGCCGACGATCAGGTAGGGCAGGTCGCTGGAGCGGGCCACCATGGCCCCGGTGCCCATCGGCCGCTCTATGGTTTCAGGGGGTGGAGGCTGCGGTGGGGCCATTGTTGGGGGCGGGAGTCGACCGGGCTGGCCCGAAGACTTGCGGGCTGTAATTGTGAACAGAACTCACGTCAGCCTCTATTTCACTGACATTTCCTTCATGACCGATAGGGAAGAAAGTAAAATCCCACGGATGTGGGAAATGGGGTCAAACTCAAAACTCCCTCTGCGGCCAGCATCTGTGCTGGCTGTGAACCTGGCATGTCCAGTGTTCTGACAGGAGACCTGCGCGATGCAACCTGGGATGTTGTGAGCCTAGTGCTAGGGGCACACAGGGTCCTCGGGGCGGAAGCAGTGGCGGGGAGTGGTTGCTGAAAGACTAACTGATGAACATATTTAAAATGCAGGAGATGCGGGGCAGGGCTGGAGAAGCTGGCCCACAGAGGCGCTGTCCCTGCCTGGGCTGGCCGAGGGGAAGAAGCAGGGATGGGGTAGGTCGCGGGCAGGGAGACGACACCCCGGGACCCAGTTATGACAACGGGAATCACGTGACAGCAGCAAATGGAAGGAGCCAAGTGCCGACGGCACGGCTGTGCTGGGCTGTGCTGGGGGCTGCCCGGTAGGCACCTGCCCACCCGCCGATCCCTCGCCCCCCACCCCCAACCGAGGCCACCCTCTTCCGAGTTTCCCACTGCTGCTCGGACCACTGCTGCCTGCCATCTCCCTTCTCCTGCCTTTTCCTTTGTCTTCTCAGACACTGGCAGAGCCCCTCGCTCTTCTCGGTCTGTTCTCTCGCTGTGACCTCTTCCCAGCGTTTCCACCTCCGGCCAGCAGCCCCACCTGGACCCCTCCAAGGGCCAGGAGGTGCTGGTAAATTAGCGCCTCCGCAGAACTGGAGGCTTGGCGGGTCTCTTCCTCTTGGAATGGATCTCCCACCTCGCCTGCCCCCTTTCAGTAAAGGCCAGGACTTCAGGGACCTGGAACTCCCTTCACCCCCCCAGCCCTGCTCACAGCTCCTCAGCAAAGGGACACGAGCCCCTCGCTTCCCCTCACCTTACTACAAGTGTGTGCTCTCTCCCTCGGCCCTGGCCTGCTCACGGGTGACGCAGCTCAGCAAACCCAGCGAGGCCTCTAGTCCATCTCACAACCTCGAGCGGACACAGGGCCCTCCAGGACTCACTACCCACCAAGTCTCTGGCTCCTTCCCTGAGCTGCCCTTCCAGGCCCTGGGCACTCCCAGAGCCACTGTCTCCTCATCCTACCGCAAAGACTCAAAGCTGCTTCCCGCAGCCCAGTGCGCAGGCTTCATGAGGCCTCTGTCCTGCCCCTGCATGTTCTCCGCACCCCGTGACCCAGGATTCGGGGCTATGTCCCTATGGGCCTCTCCCTCCACCGTACAGGACGGCGGCACATGGGAGCTGCTGGCTAAGTCCCTGCTGAGCAAGCTCCTGAGAGCAGTGCCGGGCAGCAGCGAGAACGTTCTCGGCTCAGGTGGGCAAGCACGCTGTTCGGTCTCTGGGCCTGCTGCTCTGGGAGAGTCTCCTAATTATGTTCCTTGCAGTGCTCCTGCTTTATCTCATTTTTGGTACTTGAAAAATGCTGACGATGCTATCTACCCATCTGACCAATGTG